CTCGTGTGCTGGCAATTTGCGATCGTGTCGGTAATTGGCGAGCTTGGACTCCAAACCGGGACTCAACTCCCATCTGAGAGCGAGACTAAATGCAAAAACCGGGGCGGGGCGGGACGGCGGCTGCTGCGATGGGACCTATAGCTTTCCCTTTATGGGTCCGGCCATAAAAACTTATTGACAGGCCAGGGACAATTACCAAATTGTAAGCGTTGGCCAGGGAGGGCCTCGGGCAAAACACGCCGGCTACTCCGAGAACTGGAGAACACCGAGGTATCCATGATGTGCCGGAGAGTTGGTAGCCTCATTAAACTCCACTTAACGATTGCAGCGACTTCGATTTATGGGCGACAAAGTGGAGCCCCTATAAAAGGGCGGCCAGCGAGGCGAAAACTGGGCTAATGAAAGCGTTAATGTTAATGTAACGTGGCCATCACCGAGGGGATCGATCCTCTTGCCCCCGGGCCATAATGAACATGTTCGTCGCCGTCGTCGTCGTCGTCGGGGCCATGGATCCCTGCAAGCGCGTCCCTCGAATTTGTTTTAAATCACTTGGCCAAATGCCAGGCATAATTCATAGGTTTGTTTGTCCCTCAGAGCAGAGAGTCGAGGAGTACACAGGAAAAACCAGTTGGGATTTCTCTATAAAGAAATTACTTTAATCTGGTACTGAAGAATCGCAGCCTTATCACCATAACCTTCATTTAGAAGAGAAAATTCAACTATATTTCAAGCCAATAATGAAAATGGAATATAGGGAGATCAGACAACTATTTTTTTCTCCGTGTGTGACCGCCTCCGTGTGCCACGTAAGTCGTCCTGGAGCAGGGCCAAGATTTCCGCTGGTTGCGTGGCCAGGAATTTGAATTTGAACGCCAGACATTTGGGCGTTGCACGGTTGTAAATTCATTTGTTAAACGATGCGCTCATAAAATTTGCGCCCTTTTTTTACGGCCTCGCCAGAGCCGAAGTAGAAGTTGGCAACAGGAACGGAAAGAAGCGGCCACAGGACGACCGACTCCAAACGACGGACGACAGGAGGGCGTGGCGACTTCCATCTCTGGCAGATCTCTGGCAGCAGTGCCATTCTGGCTTTTGTTGCCTCGCTTGCCCTGGACTCCGCGTCTCTGTCCCTTCGGGCACATAAAAAGTTCAACAGCAGCGCGATTTATTTGCCCGTCTTCGCAGACACGGCGCCAGCTGAGCCGCATTCTTTTTTCAGTTTATATACATATATATAATATTCGGTAGAGGAAGAAGTTTAGACTCAACTGTAATTATATGTCTCACCGTGCACACACAGGCCCATGCAAATTGCGAGAAGAAATTTCAGCTAATTTGCCAACATTTAAATATACAAAAAAGGAGCCTCGACGACCGACCACTCGTCCAGCTGCCCCTCGGAGCGTGTTAATTCGACATGTTTTTTCGCCATCGGACCCAAAAGACATCAGAGCCATTTAGGCCGAGTATTTGCACGCCGGACACGCAGAGAAAAACTGGAGCGTTATTTAAATAAATATTCTGAGATAGAAATCTTGGGTGGAGTTTCCTTAGGAAGCATCTCAAATGTTTCAACATTTAATGAGCCAAATGTTAATTATAGTTGGATCCCCTTAAAAAGTATTCCAAAGTTTAAACTTAACCAAGCTAATTAATATCCCATCATCATCAGTTCGCAAGGATGTTTCTTCCTGTGCAGCCCCTTGAAGTTCATGTGGATTTCATGGAATAAAAACTCGCGTAAAAAACGTCAAATTGCAACACCTCGAGGGCACATAGCCGCAGATCCACACAGATGCCCAGGCACAGATACGGATACAGGCAGTTAAACCCAACCAGAATCAGGGATCGCGGAACAGTCCATAACACACAATGCAGAGTCCCAGGTCCAGAATCCAGAGTGCAGGAGCAGAGAACCCCGTTGCTGGTCGCAGAGGCAGCCCCAAAGTCCATAAGTCAGCGGGCTCCCTCGACGCTCCTCCTTGGCCCTCATAATAATTGCGTATCTGGCAGATGCAATTTATCCGTGAATTTGTTTTTAATTTTCAACACATTCGCTAATTTGATTTTTAACTTCGTTTCGAGCACTGCCTCGGTCTCAATCACAGACAGCCCCGGCCAAATTGCTGCACCTAATCGTGAGGAGTGTGGGGATGGCCGGCCAGGTACGAGGACGAGGACGAGGACGAGGGTCCCCGGATAGGATGGGTCCAACACCCGCTTTCATTTATAATTTTGTGCAACTCACTTTGGCCCAGAGCCTCGAACCGGGAGCACTCAGAGAAAATTGTGCTTAATTATTCATAATAAAATGGGTAATAAACAATTTCACGAAAAGTATGCTACAAAGAAAGTGCCACAAGTACTTTATTGCTTAGGTTAACACACCACTTTCAACTTTAAAAATGAATATTTTTTACAATTACTAACAATCCGATTTGAAAAAATTCTTTAAATTTATTTTAATAATTTTCCCACAAGGTTTAATCAATTTTTCCGGTGCAAGTCTGTTCCCAAGTATGAAGTGTTTTTCATCCACCTCTCCCCGGGCTTTTTGTATCTTTTTTAGCTGGACGGGGCGCTGCTTGTTAGTCGCGTAATTTATGTTCCCCCAGATACTCGTTGGCGTGGCTTGGTCCTCCTGAGCCCTGCGAGGTTCGTGGTGTCTCCGCTTGTCTCTGCTTATTTTCTTATCCGCTGTTATCCGCGTTCTGCGCTCTGACTTGTTTGCGCAGGCGCAACCCAAGGGCCACGGGCGAAAAAGGCGAGCGAAATAAGACTACAAATCGATTTTCAACGCAGGGCGAGCAGCGTTCGATGGCCTTATCCCCAATCCAGGTCCCCGTTCTCATCCTCCAGAGGAGCGGAGGCAAATGCACGGTGAGCGTGAAGGGATTAGGCGCTATTAGTGGGCCGGGAGAACATTGCCAAAGTAGTTGCATAACTGAAAGGCATTAGCAATGACAGCCGTAATTATTTTTTTACACACTTTTTTAAAATACATGTCCAAGTTGTCTCCAAAAATATTCCTGTTCCATTTAACGTCTCCCCGGTGCAAAGATAGAAGCTGGGAACCTTATAATCACTCTTCACCCCATGGGGTCACCAGTCAGTCCTCCTTTTTTCCACCACGTGTCTCCCTTCCCTGCCCAGTCACTCCCCCTTTGGCCAGGCCAATTCCAGTTGACTTGTTCGAGAGCCAGCGAGGGCTACCACTGCCAGCAACTATAATCCACACCTTGGCTTTATGGCCAATAATTTTGCAGGCAACAAGAACATGAACCGGAAACATAACAAATCATAAATTAAACCCTCGTTAAGCGAACTTATTGCCATTGCTGGTCGACAACGAGGTCTCGCCCATGCGCCATAACTGGCCAGCGGAGACTGCCCCCCGATTTCGATCCCGATCCCTATCCCGTTTCCCCACCTGGCATCCCTCTCCTCGAATCGAATCGGGGTCCAGGGCAGGGTCTTTGCAGTCCGGAGTAATTTGCTTCATCTTTAGGCCTTTCAGTGCATGGCTGTGAGTTTTATTTTATGTTACTACTTGTTTAAATTATATTGCGCTATTAAGCGAATTTAATGAAAACGCTGCGAGGCCCCGAGGAGCGCAAAAAGGGAGAAAGAGAGACGGGCTCGTGAGAAAGAGCCAGTTATATGGTATTTTTTCTGGGCCTCGTTAGGTGTAAAATAAGGCCCGGCAAATTGTACGTGTTGCTGGCTGCTACTTCTGCTGCTTTTGATGGCGATGATGATGGTGATGGTGGTCAGGAGGATCAGGATATAGGAGGGCTGATCAATTGTTTGGGGGGAAAAAACGCGATAAAGATAAAGATAAAGACACCGGCGACAATCACTGCGACATGCCGCACAAATTGCGCTTAATCCATTGGCATTTCATTATTAAGCAATTTCGCACAGCCACAAAAAAACCAGGCAAGAAACCGAAAATCCAATTTAAATTTTTATGCAATTTGTACAAAAATGCTGTTACTCTTGCGCAAAAGTAGCATAATTATTTCCGAGAAACATCGACGAAGGTAACCGAAAAAAAACCGAACAGAACGATACAAAAAAATCGCGCATGTCAACCAAAATCATTGCAGACGACACATTATCCTCGCAGCAAAACGATGCTAATCCATCACGGGACCCTCAAGCTCCAGCTCCAGCTTCAGCCTGATCCCAAGCTTACACTTGGAGAAAAACAAAATAGGCAGAGAAAACAATAATAAGTAAATCAAATAAAACTGCAGATATTTTGTATTTTCCAGAGTTTCAGGAGATGGAAATCATGATGCCTTTATATCGTAAAAAATATCACAGACAAAATCATATTTATATATCGATACCCAGTCTATCTTCTTCCAAATTTACCCACTTTCTTGGCCAGTGCAAGTGAAGCAGACGAAATGTCACTTAAGCATTTAAGTTTCTGGGGAGAAACGAGATTGGGACTCACGGATTCCGATTCCTGCGCTGTGCAAACCAAGTGAGAGCCGATATCGCGATCAGCGATCGGTTATGAGCTCAGAACAAAAGAGCTCTTACTGTAAACGAGGGCACGAAGGAGGCCAGGGCCCAGAATGCAGAGCCAAATCACGACGCACAGTCTGGCAAGACGATTGTTCTGCGGTCTGCGGTCTGCGGTCTGCCGTCTGGGAGCTGGGATCCTCGAACCCCAATCGATCCGCGATCGGTGAATTATGCGCGACATCATTTTAAATCGTTGTAGCAACGTCAAAGCTAAACACCGATCAGGTCAGCGGCCGCGGCAGGAAGAAGGGCCAAAAAAGAAGTCAGTCAGTATCCCGATCCCGATCCTGATCATCCAGATCCCTGGATCCCCGGCCATTGTCTGTTTGGGTAGCAGCAGCCGCCCTAATTGATGCAGCACGGTCATAAATTCAGATCCCCTGCGCCTGCGTCCCTGCCAAAACATTGCCATGAATACATCAGCCTGAACTTGAAGGTCCCTTTATTTGGACCAAGTCTACTTAGACGTTGGGGCCCTCCCCTGGATCCTCAGTCGGATCGAAAGGCTCCTCTTCTCTAAAAGAAAGCGAATACTGCACGCCGCGATGCTCTTTGGGATTGGGACATATGCCCAGAACACCACGGAGCAGCTGATGCTCGGCAACCTCGACGGAATCGTCCACAAACAGTATGGTTTGTCTCAGATAAGTACGAGGCTGACCAGGGCTCGTAGAGAACAGACGCCGCACTCTGCCCTTGACTCCGGAAAAGGCCACCTCCGCATGGAGGACCACTGCTCCGAGGGAGCCATCCTTCAAGGCCTTAAGTTTGATCGGAAGCCGGAAGGCATCATCATCCAAGCTGGCCGTGCAGAGATCGACGGTTTTGATTAGGAACTTATCGGTGATGAGCTGTTCCTTTGTCACGTGGTCCTCCAAGAGGCATACTTTCTCCCAAACCTTAGAGTGCTTACCGGCGAGATTCACTTGAACGATCGGGCGACGATGTTCCGAGATTCCACTGACATAGAGGTTTGCCATATTGGGTATGATGATGCCACCTTTGACCAGCCATTTCTCCCTGGCAAAGATCACCTCCCGGAAGAGGGAGTCCACGAAGACAGAGTGGCTGTAAGGGGACGAAATTTGTTTTAATGAAAGTCACATGTGCTTCTCGAATTAATAATACAAATAGGCGCACCCCAGCCACTCAGACACTATGATGTCCACGTACTTGAGACCGCACGGCAGACGTATCTCCTGAATAGCACCTTTGACGGCCTCAAAGATGTCCTCCTTGTCGCCCTGGGCAAGGGTTTTCCTGACCAGTCCGGCACTCTGCATGTTTCCAACGGCGATAACCTTAACGGCCCCCACCTCCACACTCATCAGGCTGAGCAGTCCACTGCGACAGCCCACATCCAGGACAATCTGTAACGAAGGGTTATTAAAAGCTATTCTTTTGGGGAACAGATCTGGGTCTCACCTTATCCTTGAATAGCTTCTTGTAGTCCTTGATAAGGCGGTCGTAGGCATTGGAGGATATGACATCATTCAGCATGCTCTCCGCCATCTCCTGTTGGAGATCCTTCTCTAAATTCATTTTACTTCAAAATGGAGCTACAAATGTCAGACTTCTATTGAAAATAAACGTCACTAGTAGCTCTTTTATTGTAAATTTAACTAAAAATTAAATGACATTAAAAAACATACTGTTTACTGAGAAAGATCTTGTTCAGAAACAAGTCTTGGGCATCACATTTCTCGAGCCCATCCTAATCAGCCAGCATAAATTGTAAATAGAGATTATCACACAACATTTCTCACAGCTCCCCGTTCCCAGTTGCATCCTTATCGCCGACGGGTGACAACAATTAGTTATGAGCCAATTGTCGCAGCGGACCCGACCGACCGACCTCCTTATCAGCGGGAGCGGGGACCAGGACTCGCCTCTCCCGGGATGGGACCGGGTTAAGCTGTCTAACGAGTCTCTAATTTATAGGAGACTCCGTGCTCGGTGTCCCTCAGCTCCGCTGACAAATGCCAGCAATTTGATACCCGAACAACATGAGCAGGGCAGGGAATAGTGAGCTGGGGCTGGGGAAGGAGTCTGGGATTGGGGTACACAGAAAGAATAATGTGTTAAAGATCTGTTGGCGGCTTATGAAGTCTGTAAAATAAATTTAGAATAACCTGCCAGGATAACAAATAAATCCAAATACCTTTCGAATTAAAAATATATTGGCTGCTCTTGATTATCCGACTTTACATAGGTTCAGCTCAGTTTTTTCGTGTGCATGAAGACACAAATTGAAATGTTTGTTTGGCCTACGCCGCTGCAGCGTCCGAGGATCGCGTCCAGTTTGTTTGAGAGTTTGTTAATGCGCCCAGCGGGAAGCACTAGCCCCTGACCGATCCCACCTGATCCCTCCGACTGGGAATGAGGGATGCGAACAAGTGTTGACCGAAAATCAAAGACCGCTGGCTCATTTGAGGCGCTTTTGTGCGCGCTAGATAAGCAATATTTTATAATCACGTCCAATAATGGTGTGCATATTAATTTCACGAGCGGCATAAAGCAACTTTATGGCCTTTTAAGAACTGCCATTAACAAAGCCGGACTGTGCACAAACACAAAACGAGCTGACAAGAGATTTCGGGGACCTCTCGAGATCGGACCCAGAGCCGGAGACCTCGAAACGAGACAATGCAAATGGATGGAAATAGTAAATAGAGTTATAAACGCATAAAAGGCGTTCATTGTGGGCTCACGGCGTTGGCTTTCACAAATTTATACGACGGCCATCAATTAATTAGAGGCGGAGGGGCACACATTTTTTTCGGCATTCCCCCGTCTTCGAAATTAATTTGTTAGGAAAGTCGTTAATATTTCGACTGGCGACTGTTTGTCCACTTTCTAAGCCCACTACTGACCAATATCCCAGCCCTGGAGCACTTTGATTCCCTCGATTAACGACCCGTTTTATGGCGTTTTGGTGATCTTTTTATTACACTTTATGGAGGAATCTTTTAAATATAATGGCCTACAATTCACCTCGATCCCGAGGAGCTGAAGCTCTTGAAGCTCTCCACGCGAGTCCGGGCACTGCGGAAGCTGATGTTCAGGTCAAAGATCATACAGCGCCCGTCCCGCCCATCGGGCATCATGGCCAGCACTCCGCGCACCCGGTCATTGGCCTTGACGAAGAGCGGCTCGTCCAGATAAAGCAGCGTCTGCTCCCAGTGGGTCCAGGGCGAGAGCGGCGACGTGGACAGCTTGAGGGGGACCGGGGAGTCGCCCTGGGGAAAGCCCACATCGAAGTACAGGACCAGAAGATTGATGACCCCGGAACGCTGTACGGTCAGCAAAAAGTTGGAGCGGAAAGCCACGGGCTCATTCCGGGCGGAGTCCAGGTGGGTGGAGTGCAGGTAGCATTCGTCCGTCAGCACCTGCTGGATGGTCACGCAGTCCACAACGGGCTCCTGTGAGACCGGCTTCCGCACGCAGCTCATGTCGATGCCCTCGACACTATGCCAAAAGTTCAGATTGGCCTTTCTGTGCGAATCATGGGCCCCCACCAGCCACAGGGTCCCCACGCTGGGCAGGATTAGGCCCCCGCGGCAGAGCCACTTGTCCCTGGCGTAGAGCACCGAATTCAGCATGGCCTCCATGTAGAGACCGTGGCTTTGGGGATACACAATATGGTCTTGAAAATCTATAGAAATCTATAATACACATCGATCTCACCCCATCCATTCGGAAACAATGACGTCCACCTGCTGAATCCCGTCGGGCAGCTCCACCTGCTCCACCAAGCCCTGGACCACCGTCACCACATCCGCCTTCTCGTTATCCCTTACAATTTCCCTGGCCACCTCCGCCATATCCGTGTACTCCACACCTATGACCCTGCGGGCTCCCGCTTCCGCGGCAAACAGCGAAAGGATCCCAGTGCCGCAGCCCACATCCAGGACGATCTTGCCTTGAAAGTGCTGGCGATTACGAAGAATGGCGTTCCGGAAAGCCTGGGTTCGCACCGAATCCTGCAGTAGGGACATGTGAGTCTCCAAGCGGCCATAGGACTGAAAGTAGAGGCTTTCCTGGAGTTCCGTAGAGGCCTGCGCCGGCGGATTGAAAGGACCCAACTTATCCCAGGACATGTCAGCTATTTTCCTGAAAAGCTAAAAGCTACAATCCTTTCGGCAGTGCCAGGTAAAAGTTGTGATGGATAGAGCCTGGCCATCTATCACACAAATGAAATTCAAAATAAATCTTTAACCTCTGGAAATAACCGCCGCGATCTGCGTCATTCTATCGTCGCAATTATCATCTGAATGGCCGAAGCCAGATAAATCAAATTTTGCATTTAATGGGCCCATTAAAAATGCCAAAAAGATCGCCCCACTCGAAAATATAAAGAAATATATGAGTCCATGAAAGAAATGGGCCGCCAACACCTTAACACCAAAGCCATAACTTGCTTAATCCGCCCAGCCCCAAAATTATTTTTATGGCCAAGTTTATGGGTCCCTCTCTTAACCGTCCCCTCCCCGAGGCTCGAGCACTTTCACTGCGCCGAATTGTGCAACATGTGCCGGTAAAACGGTAAAAACAAAAGGCCAAGCCAAGCTGACCAACAAATTGTTAAAGTTATAAACGGGTAAAATGCCCGTCATAATTTTTGAAGTGTCATAAAAATATCTCCGAAAGCAGATGCCACTATTAAATTTGCTCATTAATCAATTTAGTCACAGAGCAACAATAAAAAGGAGCACACACACACACGACACATTCGAGCATAATAAAGTATAATTTTTAATGTTGCTAAATTTTATGCTAATTTTCGTTCCATAATTAGGCTCGCGCTCCCCAGGCGGGGGTCTTCGAATGAGTTGGTTACCCCTCACAGAGGGTATTGTGATTTCTTCAGGGAGTTTGCTTAAAATATATATGCAGATAAAATTAAAGTATTCGTTTTCTTTTGCCAGCAGTTGACCCAAAATATAGACCATGGCTGTCACCTTAAAATTCGAATGCCATCTCTTGATATAATATTTATTTTGCATTATCGATCTACATATATATTCATTACCCTGCAAGGGTATTTCCATTTTCGGTCTCCAAAGCAGCCATTTCTTTCTGGTATCATTTGAGTCTGGCCAACAATCGCAGCCATTTGTTTCGGCCCGGCTTTAAAAACCTATAAAACTTTTGGCACAAATCAATTAAAAAGCGACGTAACCTTCCATTAGTGAGGTGGTCGGATCGGATCGGATCGAATGGGTTGGGTATTCCCAATCAGAATGCCACCCACTGTGGCGAAAATAAAAACGCGTCGACGCTTTGCATATCCAATGACATACTTGGAGCCCATTATTCCGTGTATTACCAAATGTTCGACATCAGCTAATTATGCGCAGTGTGGGAGGCACCTCGATTTTTCGGTTTCACCTGCTGACCCACAACAAGCCCGAGCCGAGCCCGGCCGCGAGGGTGGAAAAACTCAAAAATTTATGACGACTGCCTCACCTCTGTCGAAATGTTTGATTGTCACTTGGGACTTGGTATGTCGAAGAGGCCCGGGTTGATTTCCCATCCTGACAGCAAGTCAAATGGCAAGGACGTTCACGGGGTGGCAGGCCCAAATAGACTCAAGGGGAGGGTCGATTGTAATCAACCACTTCATCAAAAACAAATAATAACATGTGCTCAGTGACTGCCCAAGCAAGGGCTTCAAAATGGTCCGGGACAGGGGTTGATTGGCCTATCATAATCGCTTTAATAGAGAGTGAACACTAGACAAACAATAGGTAAGGGTTTCTCATCGATAATATCAGAAAAAATGGAGGGAGAAGTTTATGCACTTGGAGAAATTTTTGGTATGAGGATAAAAATATTTCATAATTCATTCATTTACTAAAGAAGCACATGAATATTAACCCATTGATGGGCTTAAATAAATTTTTGAAAAATCTTACAAGATTAGTTTAATTATATATATTATAAAATAATATCCTAAGTGAAATTATGTGAAATTGAAAAGTATTTTACTGATCTGTAAACTCAGTAAAATCAACATCTTTAATTTGAATTGAATTTTTATTAAAATTAAATCTTATATAAATTCCACCCCTATTTTGCTGCTCAGTGTTGCTCTTTACTGAAACAATCAGTCATCGATTAGGCAACGATACCAATCCCGTCCCAATTTCAGAATCCAATCGACTTTCGGGGTGTTAACGATGCGACCCAAGAACGTCGAGCAAAAAATTAATTGGCGGTTGTGCAAAAGTTTGATTGATGCACTTAGCTTTGGCAGGGAAATACATAAATAAAATTTCTGACACTTGGGAATTTTAATTAGAATGCCTTTGTTTCGGACCTCGGACTGGCGGTTGGTATCTGATGAAGTCGTTTCGACAAAATGCAAAAATTTTCCAGAACAGCAAACAACCCCGCGCCACTTCCTTCGTTTTGCCACTGTTTTTATAGGTTTCTTGTGGGCCGTCTCAGCGAGCTGTTTGCCACCGGGACTCACGATTTCGTAGAGGCTGATAAATTAGCGAAATTTTAATTTGATTTCCTCCACAAATTTCCGCCGAACTGGGCATGAATGCCCGGCCAGGTAACTGGGTGTCTGATTGTCTGCCGGAGTCGGGTGGAGTGTGGAGTGGACACAGAAGCACAGCGGAGTGGCAGCAAATAAACTAAGTGAATTTATGGCCCCGAGGCAGGGCACACGTGTGCGACATGCCCACACATTGACACCTTGCCAACGATCCAACTAGCAGCCGTCCCGTCCTGTAACCAGTGCCTCCCCGATAAGCAGCCAAGCCATCCAATAACCCAACTAACCGCAGTCCAATAGGGCTGCAGGTCCCCCGGCGCATTTTGGATCAGATCGGTTCGGCTGGGTTTTGTTTATGCTGGGCAGGCACAATCCCGTCATGACCACGACGATGGCGTCCAGCGTACGTGCGGCCAAACAAATTACAGGGAAATTGCGTCACCTGCAGGAATTTCCACTCAGCATTGTCAAATGTCATCAAAAGTTGTTGGACATGTTGTAACATTAATTTGACATTTTACGGCCCATGACAGGGATCGGGAGCGGGAGGAGTGGCCGCCGATCCATATGCATATCGGGAGGAGGAGCAGGAGAAGGAGGACTCCTTGACAATCTGGCGCAGACCGCAGAAGAACGCAGGGCAAAGGATTAAGCCCAGCAGACAGCTGTCGAGCGGGCAAAAGGATGCTGCAAGGATCCTCCCAGATGCATGCAGCAGCATCTCGGATGCACTCAGATAATTTAAATGTTGTACTTTTACTTTAAAGGAAAATGTATAATTTGTTTTGGTCTTTCGTATTTTATGTATTTTATCGCCAGGAGAGAACAGTTCCTGGACAAATTTCGAAATTTTTCTCCATGCATCTCTTGCTTTGGCGACTGCAGCTCCTGGCGTTCGCTCTGGCAGCTGCTGCAATCTGTTGGAGGAGTGCAATATATATATTTTTGGCACTAAAACCAAGTTGATGCTGCGGTTGGGAATCCCATTGCCGGCTTAGCGAATCTGATTTGCGGTCATTCGACGTCCTCTCGTTAACCCAGATACCGAATGAGTCCCGTACAGATGCCAAGCTGCAGCGATTAATTTGCTGCGGTGGCGATAATTTGTTAATCGAGGCATCCTCATCTCGGCTTGGAAGCTGGTCCAGGGCCTTCTCCTCCTCCAGCAGCTGCAGCATCTCATCCAATTAAATCTGGACGAAAGTAGGGTGGGAATGTTTTGGTTTGTGGACTCTGCACCCCTCGGGTTGTTGGTTTAACGGCCGGCGCTCTTTTACGACGGCATTTAGCTAAACTATCGAGCGACCGCCCCTGGGGAGCCTCATCTCTGCCCTGGAGGGTTGCCCGATGCTGATGGTGCAGCATTTAAAACAGAAACGTGCAAGCTAGGACAAACTCTCCACCCGGATGATGTGTGGAGGTCAGCAGGATCACGCCTTAGCCATTATAGCCAATGGCACGCCCGCCCGCGCCTCCTTAATGGCCACCAATAATCCGCTGACCATTTCGGAAAAGTCCAATCATCCGAAGCTTCCTAAATGTTAAGGGAGTTGAGTTTGCATTCCTTTTTACTGACTTGGTTAAGACCATAAGATCAAACAAAAAGTACTTTTAATCAATGTAACTCAAAAAAAAAATTAATCTTAGCTAAATGTAACTCAAAAACAAAGATAAATCTTTGCTAATCATTCATTATCTTAGAAACATAACGTAAATACATCTTCATTAATATCATAGTTTCACAGAAATGTTCTTTTCAGAAAATGGCATTTTACTTATACTAACTACTTGGTCAACAAGTTGAAATTATAGATATTGTCAATAAACATTAGAAGTAATAGTAAGCCGACTCCGTTCACTGCTCGTCTCCAGTGATGCGACGGCAGCACAGGTTAATGGGCTGGTCGTTATCAGAATCTATATCTTCGTTACTTTCAACTATGAAAGCTAAATCCGGATCATCATATTCCTTTTTCATTATGTTATCCAACTGCTCTTCTACGTTGTCCTGCTCTTCCAAATCCTTCAAATGTTCATTGCCCACTACAGGATTGTCCTGCTCTAGCTCTATTTCTAGAACGTTGGTCACTTGAGGTTGATCTGGAGCATCATCCTGGTCATCCAGCAGCGACATTGATTTCTTTGGCTTGTTGGCAGGCGGGAGCACCTGCTCCTCCTCCAAATCAGTCTCCGACTCCGTGGCCGACGTTTCGTAGGCTACGGAACACTCGCCATCACCCTCCGTCCGCGCCAGCACCTGATAATAGACAAAGTCTTTTTCGGGCCCTTCAAACGCCTGTTGCGCGTACGTCATTGCCTTGCCAAAGTCGGTGGTCCGCGCGGTTCTCCTAGAGCGCCGGGCGCCCAGACGCCGTTTGTTTGTCTGGAAATCGAACATATGCGAAGGGGACACCTTGGCGGTGTCCCAAGTTCCGTAGAAGAGCACATTATACTTGGTTTCGGAGACGGTGTCACAGCGGCCGAGGACGCGGGCCGGCCAGGGGCGATAGCCCTGCATCTTGGCGAAAACGAAGTCTCCCAGTTGGAATGTTGGACGCGGCGCCCGATTACGACCCATCTTTTAAGCTTTAGTAGGGTATATTTTCCGTGAAACAGGAAAGTCAACAATTCTAAGAATGAACCTTGCAAGAAGAATGCTATTGCTGTAAGTGGTGGCGTTGCCGGACCGTCGTCTGCGAAGCTACTGTGTAGGGTTGGGAAATATCAAAAAACTATCGGGGGTAAAAACAACGGTCGATCGGGTTAAATACTGCGATTACTAATTATGTTACTACTAATGTACTAAGTGGGTTCCATAGGGACTTGACTGATTAAATATCCTTCAGAAAGATCGTACAAAAACACTTAGTGTTTGTAAACACACTTAATAGGGGTTCAAGTACCGGGAAGTAAATTTCCAAGTTACACTGAACAAAAACGGAATATACCACCGATAAAAGTAAGTATATTCTTGCAGTTTGAAGTTGGAATTTAAAATTCAAATTAAAAATAAGCCAAAAAGGCATTTATTTCCATTGGGAAAGCTTATCAAATGCTTTATTATATAACAGAAGCAAAAAATACATCAAAGAGGTGAAGAATCTGAAGTATCTGAATTTTGACTTATAATTTATAGACTAATGCAAGAACTTTTTTAATTTTGCAAACTCTACAGTTGACATATTTATCAAGTAATAATATAAAAAGCTTGTGTATTGTATTCATTGAAATCATTACAAAATTGCATTTTACGTATATATGCCTGGTTAACAAGATTAAATCATGGAGATCCTTTTTCTTTGAGGACTTCGACAATGCTAAGTTTATATACATAAGTAGTTTTAAAGCCTTCCTCGTTTAGGAAAAGCTAAAGTAATAGTTTTGATAGCTTTCTCCTTACATCGAAAGTGATCGAATCCTTACAAGCCAATTCGGTTTATTGAGTTCCAGTCCAGTGAGTTCTGACGGTCCTTTCCAGAGTGTTCATCTCCATCTTTGTTTCCCTCCAATTTTGAACCTCTACCCTCCTCCAGGTTCTTCCACTGCTCATTTAGGGTGCGTGATATCGGCTCTGCGTTGTCCTGCTCTTCCAAATCCTTCGCAATCCTCTTCTTCGGAGGCCGTCTCCGACTCAGACTCCGTGGCCGGCGGTAGCATTTCGTAGGGGACACAGGTCTTGCCCTCATCCTTCGCCTGCGCCAGCACCTGGTAATATGCAAAGTCGTTCTCGGGCCTTGCGATTGCCCTCAATATTTCCGCCATTGCACTGCGAAAGTCGGCGTTGCGCACCGTATGCTTTTCATGCCGGCCGCCCAGGTGCCGTTTATTTTTCATGAAATCGAAGACATGCGACGAGGGCACCATGGCGGTGTCGCAAGTTCCGTAGAAGAAAACTCTATACTTGAGCTTGGAGACGGTGCCATAGCGGCCCAGGACGCGGGCGGGCCAGTGGCGGTAGCCGTGTATCTTGGCGAAAACAAAGTCTCCCAGGATGAACATTTGACGCTGAACCCGAATACGACTCATTTTGCAAGCTTTAATAACTTTTTTAAGCTCTAGTTCGCAAAGAGTGTTATTTTTTGGAGTATGAGATATAGTGTTGGTAAACAATCAAGTTGCAGGGCTTTCCAGTACTTAAAAATTTTCTTTGGGGTTTAAAACCACAGCTAAACATCTTACTAAACACCTGTATTAGGAAGGCACTAAAATGACTGGTCTTATTATCGGCTTCTAAAATTGTTAAATTAAGTTAAAAAAAAGGAACCTAACTTTTAGAAGCCAAAAAAGCCGATATGGCAATCGTTTTAAAAGTTAACTCGACTCGATTTTAATGCTGACCAGAATATACATATATATCGGATATATATAATTCATTAATTAATTATTTAAAATAAAAAAAACCCTGCCAGGTATAAATACTTATACAGAAGTGCCTTAAAAATCTTTTTAAATTACTTAATCAACAAAATGAAATTAATTTTTGAGAAATTATTACGATCTAGGGAATGGTCAGAGATACAAGACACGAGCAAATGCCTGAACAACTGGAGATTTGGGTCATATGGGTGGGCGGGCAGTGCTTCTTTAATGAGCAAACAACATTTGCATTAATGGTCATTCAGAACTTCGCACAGCACGCTACCTGCACCTGTATAATGGATAGATGTGTGTGTGTTGCTGTGCGTGTGTGCAATTCCGCTTTAAGTTTTCGCTCACGTTCAGCGTATTATGCGCAAATTGGCTTTTTAAATTGTCGACTTGTTTAAGCTAAACGCAGCTACACTTTATGGCCATGTTTCGTGCTGCATTTTAAGCCATGCGAAATGCCAGCCCTACGACTCGCCGCAGCTCGCGGCTCGCCCCTTCGCTTAACTCAATTATAATAATTTTAATTTAAGCCCTGGCATGGCCTATAAAAATGGCAAAATTGCATTATTTACCAGGCGTAATTACAACAATATTTATATGCTAATGACGGCCCGACACTTGGAAGCATTAATGCAGTAACGTTGGGAAATTAACAAGAGCAGCTCCAATGTAGTTCTGGGAAATGGGCGTTACTGCCCTGTTGGGCCGCAGAGGGTATTCTGAGGCTGGTGTTGGGTGACGACCTCTCCGGACGACGACTGTCACCTGCCGCCGCAGTGCTTAGAATTCAATTAGAAAACGCAATTTACGATCTGGCCACGAGACACACACGGCACTAATACCCGGCAGCCAGCATTTTCCTGCACTTTTCCAACCGCGCGGAAGGCGGCACGGGGGCATAAGCTACGCATGTAATTTGTAAGTAATTTTTTCAACTATCCCCCGGCCCCGACCACGCACTGATACACTGACAAAAAATAACCCACAGCCTCAAAATAAATTGAAAATAAAAAAAGGTATCATAAAACTATCAGGGAATCATAAATTCTCTCGGTGCAACCCCGAAATGCATTACAATTACCACGGGAACAGGCGGAGGCAGGGGGGAGAAAGCCTGGTTAAGAGACACAAGCCAGCGCGTTAAGTTGGAAAAATGAAGTAACGAAAGCATAGAATGGGATTGGGAATAGGAATAAGAATGGGCCCGAGAATAGGAATAGGAAAAGGAATGGAAACGACAGGCCGAGAGCCAAGCCAAGGCATAAATTATGAATCATTTCGACGCTTCCTTATGACACCAAAACGCAGGAGGAGGAGACGAGCCACCGCCGTGTTTTCACTTTGAATTCTTCACCAGCTTTGGCCGTGTCGCGGCAGCAAAGTGTGATTAGCCAACTGCGACTAACAAGTATTTATGTTAGCATCTCCAGCGGCGATCGCGACTCACTCGGTTTGTGGCATTTTATTGGCTTCATTGACTGGCAATGGACATCATCGTCACGGCCAGAATGTTTGCGTTGTGTTTAGCCAAATGCTAATTGAAATATCTGCATTTCCCACATCCCACTGCCCTGGAATCGGCGGACGGACTCGCTGGTGGGTGTGTCGCCTCTTAAATGGCAGCCATGGGGACATGTAATCAAATCGAGCAATGCCATCGGATTCTGGTCTCATCATCAACTGGTTTTGTTTTTGTGGCGGAGGAAAGGCAAATGGGGCTAATGAATGGCTTCACTGGCCAACAGCTAATTGTGCTCTGCCCGGGAACGGGTTAAACGGGAACTTGGCAGCACGGGGAGACTATTCGAAATCAGTTTAAACGATAACCACATGAAACTTGGCCGTGGAAATAAAATCACACCTTTGTCAGCGAAGTGAACTGTAATTACACAAATCAGATCAATTAATTGGATTTACTAGATTATTAGTAGCAAGGTTCCTTAATAGGTTTAACTATATTTTAAATATTTATTGGGAAATACAATAATTTATATTTTTGGCTTGCTTTTTTTATTTTCTGTGGAATTTCTAATGTTTTTAATCATTTTACTTTACGTTTTATAGCAATCCCCCCTAAAATGGACTTGCTAGGCACCGCTAAACAAAAGACTTAGGACACGAACTCGGCCACCCGAAGCCCATTTCCTGCAACACTCGCAGCTAGCCCGCACATCGATTGTTTGCATAATTCGCCACAAGTCCGAGTCAATTAAGTGGCTCTCTAATTAAGTGATTAAAAAGCACGCACACACACGTAGCAATAGATCCAAGACCCACGAGGTGTAGGAGCAGCAGTTGGAAAACTGTGGAAATATGCGAAGTTCATAAAACAAAGCCGCACGCCTCAGCAGCAGCAGCAGCAGCTGGCCATTGAGTCCACACACACCCGCAATTCCGATAAAGGGGTTAGGAGGAGGAGGAGGGAAGGCGGGGGCGGTAGCAAGGCTTTGCAGTTTTTCCAGGAACAAACACGCTTTTGCATTTTAATGCCCCGCAAATGAGGCGGCCAAAAGCGGGCCAGGCCAGGCCAGCCATATGGATAAATGTGAATGCTGATGTTGATGTTGGCGATGTTGATGTTGATGTGAATGCGAGCTGGCACGCACACTCACACTCGCACACACCACCTTGTTTCTAGCTAATAAATGTTTTTTTAATGAATAAATCACTCAGTGATAAGCATCTCTTTAATAACGTTCATTTAAAGAAGCGAAAACAAAACACACAGACAAAGCAGCAGCGAAGAAAGCCAAACTCAGCGGAAAACAAAACCCAAACAAAAAATACCCAGAGCCGGGCATCGCCAATGAGTTGGCGTTGATTTCACACATTTAACTTTTTGAGCCCAATGGGAGAAACTTTGAATGATTGCGTCTAGCAACGCAATCCGTTTGCTCAGAGAAACGGAGAAATAGAAATAAGATTCCTCTTACAGTTCAGTTTTAATTCTGTTAATAAATAGCCAGGGAATCGAAATGCTCATATTTTAAAATTAAATTTTAATTCAACTGGAAAATTCAAATAGAAATCACCTTGCCAGCAGACTGATATTTCTACCTTTCCCTTTCAGGATCTATGGGTTTGATTTATCTGCAAGGCTAAGGAGCTCCCCATATTTCTTGCATTCCACGCGCATACTTGTTGAGGACCCTATTAGCACCACTAATATTCTGGCCGCTGTTGTGCACACCCATGGCCTTGTCTGCGGCCTGTCTGCAACTGCCACAGAATTTATTTCGTACGTCTTCTTCGCTTCCATGTCCCTGTCTCCGTTGATTGGCGAGCACAGCTGACACATGCGAATAGCTCCGCTCCACTCCGATATGAAAATTAATAATTCCCCGGCTTTGGGGATTTGATATGCCAGGCACAGCGCACTGGCTACCTGGGAACATGTGTTCTCATAGTTGTCCAGTGGGGCAATCATCAATGTCAATTAAAACCACCACCACAGGCCACTTGTGGGAGTGGGAGGAGTAGTGGGAGTGAGAGAAGGAATGGGACTAGAAGCAGGATGCGACCCAGCGCAGATGAAGCCGTCTCCGCCCAGTCGGTTATTCCAGCAACTCCCACTGCCTGCCCGCGGGACATAAATCTACGCCTCCAAATCTACATATTAACGCCACGGCCAGGACCACTCAATGCCAACGGACAGCGCCACAATTGGCCGGGGCAACCAGCGATCACTTACTTTATGATCACTTGAAAACCAATCAAGCACAATAAATAATCGCTCTGCGAGCAGGGACAAGAGCGATATTGAAAATCCAGAGGAAGACAGGGAAGACTGCGACTCGTACACATTAAATTATATTCACACTTTGGCCCCCAGAAAATGAAATGGTTTTAAATACGGAGGAAAGCCAAACAAGCTGCGAGATCGCGTTGGAGATCAGCAAACAGCTTAGCTCAGCACGAAGCAAAGCACTTGAAAAAATACTTTTATATTTTAAGAAAATTACTAAAACAAAGTTAAAGTTAGAAATTGAAACTGTTGAAAATGATTTTGTGTTTTGCAGCACGATTTAATTTAATTTAAAACCACCTAGACACCACGAATCCGTCAAGCTTGATCCTTTTTTTCCAACTCCTTAAAATTTCTATATATTTGTAATCACTAAAGTTGAAGTAAATATTTTGTTAAAGTGCAAAGAGGCAGGATGCGTTATGGCCAGGCAGTTGGACACTTGGACCTGGAATGAGAGCTGGGACTGAGGAGTCTTGGGCCTGGAGCGATCTCTCCCTGGGCCCAGGTCCATTTATGTTTCTGTTTCTCTCATTCTGTTCCTGTTCCTCCTTCTGCTCCACCGCGGAGGACCGTGGCTCTCGTATCATCATAACAATAATGTTAAAGTGGCAAAATGGCAAACTATGCGCAAAATGCATAAAATTTATAGCCCACTGATCGAACGAACGGCCGGGCAGCAATGGCAAAACGGATTTGTACCAGTATTTGTTATTTGTATTTCTTATTGTCATGGTATCTGTATCTGCATTATTGGCCCATGTTATCTTGTGATTTCACGCTTCCGCTCTTCCTCAGATCGGCGGTCAAAAGTTGGCTCACAGCAGCTGTGCCTGTTTGGGAGTTTGTTGTTAAGAAGGATCGATTGGCTTCTGTGGGTTGGATGGGTTGTTCCTTGGGTTTTTATCTGTAAGGATAGCCAGGATACACCAGAGTCTAAGGAGAGTTCTTCAAATTATTTTGGCCTGGCTTTCACCCATTATTTCCGTACTGGCCATTCGGCTGATTAATGCCAGTTCACCAGCTCTCGCATAGATCTACTTTTGGCCGCGGGTAATGGTATAATTGGTCATCTCAGAGCCACTCCCTTCGCATGCTTGGCGCAATGTAAACAATTAACTGGCCAATGCAAATATGAGTGAAATTTCCCCCATAAGCCAGCCAGTTACTCAAGAAAAACGAGGAAGTGGGAGAAAGAGCTGCCTGCCAATAAGCGTGAAAAGGCAAACACTTTGAAGTGCATAAATTAAGCCACAGCGACAGCGGGGAAAATCGGGGATTGTGCGGCTTACGGCGGACTGGGGAGTAGAGTCTTTCGGGGACCCAATCCAGTTTTGGCTGCAGGCGGCTGCAGGCAAATCGAAGATGGCTGAGACTGCGCAGAGTCTGCGGCGGATGAGTGGGCTCTGGCAATTGAGCCAATTGAAAGCCCACAACTAATATACGCCCCGTTGCACTTGACCACTGATGCAGTTTATCGGTTAACTGAATATCATTTGCTCATTTGTGTAGCTGGGAATTCAAAGGTTTATTCTTAAATATGTTCATAAAAACGCATAATTTTACCAGAATTGTGGACTTTTTGTGGCATCTCATCGTTCGCTACTGCCATACAGCTGGGGTAATCAAGCCAACGCACAACACAAATAGCTAACTAATTTTTGGGCAGCGTCCAAAACCCGTTTTTAACACCTCCAGGGGTGGAGCCAGAGGGAGGCGGAGCACGGAGCGCGCAGCCATCACCGAAATCAAGTCACCATAAAATGTAAATAGGTTGCCGTGTGCTTTAAGAGCGTCGAACGTTTCGCTTTGGCGATTAATTAAAGACTCATTAAGAATTTGTTCAACCGGACCGATTAATTAAAAGGCTGTTAAATGTTAAAAAAGGCAACAGCACACAGTCGAGGAGTTAAACAATTCAACTAAAGTCCATAAAAAGAGTCCAAAGAAAAGGAAATTAGTTTTGCTTTGTTTTTAGTCAAATTTAACAATATAATTCTTGAAAGCTCTACGGATTTATCCTGTGAAGAATCTATATATATAAGCTATTCTATAGATTATTAATAAATAAACTAAAAAATGTCTATTTTGTCCGAAAAAGAGAAACATGATATGCACCTTGGACTCTGAAAGGGAATGTCTTTAGCGGCGCTGTTGATAAATGCGCAGCAGTTCTGGGGGCACTTTTTTTATATTTTGTTGTAAAAAATCGTTCGGTCGAAGATCACGAAACAACGAAATTGAAACGTCACCAGTAACTGGCAGGCGGCGGCGGCTAAGATTGTTAGTTGTCGGCCGGTCGCTTGTTTCTCCACGAATATTAACACATTAAAATGGTAAACGTGGTTGAGTGAAAAATTAACCCAAAGCAGCCGAAATGTGGCTGCAGCGTAAATTATGCAAACTCATCAAGCCAACGTTATCCAAACATCAATGGGCCAGGGCCTGCGAGGCTTGGGAAAAATTAGCATAAGCCAAAAGACGATCCGTCCAACAAGGGGCAGAGGAGCTCCTCCAAGCCCAGGGGGGAAAATGGAGGACGAGGAGGGGATATGAGCACTTGGGGAAAAAGTGGACTGCATTATCTAAATTGTAACTTTATATAAATAAAGGTACAAATGTTGTCAATATTCTTTATATTTTGAAAATATGTAGGTCCTTTATAAATAAGAATTTAATTATCAATTTAAAATTATCGATCTTAGCTCCAAATTTTAATAATAATATTAATTAATAATAATAATACAAAATAATACAGAATCTTTTTTAAAAGTGCATGAAGTCAAAGGGAGTCGGGCAGCCAGGGAACAGGGAACAGGGAATGGCCCAGGCATGGCAGGAATGCCACATTGATGCAGTCACTTTGATAGCGCGACATTAGCAGCAATTTATATGCAAATGCAGCAGCCCAGGCCAAGAACAGGGAGAGGAGGCGCTGCGCAGCCGCAAAGAGAGCAGAGAAGCGACTGCCAAACTGATTGATGTTCTCATTTCAAAAGATGCCACAGCACAGGAGGATTCACAGGGAGCCCAGGGTGAGGGACCATGTAGGCAGCATCATTAATGCGAATCATTAGCAGTGCCCGTTGATAAGATCGGGTGCAAATTATGCAGCCGGAGTTGGAGCAAAGCCCTTCGACGACGGAGGAACCCCTCCTTTCTGGTCTTGAATTATGCCCAGCGGTCCCCGAGAAGGGGCGGTGAGTGCGTAATTTTTAATTGCCAATTAAAATTGCTCCAATGAAGATGTGAAAGCTAAAGGTCCGAACTCCCGAAAGCTAGAGCCGGACAGCCTTGAGCCGTAATTAGGGGAGGCTCTAAATTGGCCTTATTTAAGTTGGGACTATTTAATATTCAATAGGAATACCAAAGGGATTATTTATAATTAATGACCCTCGGGCAAAACACATGAGAGGTGGAGGAAAAGAAAAGCAAATTTCCTGATTCTCTGTTTTAATTTAACTCTTCTTAAATCCCGCGCATAGATTCAAATAAAACAGAAAAGTGTTGGAAAATATTCCGCAGAAATAATCGAAGCAGCTGTATTCCGTTAAAAACATCGAGCTCTGGCAACGCTAGTCCACAACCAGGTCTGGCAGAGCCAATATTATGCGCCGGTTAGTGTGGCCAGCCTCGGGGAATTTTAACCGTTATGGTCGTAAAACCCGGTGGCCACACCGCAAGAACAACAACAAAAAAGAAGGGGGAAACCATAAAAGTATGGAACGAAAATAGGCCAAAGAAGCAGCTACCAGGACCAGGATGAGCGCTGATGAGGGATCTGAGCCGAACCTGCTGCGTGTGCTGATAAACTGCGCGGAGAAGGCGGCCAACATTTCCAGGACATGTCGCTCCAATGAGGAGCTGCTGGCCCTCTTGGTCCAGGAGAAGAGCGGGGTGGAGGCCAATGCCCGCTTCGATCACGACTTTAAGACCCTTGCGGACGTCCTCATCCAGGAGACCATTAAGCACGAGGTAGGCGGCCTTTTTCCCGCCATGCAAGAGTCTATCCTGGGCGAGGAGTCTCCGAATTTCACCAACAAGCTGGGAGAGAGCGTGACGATTGCAGTGGGAGCCGACGAGCAGGAAACTGCCGCCTGCCTGGAGGCCGTGCTCAGTGGATATGAAGGAGCGGCCCGAGCACTAGCTAGCGATGTCCATCGAGTGGTTACCTTTGCGAGCGAGAAGCTTGGCGAAATTCCCGACCTGCCAGAGGAGCTAGACTACGCAAATCTTGGCATTTGGATCGATCCGATTGGTGGGTTCGTTTGGTAGTTAACAGAGGGCATCAGCTTATTAATTCTTGAACTCCCCCTTAGATGCCACCGCAGAGTACATCTCAGGCGACACCATGTTCACGGACTTCCCTGGCATCACATCCACCGGGCTAGATTGCGTTACAGTCTTAATCGGTGTCTACGAGCGCGACACCGGCGTGCCTGTAATAGGAGTGGTGGCCCAGCCGTTTGGCGAAAAGTTGGAGGAGAACGTCTACAGCTCGTCCATGTTCTGGGGCGTCTGCTTACCTGCGCTTCAAGCCCATAACTGCAACTTCGAGGCACGCGACGAGAACCGTCGGCTGGGCATATTCTCCAGTTCCGAGCAGTCCGACATCCTGCAGCGTTTTCTCGACCTCGGCTACGAGTTCGCCTTTTCGGCGGGTGCCGGTCACAAGGCCTTAAAGGTGATCACCCACGAGGTGGACGTCTACCTGCTCAGCAAAGGGTCCACCTTCAAATGGGACACGTGCGCTCCGCAGGCCATTCTGCGAGCTCTCGGTGGCCAAGTTCTCGATTACGCAGCCAGTGTGGCGGAGCAGAAGGCGTTGCCATTGACCTATCTAGTGGAGGATTCCGACTCGGATTGGAAGCGAAATGCTGGCGGCATTATTGCCGTGCGCAACGTAGATGTTGTGGAGGAGCTGCTTGCCAAATTGGCGGATCAATGAATGCAGTTGTTGATGTTGTCGCAATCTCTTTATTAGCTGTTGTAATTGTTATATGTGTATGACAGAGTGAGTCGAGTTTCTCCGGTGAAAACGAAAGTTCGATTTGCAATCCCTATTACCTCAAACCGAATGCTTTAACAAAAATGAATTATTTACTGAAACAAAATGGAAAAATAATCGCATTCATGGCGATGATCGACTCACTCTAATATAAGAACTAATCATAATTGTTGTCGATTGTTGGAAACATGAAAAATAAAAAATAACAAAGATCTCCATGGAATCGGCATGAATCGTCTTAGTGGACGCTTAAAAGAACAAAGGAAATGATTTTCACAAAATCGTTGGAGGTACTCACTAGCTGTGGAGTACGCTATAATCTATAAACTATGAAATTAAGCTAAGAGGCATTCGGAACTAGCTTGGGCTTATCGTTTCAGAATTTGCTTGAGCTTCGAAATCCTTATGAGACGCGTATCGGCCTCCGGACCTTCCATAACGGTGCAGGAAAGGGTGCGATTGAGGGTGAGGTACTCCTCCAAAACCTTAAAGTTCTGGGTTTTGTCAAAGCCTAAAATCAAGATGTCAGCTTAAACTGAAGCTGTGCTCAGGCTTAGGGGGGCTTACCTTCTATATAGCACTTGGTGGCGTAGATGGCGTGCAGCAGCTTGCTGGTCATGGGTTTCAGTTTCTTAATGTCCACGTACTCCGAATTTCCAAAGTCGTAGTAGAATATTAAGGCCTTGTCGTCCTTGATCTCTTGGCATACCCCGCGATACCACACCTGGTCCTCGGAAAAGAGAGCTAAGCATGCTTCGCCAACGCTAAAAATAATAAATAATAGCTCATTAATAGGTTATTTTTCAGTTTTTTAAGCACTTTTACCAAGGCACATAGTTGGCGACCACATTGTGGACGCATTCACCGTGACTGGCCACCAAGCCGAACGTTTTCTGCAAGCTTACGGCCTCCGACTCGAGCTCGAAGTGGAGGGCCGTTATGTAGCCAGCGTTTTGCAGTTCGTGTGCACTCAGCATCACGAGGCCGATATCGTCGCCCAAAGGGACTATCTTCCTGGCCATATCTTCAAAATAGAATCGTTTAAGGGATTGGGTCTCCACCGGGTCAGGTGATTTTGGTGGAGATGGAGGCAATGCTGGGCCTGCTGTATCATCCGGCTTGAACGGATGCGTGATCTCCGGTGTTGCCGGAGCTGCCTTAAGGTTTCCTGGCATGGGCTCAAACATTAGCGGCAGCATGCGACTCACTAGCGAGCGCTGTTCACCCGAGCTGGACAATAGGTCCACAGTGGCGGTGTCCTCATCGGCCATTTCCAGACTTAGCTCTTCCTCCTGAGCGGAGAGAACCTGAAGCATGTGGCTGGCCGAGTTGTTTGCCGGCACAGCTGCCTCAGGAATGTTCCAGATATTCCTTAACTTGACGCGCATAAGGCTCACCGGCAGATTCTCAAGGAACCGGCAAGACTTGCGGAGCTCTGATGACTTTACTTTGTGGCTGGCCCCTGTATCGACGTTGTGCACCTTGAAAATACCGCCCTCAACGCCAGATACCTGAAAAACCTGAGTTATAATTTTGAATCCATTAAATAGACGGACTGCTTACCTCTCCTCGAAAATGGCCCAGGCTTGTGGAAACCACTAGCACGATGGAACCAATGGGTACCTCTTCGGACTCCTCGAAGGGCTCGCACTTGGATGCCAGGCTCTTGAAGATCCTCAAATACTGTTTGATCTGCTTGGAGCTGATAAAGACTTCCTTGTAGCTCTCGACGTGGCTAATGAACACAACGGCGCCGTCTGCGATGGGCTCGCGCCAGTACTTGTGTCCCAGGTCGGAGACCTTGCCCAAGAATGTATTCAAGCGAGCCACGCAAATCTGCTTACCCTTGGACAGCAAGGAGGCATTGGCGCTGCGCAGCGTCGTCTTCTTGCTCTGCAGGCTTTTCGTGTCGAACTTGACGGCGAGATCCGTGTGCTTATGCAGGAGCGATTGGGGCACATCGTCGTCCAACTGAACTGCAAAAACTCGAAGGGGCAGGCCCAGTAGCTCGCTGGGAATGCGAATCAATTCGGTGGCAATGGAGACACAGCCGTGGTCCATCTCGTAGACCAGGAATATGGGAGAGGGCTTCTCGATGTAATCCAGCAGGAAGGCTCGCCGGAAGCTGCCGTTCGAGGAGCGAGCGGCCACATAAAAGGTGGACTTGCCCTCCGGAAAAGGACCGGAGAAGGGCTGACCGGGCTTGCCAGACAGGCAATCATTCAAGTCCTTGTTAATGTGATCCAAAACGTTAATCTGCAGCAGGGCCACTTGCTTCACCTTGTCCTGCTGATCTTTGCGGTCAAATATTCTTATCACCTTGACCTCCGGATTGAGTTGCAGCATCTCCAGGGGCAGATCAAGTGGGATGGTCATCTTGGGCTTCAGCTGCACCTGGTAAATGCCCTCGTGCGTGCGAGTTCCCAACAGACGGATCGATAGGTTCTTGTTGACTTGCACGCCGGTATTCGTAGGCAGTTTCACACGGAAGGCATAGGCCTTGAGCTCGGCCATCTTCGAAACGGGCCCATAGATATCCCGAAGCGGAATGGTGACCACGGTTCCGAAGTCAATCAGGCGGATTTTGGCCTCTTTAGTATCGACACTTATGACCTGTCCGCGGTGAACTAGGCTATCGGCCAAAATGGCCACCAGAGAGTCCGGCTGAATGTTCTTGGCCAGGGTCAGCTTACCACTCTGCAGCAGGCGCTGCATGCCTGCCTGCATTCGCTCCATGCCCTCCACATTGGCCACGTGCAGCACCCAAATGGGGCCCTCCTTTTCCATGGAGGTCACACGGCACTCGAAAAACTCTTCGCCGACAGGTAAGTTGTGCTGGCGCCAGTTTGTAGAGAGTTGTTCCTCCTTCTTTTGAGTGGGCACTGCTACAGTGGCGTCCGGGGTAGGAGTCTTGGCCTTAACAGGAGTCTCGTCCTCAGCCTCCACTGGAGTTTTGGCCTGTTTCTCCGCCAACGGGGTCCTAATGTCCCTGTAGGGCACCAAGGGTCTGAAAATAATTATTTCATTCATTCATGGTTTTCCATCGAATATGTAAAGCTTTGTATTCTTCAGAGTATTGTGTGTGCACTGTTGCCATGCGGAAATTTGACAATTCATTGCCTAGGTGTGTGTGTGTACTCACGGCATAATGATGCAGAAGTACTTGTGCCTCTGCCAATCCTTCGTCTGGCAAACGGCGGTGCAATACGTTTCCCCGCAGCGCTGGCACATCAATCCGCTTGATTGTCCGCATATCACGCAAACCTTAGCCATTGCGCCGAAATAGGGAAATTAAGACGCGAAATTTTCACAGGCGCCGCCGAAGAAATATGAATGAAGTCGAGAATCAAAATGGCGGACTAACGGAACTTTTCCAAGAAACTGCGTGTTATTCTTTTAACTGCGAAAATCACTGATCTACAGCGAAATATTAGGAGTATTCACTTGTATTTGTTCTTGGATGAATGGTGAAAATGACCCGAACGCGGGCCCAAGTACGCGAACTTATGTTTTAATGAGATGATCAAAATCACGCGCCCGGACAAGAACTTTCAAAGTTAGTGCTGGCAAAACTTCGGAGTACTATCGATACCATCACTGTTTCGTTCGAAAAATCGATAGTGGAAAACATTGATAACTCATTCTAGCGAAGTCTGGAACCATTTCATTTTTAAACAAATTAAAGATATAAGCGGTTTTATCTTATTTTAGCCAGAATTTGTTGCTGAATTTAAATAAGTTTTTGAGCTTGAAAAGTTCGCATAATACAATATTTTTGAATATTCGGGTTCTACACTTCAGAATAGTGTTACCGCACGGATACGCAGAAAATATACCGGATGAAGATGGCGCCCCACAGGCAGGCTTTTTTTAACCACGTTGTCAGCCACACTTTTTCTTATTTATGTAATATTCGCCCAATTTTGCGTTTTGCTGTTGAATTTGCGACTCTCCAAGGATAAAAATGCAAGGTCTTGGTCTTCAGAGCATTAAGAAGAATCCGGCCTTGATTCCGCTCTACGTGTGCGTTGCGGCCGGAGCCATTGGCGCCGTCTATTACATGGGTCGCCTGGCCACCAGGAATCCGGACGTAACCTGGAACCGCTCCTCGAACCCCGAGCCCTGGCAGGAGTACAAGGACAAGCAGTACAAGTTCTATTCGCCAGTGAGGGACTACTCGAAAACCAAGAGTGCAGCACCCAACTTCGAAGAGTAGACTTAAACTTGCAATTTTGTCGGCTAAGCAAATATTGTGTATCCAATTTTAATGGCTGTAACTATGTAGCTGTTAAATAGCCTATTAAAGCCAGCTACACCGCTAAAAATATTGTTTCCATTGGTATATTGTATAAATGTTATGAAAGAACAATGTCTAATTGCGCAGACTCAAATCAAGAGCCAGTTGCACCCAAAAATGTCAACTTATCCTTTCATGAGATCTTTAATTGAATTGCCGTACTCTCAGAAACAATAAACAATACTATGGCTTAAGCCCGAACAATGTGTTTGATTGCTGCGATTTTAGGCGAGGATGTAGCCGAACCAAAGGTGCAAGTCCCCTGCCAAGCCAATGAAACACAGCACCCACGTCAGTCTGTAAATGATGTTGTCCATGCTGCCGCCCTTCAGAAAGATGGGTTTGTCGTTGTTCTCCTGGAACTTCTTCCTCAACTTCTCCATTTTTGGGGTGATCTTGCCTGGTTGCCTCTTTGCAGCGGCGTGCATTAGGGCCGCCGAGGGGCGGGAGAGGTTGGGGACAGTGTAGAAGGCCCCCAACTCACCGCCGATACCGCGGAGCAGTGGCTAGTTGGGGGAGTTAATTAGTTTGTTTAAAGATTACTTTGAGCGAGGTACTTACGCGCAACGACAGCCAGTTTCTCTGCATTTATACGTGGGATTTTCTTAAAAGCAGCAAATGAAATTTTGTGGGCTTCTGAAATGCCAGCAAAACAGAGTTAACATGTAACATCCGGCCTGCTGAAACGGTATTTCTTCCTTAAAAAACCAATAATTGTATTTGTTAATATAAATTCCAATTGGATATTTTTGAGTCATACGGAAGCGCGGATTTTCCCGTTTTGGCAATCTCTTGTTCTGTTTTGTGTGAATGACAATTTTCTTCCTCTTTTAAACAAAGCCACTTTAAACAAAATAAATGCATTAAATTTGCGATATTTACGCAATGTCAGTGGCTAAATTGCTAAACCGCTCCGTGGGAAGAGCGGGCAAAGACTCCTTGCGGGTCTGCACTCTTAAACCCGTGGAACCCGAGCACCAGACCATTCACCTATCCACCGGCGAAAACTTCGTGGGACGCAGCCGGGAGACGGGAATCAGGGACAACAAGTGCTCCAAACGGCAATTACAGCTCCAGGTGGACCTGAAACTCTGCGGAGTGACCTTGAAAGTGCTGGGCGTGAATCCATGCGGCGTCAATGGAGTGATGGTAATGCAGCACTCGGAGTGCGAGCTAAAACACGGAGACCTGGTGGAGATTGTCTACGGGCGGCACCCCTTCGAGGTCGTCTTCAATCCACCGCCCACGGATGCCAAGGAGGAACTACATTCGCCATCTCCAACAGGATCGAGTGCCACTGAAACAGAAAGATGGGACTCTGCAGCCAACGGCAAGTTGGTAATCTTCACCAGCGCTGGCGTGACTGCATCTGAAAAGATCGCCGGCTACGACATGGATGGCACGATCATCAAAACCAAGTCGGGATACGTCTTTCCCAAGAACACCGAAGACTGGCAGATTATCTTTCCAGAAGTTGCAGAGAAACTGAAGAGTCTTCACAAGGATGGATTCAAGATTTGCTTTTTCACAAACCAAGGCGGCATTGCCAAGGGGAAGATCAAGCTAGATGACTTCAAGATTAAGATCAAGCAGATAGTGGCCAAACTAGGCGTCCCTGTCCAGGTGTTCATCGCCATTGGCGATGGCTACTACCGCAAGCCACTGCCCGGCATGTGGGAGCATCTAAAGGAGGAAATGAACGAGGGAGTGGAGATCCAAGAGGACCGCTGCTTCTTCGTGGGCGATGCTGCTGGCAGACCGGAGACGGGGAAGGGGGTCACCAAGCAGCGCAAAGACCATTCGCTGGCCGACAGACTCTTCGCCACCAACATTGGACTCTCCTTCTACACGCCGGAGGTGCACTTCTTGGGCCGCCGAGTGGAGCAGTGGAACAAGCCGGACTTCGACCCTTCTTGCATTCAGGACCAGGTAGCCCTCTTGGATCCCGACGATATTAGCTTTGAGGGTCATCCCTGCGAGATGGTTATCATGGTTGGCCTGCCCGGTTCTGGCAAGAGTCACATATGCAACGCCTTTTTCCAGTCTCGTGGCTACAGAATAGTCAATGCGGACACGCTCGGCAGCGTCCAAAAGTGCCTGAGTGCCTGCCAGGGATACCTGGAGGAAGGAAATTCATGTGTGGTCGACAACACCAACGTGGATGCGGCCTCTCGCAAGAAATTCTTGTCCATAGCCAGCAATCTAAAGATCCCCTGCCGCTGCCTGGTGATGAATCTCTCCGTTGCCCAGGTGAAGCACAATATCGCCTTCCGCGAGCTGTCGGGGGCAAACCACTCCAAGATCAACGACATGGTCTTCAACATGATGAAAAAAAAGTATCAGGAGCCGGCCCTAGACGAGGGATTCCAAAGCATTCACAGGGTGAACTTTAAGCCGGAGTTTGCCAGCGAAAAGGAGGAGAAGCTGTACAAAATGTATTTGGTGGAGAAGTGAGAAATTTTATTCAGTCCAAAGTGAAGATACGTTTGGCTATGTCATCGATCAGCCAGTCCATGGAGCTAAGCAGCTTCTCACCGGTCACCGCGCTAACCCCGGCCACCAGCCAGTGGTGCGTGGTGATCTCCTCCAGATGTAGTATCTGTAACGAATGTTGTGATTAAATCTGTTGACTAAGTATTGGCTGCTGCGTACCTCTTTGATTTCATTTGAAGTAAGGGCACCTGGCAGGTCCTGCTTGTTGCACAGCACCAGGAGGGTGGCACCCGCCAGACGCTCTTCCTGCAGCAGGATCTGTAGCTCCTGGCCGCAAGACTCCAGGCGCATGCGGTCCGCACTGTCCACCACCCACACCAGACCGTCGGTGCATTCGAAGTAGTTTCTCCAGTACGACCGCAAGGACTTCTGGCCACCCACATCCCACATATTCAGGGTGTACCCGTTGTGCTCCAGGGTCTTTATGTTAAAGCCCAGCGTGGGCGAGATTGTGTCTATGGGTTCGCCGTTGAAGCGCTTGAGGATCGTCGTCTTGCCGGCATTATCCAGGCCTCTAAAAGTAATTTATGGCATTTGTTTTGTTGTTGGATTTGTATGAATGTACAATGTGTGTATGCATTACTCACAACAACAATATGCGCATTTCCTTCTCCTTCTGACGCATCTTTTTCAATACTGTAAGGAAGCCCATAGCTGCGTTTGTATTTATTTATAGCTAGGGAGTTAATATTTAGTTCTTATTTCAGCAGCTGCCTTAATTTTTAGTCATAATGTAAATATTTTGTGTGAAGTCTGGCAGCGTAGAGATGTCAAACTACCGGTGGTACTATCGATAGTACCGATGGTTTGGATTCAGCTTCCACTATCGGTAGTTTGAAAACAATCGCGGTAGTATCGCCTCTATATAATTTTTTTTTTTTTTTTTGTTCCAGCGACGTCAACCGAGTCGGAAAGAATGTTTTCGAAGGCAGGAGAAATAATTTCCGATCGTAGATCACATTTTAGAAACCAAAAATAGTTGATAAACTGTTGTTTAAAAACAAAAATTGGTGGATATCTGACTGTTAAACGTTAACTCTGATCTCATACAATGTTTTTGAATAGTGGCAGGACCGCTTTAATATTATTTCATTTTTAAGATATAAAATATGAATCTTTTGTTATTTTTTTATTTTTGTTATTATTAAGCTTGAAACCAAACAATGAAATACGGGAAGAAAAATATATATATCACAAGAAATTAAAACTGTCCGACTATTTTTATATATTTTAAGACTTTTACTATATTATATCTTTACTCTTAAAAATCTCTTTCAAATTAATAAGGTATACCCTCAACTTTTTTGAATTTTTTATTAGTGGAATATCCCCTTTTTTAAGAAATTTTTTAATGTCGGTACTATCGCGATAGTATCGATAGTTTGCAAAAAAAAACTCGAAACTACCGATGGTGCGAATACCGGTAGTTTGACATCTCTATGGCAGCGCACAAAAAAACTATACAGTGAGCACCAAATAATCGGTACAATATTGATTATTACGACAATTCATATAAGGTAAATATATAAATAAATAAAGATTTAAAAATATATATACAAATTAATCTCAACGTTAAAACATTGTTTAAAATAGTTCATATAGTGGACTAAAGGAGCATCCACCGAGTTTTTACTGTACAATATCGGCCTACTTTGCTAGGGCTGCATTATCACGACCATCTGGCAGCACGCTTATTTAAATTATTAAAATTAATAAACTTAAAACTATTAAATGTTAAAAAATGGACAAATATCATACATTAATTTAAAACATATTTACGATATAATTGTTTTTTATAATATTTGTATTTCATGAACCTTAGCAGGGCTGCATTTTCACGGCCATCTGGCAGCACTCCTTCTCCAAGACATCAAACAGCTGTCATAATCGAGGCACCGATTTTTCGCCCAGGAAAACTTCTCGCCGTTTGCTAATTTTTAAAAATAAACCACAGCAAGATGATGAACTTGTCCAGAGTAAGTTTAGGGCTGAATTAAGGCGTGTTCCAGGCACTGGAGAAAGCGTGAAACACTGCTGGCATAACTGCCACAAGCGGACTTGCCGCATGCAATTACGTAAGGTCCGCTGGAGCCCACGAACTAACCGCACATTTCGTCTCCTGCAGGCCGTTGTCCGCAGCTTTGCCACCACCGCCGGCCGTCGCTCCGCCGCCGTGCCCAAGGAGCAGATCGAGAAGGGCTACTTCGAGATCCGCAAGGTGCAGGAGCACTTCCAGAAGAAGGACGGCAAGCCCGTGTTCCTCAAGGGCTCCGCCGTGGACCAGGTGCTGTACCGCATCACCATGGCGCTGGCCTTGGTGGGCATCGGCGGCATGGGCAAGCTCTTCTACGACCTGAGCGTGCCCAAGAAGGAATAAGGAGTGCAGTCCCCCAAAAATCCCTAAGCTAAGCCACTAAAACCAGCAAGACCCGTGATTCAGCCCCCCGGCCCCACATATGTTTTTGCAGTGTAGTCGTCGCCTTATATTTCTGTGTTTTGATTGTGTAAGTAAGCAGGAGAAAGGGAAAGAAAGTCGAGAGCCAGTTTATTATTGGTAGAACAAATAGCAAGAAAACTAAATATCCATTATTTTACATTTAAGTCTGAGCACTTTCGACCCTTTTTGTCCAAATTCCAACTAACAACATATCTTAACTAATCCCACTTCATCTTCCAGAGCTTTTGCCCCGGATACCTGGCCAACATAGAACACCCACCACACCCTCAACCTGGCTTGATGTTGTTTTGTGTTAGCCTAGCTAAGATTTGACTTAATGTGTAAACGGAACATTCGCAAGAGCATTTAAGGCGTGGAAATATAAGAACCTGGCTGTACAGTACAGAGACTGCTTATTTCTTTTATTGCATGGTCGCTGGCTATGAGATATTTGCCCAAAAGTATTTTTTCCTCTAATTGCATTGACATTAAGTAAACAACCGACGGCATGGAGCAGAGGATCTGGGATGCGGCAGAGAGAGACCCAGAGTGAGGAACCGTCTAAGGCAACGGGCCTGTTTTATAAATCAAAGGGCGGCAACTCGGCGCGTTGCCATTGGCATGGAAATGCATTTTAAATCGAGCGAATCATGTTGCGCTTTAACACAAGCACAGGCCCATGCACGCTGCCGCTGTTTATTAATATCCGAGAACTGGTAGCGGGGACGGGGACTGGGCTGCTGCCTCGAAATATGTGCATATGCAATTCAAGGCGTTTTTCATTAGTTATTTCTCCATAAACACTTAAATAAAACTAAAGCATTAAAAATTAAGAAAACATCCGTTGCTTTATGAATTTTCACTTGTAATTTCCACACACAGACGGGTGCACAAGGGCAGTGCGGTCCAATTTTGTGTATCCTTTTAAAAAATATATATTTTACGTTAAAGATATACGAACATAATGTGCTTCCTTTCTTGTATTCGTTAGGCTCTTAAACAAATCACTAAAAACTAGACTTTAGACATTATACTTGTATCCATTGATCTCGGCTTTTATGGTAAAGTGATCATAAAGTTTTGAAAATCTACTTTAACATAATAATGTACAAAGAAATTCTAAAAATAAGGTAGTTTATTAGCTCAGCAGAACTTTTTGTTTAAGATAAATTCCTAATTACTAAATTGCACTCCTGCATTACACTCCCAGTACGCACTGTATCCGCACACACCCACCATTGGAAAGGCTCTCCGCTTCTGTTTCTGTTGTGTGTTGTTGTGTGCTGTGTTGGTTTGCCATTATACCGTTACGGCCCATTTGAACACTGCGATGTGCGCGCGAAACGAAACGCATAAAATGGAGGCCAGGCGGGCGTAAAAACATTTCCGAACTCATTGCATATCTGCATCGGGGGCTACTGATCGAAGCTACACCCACGATCTATCTGTGTTCTATACACTGCGCGAAGGTGGAGACAGACATTGTAACCCGCTCCAAAAAAGAGACAGAAGCTAAAACTTGGGGGTTTTAATTAAAGTTCCTAAGGACCAAACTAATTGTGGCTTGGCCACGCACATGTCGCAAACTTATTATATTTCATAGACTGTGAAAAATTTAAATGAACACAAAATGCCACTGCGCTGGCGGAGATCGTGAAGCCCTAGCCATGGGCATAGCCAGCCCATTCCGTCCCCGGGAAGCGGGATCTTTCGGAGTAACTGCAACGGCAAGAGGCGTTCCACTCGACTGCCCGCATCCAAATTACAATAATAACTCAAGAAGCATAGAAGATGCCGGGCTAAACGCTACTCCTTCTCTGCTCTGCAGTCCTTTGCCTTTGCCAAAAACAATATGCTGACGAGCTGCGAGCTGGGAGCGAAAAAATGGGGATCGGGAGGCGGATGCGTGTAGAATCGGGAATCGAAAAATGTGTTTCATTAAATTTTATTTATAGTCGGCAATTTTATGCATTTAAAGCGCGTCTATCAGCGCTGCTGCATCAGTGCGGCATTGCCAGCGGCATCAAGGCGATGCGGAAACGACCGCGACGCCATTTTGGAAAGTTCCCTGCCAGCGGCAGCGACGGCGGCAGGCTTTGATTTAGAAAGGGGGTCAGAGAAGCTGGCAGGGTTGATCGAACTGATTACCAAGCCAATCAGGGGGATTCCCCTATATAGACCCAACTTTCACCTTTCCCCCAATTGTGTGTTGTTTTTCTTTTTGGTTGGTTTGGTTTTTTGGATGTCTTCCTATACAGGGTAGTCTAGTTTGAATAAGAAAGTATGATGGACTATTGTGAGTATAATTTATAGTCCAAATATCAATGGAGATATGTACATATATAATCAAAACATTTACTTATTTATTTAAGAATCAGCTCCATCCTAACTTACCTGATGAAGAACAAATGCAAATTACCAACGTATCCAGTTCTATAATCGGAACTGCATCCATAACTATAGCCATATAAATAAACTCGGGTATCTCACAGTCGGGCTCCTTGACAGCAGCGCCCTCGCTCGTTAGATGCTCCTCACGTGAAATATGGCCACGTCCTGGTCCGGATCGGATCAGATCAGATCGGCTTGGGATCCCGGTTCGCGGTCCGTGGTCCGCGATCCGCACAGCAGCCGCAGCCACAAATCAGAATGCCGTTGAAGCGTTCAAGTGCAACGAGCATGAAGCGAACTCGCTGCCGCTTGCGTCCCCAACTCTGTCTCCGTTGACGTCCCCAACTCCATCTCCCACCCCAACTTTATGCCCACCTCCGGATCGGGGCTGTCGGCAAATCTGGGCAACTTTCAGAAGAGGATTTCGTCAGATTGTCGCTGGGGTTGACGAGAGCTGACGGGTGAAGTCAAACCTTCACTCTTCCGAGGTGCTCATCGAAACCAGTTTGGCCTATTAACACTTCGATTACAACTCAACTTTTTGGACACTCCCGGAGGCACGGACGCGGAGCTCGGTGGCACTCTGGGTGGTCCCCGTCGCACTATTAGTTAGATTTTGATTTATTTGAGCTTCAATTAGTCGTTGAACAAATCTGTTTATTTATTTGCTTTTAATTATTGTTGGCAACCACAAAGCCGTGCCACCGCTGCTCTTTATGGCCACCTCGCTCCTTGCCTTGGCCGAAGAAGGTTTTTAATTAGCACCCGCCGGATAATTCACAAAAAAGCCATCACCAAATAGCCGAGGATTTCTACAGACGTTAATGGAATCGAAACTCCCGGAAAAAAATATCAAAGAGGGCAAACAGAGTTTTGTCTTTCGAGGCAACAAAAACTGAATGCTATATTTTTGGATTTCTTATTTGCGAATTCTGGTTAAAATTGGTTGAGGGAAGGGTTATTGAAGCTAAGCTTAACCTCCCCGAAATACCTGAAATCTTTCATTAATAATAAATATAATGTTGAATATTATTTGCATTTAGACAAAACAAAGGAATAAATAAAACATAGTTTTATTATATTTTCCGATTTTATTAGCGAATCCGGAATTCCCATTAAAATGGGGCAAAACTCATCGAAAATGCCTTATTTTGATATAGTTTCGCATCCATGGCTGCATCCAAAAAGAGGGATTCGGCTGGCGTAAACAAACAAAAACAGATTGCACGCCTTGCCGCAGAACTGGGAGGAATGTCGTAATATATAGAAACGGCATTGCGCGATTTATAGGCCGTAACTCAGCCCGGCCCCGTGAAAGATGCGCCGGGAAACCGAAACCCCGGCAAACCAGAAACACATGTCCATGTCCGGGACCATGGGAATTTTCGGGGGTTGAAAAGACTCCCAGAATTGGTCAGGCAACGACTTCATCTAGTTAGGAAAGGAACTGGGTCGGCAAGTGCGAACGTGTGGGATCAGGTGACATCTTTCCCGGTCGGTCGGTTGCGGTATGTTGCCTCTTAAGTGAGCCGGGTATTCGCTTACACCAATAATTCATCCTTAAGTGCAGTTGCGTCGATCCGTTTTATGTAGCGCCCAGCGTCCGCCTTTGGAGGGTTCGCCAGGACTCAAGTGGGTCGCATAATCACGTGTCGACGAGATCCTCCAAGATCGATGGCCGGTTTTATTTTTTGTTTCTTTTAGGGAGTGCGAGTACCGCCGCTGCCGTAGACAATTTGACGCTTCCGCCTGCTCCAGCGGTGGTGCACTGGGGGAAAAACTGTCAAATATTTGTAATTTATTTACCTTAATTTTCTAGATTAAACTGAGTATATAAATATAATGGTTTATTGCTGATTATTTTTTAGGTCTCATGTACATAATTTGATATACATAATTTTATACAGGACTAATAGCCCTTCACTATTTTGTAAGCCTTACGATTCTAGTACATCGAAAATGTATTGTGTATAGTTAACTAAATACTCATTGTATATATAATTAAAATATATATAAATATATAAAATATCATTGTATTATAAGAAAATTCTTTAAAGTATTTTTAAAGTTAAAATACGTTATTTAAGGGAAATACATTTTTCTGTCCGTTTTGTTTATCTCAGTGTAAGGTTCACACCCATCTGGTGTAATCTTATGCAAGTAAGTTAACCGTCTCTGCCCTGGATGTGTCAATTTTATAGCGCATTTGCCACTTTATGACATTTGATGCTCCAGCTCCTGGACCTCGGACTTCTCCCACTTCAGCACTCCTTGTTGTTGGGTCCTTTGTTTTCTCAAGTGCCCTGGTATATTCCGCTTCAACTCCTCTCACTCTTTGTTCACAGACAGAAAAATTCGAGGAAGGAGCTGTGGAAAAATAAAATAAAAGTCAGGGAATCAGGAGAGGAGAGCCGGCGGAAAGCGCACAGTGTTCATTTGTTATGCCTGTCATTTGTCGCCGCTCGCCGGCAACTTCAAAGCCTGTCACCCAATTTGTTAAACGCGGAGACAATTTTGTCATCGTCTTCCCCCGCCTTGGTTCCCCCCAGTCAGCCATCACTCCAAAAGCTTTGGCCGCCGGGGAAGAAATTTTTAGCTTTTGCATGTGTTTAATTATTTCGTAAGTATAACCAGATATACGAGGGATTTTAAAAACAGTATAGATTATATATATTTCTAGATACTTACCTTAATTATACTCCTAGTTTTAGTCAGAAGCTACTAACATCAGTCAGAAGGAGTAATTTCTGACACTATAAATCATATATATTCTTGATCAGCATCAACAGCCGAATTGTTTTATTTCGTCAATTTTGAAATTTGGAATACAGATTCTTTAAACTAGGAAAACTAGCATAGAAAAGTTTTCCGAACTGAGTTCGATGGTTTTTTGACTTAGTTATGGTTTTTATTTAAACTTTGATTTGTCCAAAAAATTATCATGTAAAAATATGGATAAATATTCGTTTACATAATTTAAATATTTCCGGTCTTCTTAACAGGTATTATACATTTTGTCGGTGAAGGAGTCATTTCCGGTCCCATAAATCATATATATTCTTGATCAGCAACAACAGGCAAGTCTTTCTAGACATGTTAAAACGAAAAAAAAATTTTCACAATTTTTTCAAAAATTTATAAGGGGTTACATCGTTAAAATAGTGAAAAATTGGCAAAATTAAAAATTTAAAACAAAGTTAAATTCAGTATGCAGATTTTTTAAACTTCTAAAAACTAACTTAGAGCAGCTTACCGAATTCAAATTAATGCATTTTTGGCTTAGTTATAATATTTTTAAATTGTAATATGCCACCAAAACTATCATATTGAATATTATGTCTATAAATATGAATATAAAGTCTTCACATAATGCATATTTCAGCTCTTTTTTGTGTCTGCTGAAGTGGAATAATAATAAATTTAATAGTTATAAACGGATTTTTAAAATTTTGAACACTATAAGCCGCTTTTTTAACCCCATAGAAACTAAGACAAAACAATTACCAAATTTACTTTATTTATTTTGATTGTAATAACAAATTCAATTCCTCATTTCAATGAATTCGAGGCAGAGCGACTAATGTCTTCAAGCTTATGGGGTAACTATTAACCTTAATTAACGAAATAAATACAAATATATATATATTAACAGTACAAAGCATAAAACGTATTTAATTTAGTCATATTAATGAATGAAAAAAAAAAAAACAAAGGGAAATTTGCAGAATGGCGATCGTCAGACCTGCAATCCGAACGAGTTCAGCCATAGAAAGAGCTAAAGAGCGGAGACGGAGTCGCTCTCGCACCGAGTGAGAGGATGAGAGGCCAATTGGATTCGCAACAAAAGGTATGAGCAGGTAAGCGTAAGCCAACTCAAGGAGGTGTGTCCAACGCCCTCTGTGTGTGTGTGAGTGTGCATGCACACCCGCCAGCGAGTGCAGGGGAAAATCAGCAGGCCAGAGCTGAGTTTTCTGCCCATTTTAATGAGGGAATGACAACGAAAATTGGCATCTATCATTAAATGACGATTTTTAGAATCGGTGACAATCAGATGAAGACAGGCATTTCTTATAATTAACTCTAACCAAGCAAGACGCAACGCCTCAGCGAGAGTTGGCATCCTCATCACGCATACGCCGTGTTGCCGCATTGGCTGCGCACTACAGGGTTACCACCACCAGCACCACCACCTACCACTGTGTCGTCTGCACCGCTTTATTAGCATTATGACTTTCCTAATGAACCAAAAATAGATGCACGCGATCCACCCAGAATTCCCACAGCCCCGCCCCCACCAGGCCGCCAAGTCGCCGAATCGCATGTGTGTGACACTAAAAAGTCATGACATCTCTCGCTCACCCTGCGTAACGCTACGGATACGCTTACTTGCTTCAGATTGGCCATTCAAGCATTCAGAAATTAACTCCGCCCGGTTGCGTGTGCTCACTCACTCGGCCCGCGAGAGAGATTCCGGTTCCCTTGCGACCAGAGAGCGACCCAGGGGGACTTTGGGTCCTGAAAAAGATGTAATTTTCCTGAGGAATCGCTCAGGAGGTTGGTCCCACCGTTTATGCAAGGTTACTTTATTTATTTTATTTTTATTAATATATTTTGATATTTTTTTAGAAAATCCATCTAACCAATTTGTTTAGGCCCTCCTGTGTAGTTAATTATCATTTCTGGTGAAAAGCCTCTCCACATTTTTATTTAGTCCGTTCGGATCCACAATTTTTGGAAGTCTTAAGATATAATATAATATTTATGATATATTTTAATATAAAATTTTCAAGCTGATAACATTTTTTAAATTAATTTTAGTTTAGTTTTAGTTTTCATCTATATATCCAGCCCCACCTTCAACACCCTGCAGCGCTCCTGTTCGTCCAAAGATATTCTTCATTTTTATTCTTTCGAGCATCGCCATTAAAGCCAACAAATACAAGCGATCGAACCGCCCTCCCTCGCATGTGTGTGTGCACAGCAAAAGAGCGAGAGAGAGGCAGTGCTAGAGAGAGAGAGATCTTGAGGATGCTGGGAAACTGCTCGGCGGAGTCGGCGTTAGTCGCAGTAGACACGGCGAGCAGCAACGATCTTTCTTCCAATCCGATCCGAAGTGATCCGTTTCGAACCAATCGGAACCGAACCAAGACCAAGAGCGCGCGCACGGAATACGAATAATCGATCTCACGGGTGGCCGGTCGTACGGATAACGAAAAAGCGCAGAAACCTACAGGGTACAAGATCGGAGCGTAGCAAAACCCATATTCCAAAGTGTCATAAAGTGTGTGCGGTTAGTTCCCGCTTCCCCAATAAGGTGTGATAAGTGCGTGATAATTTTCGAGCCAGGCCAGCCGAGCGGTCCAGTGAGCCACCGTTTTGGCCCGAAAATGTGCTAATCAGATCTCAGTTTTGGTTCACGGCATCGCAGCCACCGCACAACTGGCGCCAATTTGTATACAAATTTCATGCCTTAATTGAAACTCACATTATAGCCAAGTGCGAAAAGTTAACGACTAGGCAACCACCGCCAGCACTCAGCGATCCGACTCCCATTCCAGCGAATTCAACCAGAGAAAGTTTCTCGGCGGAGCCAGCAAGGAGATCGTACGGAAGGTGCGACAACTGCAATTCTGGAGTTCTTCAATCAACTGTCAACGGCCGAAATGGACCCAGGTAGGTGGAGACAGCCCTCGAAACTATCCCTGGCCATCCAGAATCCCCGATATATCACCTAGACTGAGGGGTCCACGAGTGCGAGGTGCCGACGGCATGCAAGGTCTGAAATTGTTTCAGTTTAAAGGCCTTTGTTGTCGTTAAGAGGAATGCATTTTTAAATTAAATAAACTCCCAGCAACCTAAATCAACTATAGAGAAAACTAAAGTTGAATAACTCAACTTTAAAACAGTCTTTAAAAAAGTCTGAAGCAAAGAATCTGCAGACATCAGCTCTGAAAAATCGTATATTTAATAAATATTACCGACCTGTTTTTTTCCTATAGCCATAATTTAAAAGATTTTTTTTCTGTGCACTCAAATCCCCAAGTTCAAGTGTTTTGCTAACAAAGAGCTCTCGCCCAATCCTCAAAGCCAAGCCAAGTCCTGATGGATCGATGCCCAGACTGTGTGGCAATCGATCGATGGCCCGACTTATTTTCTTTATATTTTGTTGTTGGAGTTTCTTTTGGCCAGGCCAAGAGGAAAGAAGCAGGTGTTTGCTCATGATTTTCGTTTCAAAAGGCTGCCGTCGCTTTGCGCTTGATCGACAGCCTCGCGGTAGCCGCGGCACTTGTTTGCCCTGATGCTTCTGGCTTTCGATGATGTCGCCGACATCCGTAACCCGAACCCGAACCCGAACCCGAATCCAAACTCCAAGCCAGCAGCAATCTCTTGGCGGGGTCCGGGACCCATGCCTCCTAATTTAACTAATGACCGTTGTAATGTTTGTGCCTTTGTCGTGCGGTCTTCACTCTTGGCTCCAAGTGTGCGTGTCTCTGTTTGTCCATGTGCTTTGGGCCAAAAACAAAAATGCCGTGGCAGCCACGTCTTCCTATGGCCGAAAAACTAATGTGCAAAGATTTGCTTGCCAGTGTCTGTTGACCAACATCAGCGCAATTGAATAATTTGGCATGCGTCGATTTACTTTTACAAATTTCCAACTGGTTGGATCATCTTTGAAATAATGGGACAACGGACGAGGAGATCGGTCCCAACCGTTGGGTGACATAATTTCTCGAAATATTATAGTGGTTTCTAGTCTGGCATTTAGGTATGGTTTTTAGATTTTTGTTAAGTGGCTTAGCCATAATAAAATCGTTTTTTTTTTCAGTTATTTGTTGGTAATTAAAGACTTTCTTTTTAAAATTTGTAAGCCTTACATTTTAATAGAATCATACCAATATTCTAGATAACTTTGATACAAGATTCTTTAGAATAAAGCACATCACTCAAACTGAGCCGGAAAGACGGAAGATATCGGCCAGGAGGTCCGCACTTTGGTCCATTAATGACTGCTTTCGATGTTTTGACATTCTGTTTGTTCGCCGGCATTGTTTGTCCGGGCCGCAGACGTCGTGAAAGATATAGGCTCAGACGGCGAGGTGCAGGCCCAGGCCAGACCCCAGAGCCCGCTGGACCGGAGAGGCACAAATGCGTGGCCATCTACTTCGGTAGCCGAACATGCAAAGCCCAGGAACGCCAGCCAGTGCAAGTGCAAGATGGTAAAATCACAGAGGAAGAGGAAGGAGGGCCAGTAAAACAAAAGTCGGCGTCACAAAATGCTGGCAAACACTTGAGACACGCGGAGAAGTTCGTCGCGTCAATGTGTACACGCCTTAATGGAAGAGTCTATATATGTATATGGTGCTACATGAACGTGTCCAGGAGCTGGAACTGGGAGATGGAGAGAGGCTGAAAAGCCCGACCAGCAGCTTCCTCCGCTGATACCCTCGATTGCGGCTCGGTCTTGGGATAACGCTCCACTGCACCGGCTTGATTGTGTGGCGTCGTTTCCCCCGAGTTCTTTAATTAAATCGCTACCCCGCCAGCTGGTGCGGAACTTTCATTAAGCGCATTTTGGCAAAATAATATTGTCGGTAATACGGGGTTTCTTAAGCGAGATTTCTCGGGAATTGAAACCAAGTTGAAGTACTTTTAAAGCTATAACTACTTTTATAACCAACATTAGGGAAAAATAATAATAACGACATAAGATCCCTCTTAGGGCGTATATCTCCATGAATCAGGAACTTTTGGTCCCCCTTTCCTCTTAATTATCTCCCTGCGGATATCTCCTCCGACCTCTGACATCTGACAAGTGTGCTTCATGTATACAAGTATACTTGAGGATAAAACTCAGCTCATTACCATAAATTTAATGCGTTTCTAATCGTTAGAGGGGGCACGTGTTTGAGCTAGTTCATTCCCTGGATAATGAATGGCAAGCACATCAATAAGCCGACGGCCGACATCTGGTCTTAACCCCTAGCCCAACCCCTAACCCCTTGATGGCCTGTGTCGAGTCCCACGGGAGCGATGGCGACCCGACCCGCAACCGGAACTGCGACATAGGACATCCAGCTCCATTTCCTAGTTTCAGATTCTAGATTCAGAGACGTAGCTTTGTCTATTTAGCTAGTCTCTATCTATTTGTAGCTATTATAATAGGCTAAGGAAGTATTCCTTCCAATATGGGGACATATTAGTCCTAAATTAGGACTCCTAATATAGTTGTATACAAAATTCTGTGACTTTGGTAATACTTTAAAATTTGATTATTTATTTATAAATTATAAACTTGCATTGTGGTACATAAACTCTTGCTATATCTAGATTAGTATTCTCCAAGATCAGCTTCTTTCTAGCTGTCAGCCCTGCCCAGGACTTGAGAGCTGGGAGCTGGGGAACGGAACACATGGTTGGATTTATATGCATGTCGGTGCTGTCAGCGGCGGGCGTTGCACATTTCTCGACTGCTGCTGGGAGTTGTTGTCGGTTCTAGTACATTGCCAATGATTGGTCGGATGCGTTGGATCTCTCCCTCTCCCGGGGACAGATCGGAACTCTGGCCATCGACAGGGACCACATTTTGGCTACGCGGTCTCGCATTGTCTGCGCATTCCTGGTACGCGTAATTGAAGTCACTGCGGCGGCATATCTTCTTTGAGGCACACATCCCTTTTCGGGTTTGGATTCCCCAGATGGGAGCTAAGGCCGTCATATTTCCTAGACTCCAACTACTGCCCCTGGCTCCCATCCTTGGCCACAGCTAGTGCGTCTTTGGTGCATCTTTGTGGTGGCTGCCGTGATTTATGAACTCATTAATTTCTGTTGACAGACAATGCTGTTGACGCCGCAGGAATCTATTTAGCTTTATGTACTTTTGATTCCCACTTGCTAGGCAGGCGCCCGGCGAGGGCGCCTATTCTGATGGGATTCATTTACCATTCGAGGCTTCTGGGGATCTTGATCGGGTATCGGCAAACTGGGTATTTTTAAAGAGCGACCAAGCTGAAATATAAGTAAAAAAGGATCTCCATTTCCTGGAACCTTTGCTGGAATTTATCAGCAAACCTTGAGCAAAACATTCCCCATCCTATTTAGAATTCGAAATCGATCGATCCAACGATCGATCTTGTGTAAACAAATATCACTCCCACTCCCAACGACAACGACGACTCTTTTCCGTTGATAACACTCCGGTTGAACTCTGCAGATTAACAAGGAAAATGGCATGGCCATCGGGTCACCGGGAATCTTCGAAGAGGAGGAAAGATCTCGCGGAACGGCGACTCTGTGAAATTTACTGATAAATAAATGCGATTGTGCGGCAAATTGTGCAACGCTCCGAATGCAAAATTGTCGACAAGCTCTCCTCTCGTAGTTACTTATAGTATTGTATAAAATAAAGAAAGGGAAGAAAACATCGAGATGAAAACTGTATTTAAAAGGGGACTATTTATAAGTCGGCGGCCAACTAAATAGTCACATTGTCAGCACAGTGCAGTATAGTGCAAGGGGGCGGACCACACCGCGTATACGCAATGCGCTGCCTGCTGAGCCTCAGCTCAAGTCAACTGAGTTGTTAAATTAATTTTTTCTGCATGCCACCGAATGCATATATAAATTTCATAAAATGCCAAGAACAAGGGAAAAAAAAATTTAAAATAAAACGACGGAGCGACGGCGCTCTGTCAATCAACCTGCTACGGCTGGCTCTGCGGTCTTCGGTCTTCCGTAGGAGAAGAAGCCGCCACTTGCCAAGACCCCAAGATTTATGGGAACAAGCCACGCAGCAGTTGAAAATGCACTCGCACATATTGTATAGTTATGAAAAAAGGAAATCCAATTTGCCATGCACTTTTATACCCTCTCGAAAGTAAGGACATAGTAGTTCTCTACTCTGGCTAAAGAAAAATGTAAATAAAATTATATTTTAACTATGTATCTTATATATTTGTAGAAAGTCTTTAAATGTAAAAGAACCTTCTTTAAATACTTCTGAAACCTTTTTCCCTTGAATTTTATATGGGTCTATTGGAATATCTCTTAACAAATGTTTACTTAGTCTTGCAATGTATTAGCAAATTATAATGGATGTACTTCCATATTATTATCACTATCTATTAATACTATTATTTGACATACATTTGTTAATTCCAGGAAATTACCTAAAATTTTATTTTTATTTTACTGCCTAGAACGTTATTTATTTGTATTTGAAGTATTCAATAAATCACACTTTATTTAATAGTTCTTTCAAAGAGTATTTAATTTTCGAATTCATTTGTCGACCTTAGCATGATGTCTTTTTTGGGCGAATCCCCCCATCCTCCCCTGATCCGGATGATCCAATCAAACACCAAAACCACAGTCACATGAAATATTGCCCTCAATATCAAAAACATCATTTCATGCCAAATTTATATTCAATTTGGGACCCGAACGAACTAAAAATACAAATCCAAATTGGCAGCCATTTTGATAATTTCTGGTTTATTTGTGTTTTTTCTTTTGTATTTTATTCGGTTGCAGTTAATGCTGTGAATATTCAGACAATTACTCAGAGTTTTCTGCGATTTAATACAATTTAGTGGACCATTTTCGTAGGACGCTTCGCTTAGTGTGAAAACGTGTTAATTGACGGCCTCCGCGCGGCTCGCTTATTAATTAAAATTAAATTCGAATTGGCCTTTTTCTTGTTTTCTACAAATAACCAGCGTCTCTAAAGGCGTGATAAGTATTATTGTCATCGTTCGGAGCTCGCTGAAATTTCACCTATGCGTTTCAAATCAAATGCCATATAAATCATACAATGTATTTTTATGATCGCGTTAAGCGGATGTCTTATCAATTCGAGATGTTTGAATTTGTTAAATTCAATTAGGCGGCAAATAAGTTCATTGCCTCTCGACATTTGACATCGAAGATGTTCCTCTCGGCATTATCCGTTTGTTTTTTTTTTAAATAATCACAGAGTCAATCGAAGTATTTTATTTATTGCAATTATTAGTTGCAACTTATCAACCAGACAGACAAGTAGGAAGAGGACTGTCGCCACTTATATAGCATAATGTATGAATGTTTTGCGAGCTGATAAGATTGAAATACATTTACTTGAGTGACAAAACGTCAATAAATATGCACATGAGGCTTACAGTAAAAACTTTTGGCAACGATTTATACTCATCAGATTTGAATGTCAGATTTGCATATCCAGTATATCATAGGGTTAAAGAAAATAATGACTATGTACAAAAAGGGCAGAAAGAGGTATCTTTGACATATCCTTGACATCAACAGTCGAGTTTATTAAGCTGCAGCTTTAATTTTTCAAGTCGAAAGGAGTTATTTGAATAAATAGGTAAATTTATTAAAAAATGCATTTTTCCTTAAATGTAAAATATTTGGTTTTAATCACCAGAATCTTCACTGTGCCTCACACATTCTCACACGTTGACATGTTGTTTTTCCTGGTGCTCTCCGCTCCGTCCATTTTGTTTAGCGAAAAATATTATTTTTAATTAGTTCTACTTAGTTAACCTTCGTTAATTGCTCCTGTAATTGGATTTACCCGCATCAGTGGGTTCGTGAATATACTTTAACGATATTTTAATAATTTATAACAGCTAAAAATCAAAAACAAACTCAAGCTGCATATGCGCGATTTTAATTGCCGTCGGCAAAGCTTTTGAAAAAGTGTTGAAAAATTTCCATGGAAGAGGAACCAGGAGGAAGAAACTCCGACAAGCATGCGCACATTAAAGCCGACATTTCTTTCTGGATTGCATTTGTAATTTGCGCGGAACAGTGGTCGCCATTGTATTCGGCAATTTCCCAGAATTTATGAATTATAATTTTGCCATATAGACAATTTTAATTGAGCTTTTTATGGGGCGTATGGTGCAGGGAAAATAATATTAGCAGAGATCTAAATGATAAGTTTCGTCGTTAATTTAATTTTATAAACATTAATACAACTGAGTATTTTAGTTTTTAATTTAATTTAATCAAATTATTATACTTAGTTCCAGGCACAGCTTGTATATTTATTTGGATTATTTTAGAACTTCTTTTTATAATTTTTTTTTCTCCTGGCTTCCCGATCTCGAGCCAAGCGTGTCCTGCCCGTAAAGGTGTATGGTTTCAATGCAAACACAGCCATTTGTAAGCCATTTGTACCGACAACACAGATATACAACCGTCTGCTACTGAATTCTAATCCGAATCAACTTCCAATTTCCGCCACCGGGAGTCCTAAAAGGACCCTGACTCTAGGAGGGACACAGAGAGACACGAAAATCTATGGGCAAATATTGACTGAAAAGGCAGGGCAGCAGCCAGAGTTTTAGAGTTTCAGACTTTATGATTTGTTAAGCTGTTTGCTCGACCTCTTCACGAATCCATAGCTGTTTGCATTTCATTAACAGAAGCTGCTGCTGCTCTCGGCTCGGATCGGTTCGGGATCCGGGCCCTGATCTGTCCAGCATCCCGGTGTGTTTGCCTTGATTAAGGCTGTCTAGTCTGACTAGCGGAAAGTCGATAAGTCAGAAGTGATCCTTTCCGGCAAAGTGGTCCAGTAGCAGTAGGGCCAGGCAAATCGCTTTTTGTGCGTAACTCGAAATTAAATAAACAGAATTTTGTCTCTTAGCGCGTCTGCACCTTCCTACTCTTCTGCCCCGGAGACTGCTGCCTGGCGGGCAAACAAACAACAAAACAAACTGAGAACGCGACGGCGACCTGGCTTGCACCTACCCGAACTGCTCCTCTGATCGTGACCGACACCAGAGGAGTACCTAAGCCCACCCCCAGACTCGTCTCAACGACGGTGGCATGTTTGCACCTTTAATAAGACCAACAATCAGTGCCGACGCATCTCATCGCACAAGTAGTCGGGCCAATGTTGCACTTGTGAACCCTCGAAAAAGGGGCTTGAGGCTAGATCAAATTGAACAGCACACACTGGAAGAAAATATGTTGAATAAAAATGTAAAACAAACTTTGGTAGTGGTATATCTTACAGTCCGATATATAGTCGGGTTTATAGGTGTTGTCGCATGGTGATGTGGATCTAGACTTTCGAACCCAGCTAAATGTCTGTGCTCTTGACTCATCTCACTTCCGTCGGTTTAAAGGGGGAATCGATGCGCCGCTCTAATAGGAAATACGTGACTAATTTGCATGTGTTCGCGGGCAGTATTTTATTCTGGCCGGATGTCGATTGGCTGCCATAAATCACAAGTGGAAGAACTTACTCAGAACAAAGACGACTGCAAGTCGGAGAGCACTCTCCAATCAGACAGCAAGTCGAACCAGATAGTGTATTCAATTAATTTCCCAATTTTTCGGTCAGGCGAAGGTTCGAACTTTATCGGGACAGCATAACTCACACATATCATAATTAAACCCGCAAGTGCTCAACTTTGGCCGCCATTAATCTTTGGTAATTGCCCAAAATTGATGTCATGCGTATTTGAAAAGCCATTAAAGCGGCCTGACTATCGCCGATAGATCCAAAATGAAGAAGAAAAACCCCACCAGAAAGACGAGGCCACAGCATCCAGGCATTGCGACAACTAGAAAATATTTGTTGAGACAAATTTATGGACGTTTAGCACAAAAGTCAAGCACTGGTAGATAATGTTCTAGAAGGGAAACCAACAAATTGCAGCCATCATTGGGAAAATACTTTGAATTTTTTACACTCTGAGCACAGGGTATTGAAGTAAGAAAAAAGAACAAAAAAGAAAGCTGTTCGGCAGGCCGAAGTTGATATACCCTAGCAGTTTGCAATTGGATCATTGATGATCCATTTTTGTCAAATGAAAGGGAATACAAAAGGGAGATTAGAAAAGATATATATGTATACATGGTATATAATTATTTGGCGTACACATATTATACTTCCAGACTGGAAATATTTTAATTCTTTATTTGTATTTTTATATGATAATTTTTTGGACAAATCAAAACTTTAAATATATCATAACTAACCCGAAATAGCATAAAATTTAATTCGAAAAACTTTGCTTTGCTAGTTTTTTCTAGGTTAACAATTCTGTAATCCAAATTTTTCATTTTAAGAAATTAAAATTTTCGTCGATTTTTGATCATTTTAACGATGTAACCCCTTATAAATTTTTGAAAAAATTAAAAAAAAAAAATTTCTGTCCGATATGGCTAGAAAGATTTGCCTGTTGATGCTGATCATGAATATATATGGTTTATAGGGTCGGAAATGACTCCTTCACGGCGTTTCAAGCTTCTGACTAAAATTACAATGCTCTGCAAGGGTATAAAAAAACACTTGTTGTCACGACTAAAGGATATTCTGCCATATCAAAATAAAATGTTTTACCCGAAATTATAGCTCCATTCATGGGAAATAAAATATGCATTATGCTAACAAGAAAGAAAGAATTTGTAAGAACTTCTGGGAAGGGCATCCTATATAGTAACCTCCTCACTCGAGATAGCGCATTTGTCGTCTCCATGATCTTTGACTTTACTTCTGGCTTTCCTTCCTGGCGCTGAATATTTTCGAAGAGCCTCCTGTCCCTCTCTCTGTTTGTAACTCAATTCGTAAATAATTAACGATCACGAGATTACAAATGTCAAACAGAATGTCAAGCGCCCTGCCGAGGGGAGCCTTGGCTCCTTTCTCTCCCTGTCCCCTACACGGCGATACGACTGTTCAAAGACTGAGCAGACAAAAAACCACCGACTTGGCCCCCGAATGGATGTGGATGTGGATGTCAAATCTTCCCCGACCATCGTACTCACTGCGTGTGGGTCTGCGGCGAGTGCCAGCCGATTTGTTGTGACTTATGTCAAGACGTTGCGTTTCAGATTTGAGGATACTATGTGCCTGGGAGCCGCTCAGATTTATGGACCAAGCGGAATGAACTCGGGTTTTATTCGAGGTGCAAACTATCGTATACCAAATCCCATCTAAAACCTATTGCCAGAGCGGTTTGTTATATGGAAGGAGTTATAAATACTAGGAGGATTCGGACGGTAATTTTTTTGGGCATTAGGTAATTGAGGTGTTTAGGCAGAAGGAGCGGGGGCTGGATCTGCTGCCGGAGGTGCGGCCGGAGGTGCTACCGGAGGTGCGGCCGGAGGTGCTGCCACAGGTTCTGCGGGAGCTGCTCCCGGAGCTCCTGGAACTGGACTTGAAGCGCTAACAGGACTTGCTGAAGATGGACTTTGACCGCCAGGAGTAACTGCTGGAGCTGGAATTGGAGCAGCTGCAGGTTTAGCAGAAGCAGTTGTGTCCGTAGAGCCTGTAGATCCTGGAGCTGCTCCACCCGCTGGAACAGGTTGAACCACTACCGTACAGTTGCTACAGACCACTGCAAGGAACAGATTCTGAAACATTAACGAACACAGGAGTTTGGCCTCAACTTACAAATTTTTTTCGTGTCTTCATCGCTATCGCTGTCGTAGAGCAAGTCATCAAAGTAGGAGAACCAATCGGAAATATCTCGCTTCTGGAAAGTGTAGTGTAGGTGTAGATTATTAAAAGTAAAATATAATCCATTCAGCACTTACACTAACAGCAGTTTCCTGCAGATTCCTAGCTTGTATGCCCAGAAAACTGAGCACAAGGCAGCAGCAGCTCAGGGCAACGAATATATCCCTTCTGGGCGACATTCCAACTCGGACTGACTAGACTGTCTGTGAAGCAGGCTTATATAGAACTCTAAGCTCAATATATATACCTAGTATACTGTAAAATTCAGGGTTATTGGGTAATTTTTAAGATAAGTTAAGGGGTAAACAGGAACCTTTTTGAGGCGTTTGGACATTTTGGCAGCTGTAGTATTTAGACTTAAAGGGTTATTGTTTGTGATCTGGGATCGGTATAAGATAATTTATTAGAAGAATTGTAACAATTCCCAGATACGCCGAAATTCAACTCTATTATTTATTAGTAGCCCAGCAGAGTTTCCCTTTGATTTCCCCACAGTATCCCCCTGTCGAACACCTCTCAACTATTACAATCACCTTTAATGCGGGGAGATACCCATGCTGATTCCCTCTATTTCGCACAGTTTTTTTTAGTATTTATGCAGCTGCACGTTCGCTCTGTCTGGGGGCTTTGGAACGACCCCGAGTGCTGCTCATATAGATCGAACTGCAATTGACAAGTGCGCAAATCCATAACCATAAACTAAGTACACGAAACTCGAGACTGGCTGGGCATCATTAGCCGGATCAGCTGAAGGCGGCGAGTCGGTGGCAACAAGTGGGATTTGTAATCCGATATCCCCCGCCGGCCGAACGAGCTTGTAAGTCGCGAAGTGCCCTTCTGAATGGGAAGCCATCGAAACGAGGTCGATATACTCCACTCCCACTCCATCTAGCTCCTTTGTCCGGTTCCTTCCTGATTTCTTGGGTAACCCGGGAGCTCCTCTATTTTATGGCGCTGCACTCTCTGGAGTACGTGTTGCCCTCGAAGTTGCCGTTGTGAAACACGACGATTCGAAATTAGAAGACGGCGCAGATGTGCAGCATTTCCCCCAACTGCCCATAATTGTAATGGACTGGACTGCCACTTCCAGACGTCTTAGTCCGGCGGCAGGTGCCTCCAGATAAAGCCCCTTTACATTCACCACCTAATAATACCCAGCCATAATGGTAGGTTCTGTAAGTTTTCCTTTGTTTGCTGGGCTTTGTTGGTCAAGAAAAATGGTAATTTTAAAGCCACAAAGCATTGATCTGTTCTTTTTTCTTCATTTACCATTTATCCGGCTAAGGAGGTTGGTGGTTTAGTAAAAATGTAATATTTAAAAGCAAATACAAATTAATAATGCTAAATTCTCTATATAATTAGATCATGCCATTAGGGTCCGTTAGTATTGGGACAGGGATTATATATATTTTTTTTGAGTTTACTGTGATTTCGATAAGGTAATTAATCATTATTATAAGTGACTTAAAAAAACTCCTGTATTACTCCTCGAACTACTCTCGTCGAAATTTCTCTGCCAAATCCATTTTGTTCACAATGGTTACTACTGAGAAAGCAAACTTGGCCATCTAAAAAAATCGGATACATAAATGTAGTAGTTAAATCGAACAATTGCCTTACCTTTATGTTGGTGTTCAAGCAAATGGGGAATATGCCGCCGGCCGTGAACAGGATCGACTGCTGGGCATTTTGTATAAAGTACAGCATCGTGGTTTTATATCGTCGTTCTGTCCCAAGCCACTGGGAGTGGAATAATGTGTTGGTCAGGGAGTCGCAGTCGCTGCTCAGCTGCTCGCAGACATAGCAAAAGGGAAAGGTCTGGGATAAGATGGCTATAGTGTAGGCTCCCGATACAAATCGCTCAATGGCGGTGTTATAGAACTGCATGGACAACGCCGCCAAGCCCAGGAGGAGTCCCACGGATAGCAGCTGAATGAACATTGTGGCCGAAATCATGGGTCGCAGGGCATTTCCGTACCTACAGGGGGATGGGTTTTTTTATATTATTTAAATTAATTTTTAGTAGTAATAATAATATAATAATTATTTATGGAGTGTTCTTGAGAGGCTAAAATATCCTTACTCAACAATCAGCTTGTGATCCTTCACACACTCCACCAACTCTTTCAAGTGCTGATCCTCTCCCTTATCCACATCCGATCTGAGCTCCTTGATTCTCTGAGTCAGTAGTCCCATGTGGGTCCTCAAGACGACCACGTAAATGATCGGATATACGTCCAGGATAAGGTTTGCCATTATTACGCCCCCCACGGTGACAGCCTCAATCGTAATGGCCACATAGAAGTGGTCGTTGGCGTTAACCAGAGGATTGTACACGCAAAACGGGGACTTCCGTATGACCAGTGCTCCGATTACCGCAAGGGATAGGTACCCGAAATAAATTCCGTGGTAGATGATAACCACGCGGTTGCACAGGGCCGCCGCCCGATGCACCTGGTTCTTTTCCTCTATCTTGATGCAGCGCCTGTCCATGGCATCCATCATTTTCTGGGCCTTGACGAATCTGGCCCGCATAAAGAACACGATAATGCCCTTCATAATGCAGGTATTGGTGTTGACCGGAACTTGAACGTACGTAAAGAGGTCCGTGGTGGTAAAGTCCTTGAACTCCTTTATCCCGGTCATTACCAGTCCATTGGGAACAAAAATGAAGACGAAAAAGAAAACTGCGAGGGTCCAAAGGTAATACAGCCACCAGTTTTTGGTGGTTCTTGGCGGCGGCCTCCATCCCATTTGGGCAATGCATCTGTTGAAGTAGATGAGAGAATCTCGAGAGCCAAGGAGAGCTTCCAGGCTCGGCTTTTGGATGTATTTAAAGATCATGTTTGATCCTTCAAGTTTGCTCTTAATTCGGCGACTGAGGGCACTTCCTGACCTCGCCACATTTATACACAATTTCTAATGGCCCAATTCTGTCTTAAATATTTATAAAACAAGGTAATAGTCAATTAGTCAAGGGTCTTAAATGCAGGGTGGATATATTTCTGGGGGCGTGGTTGTTAGGGAAAATGTCTTGTTTTGAACTTAGTTCTAGGTCATTCCTTTCTCGAACAGGTTGTTGTCACATTGTCGCTTTCTCAGGGCTTCTTTAATTGATGTATTTATGGTTTTTGGCGAACAGAAACCTGCATATACTTTCTTCGATATTTCGTAATCAAAGGTTTACAACTTACCCATATCCACCTATCTTTAGGTGTGCCTTCCTTCCAGCGCCTGGGGGGAAATCTTTGCGTCATCGCTCAAAGTGCATTTCCGCACGTTCCGGGCATTCAAATTGTGCTTTCCTCCCAGTCCCAGTAATCTCTCAGCGGAGGCACCCACATCCGCAGTTCTGAGAAGCAAATGGTAGCGATTTTCAGCCGAACGAACCACAATCCGCTGCCGCTGCCCCCTCTATACTCTGCCCATTTGCCACCGAAACTAATTAGACGCAAATGTGCTTTTGTTCGGTTCTCATTCCCATTGTGTCCATCCAGTGGGCACCGCTCTTTGTTTTTTGCTACCCTGCACTTGGTTTGGGGAGTGTCTAATATAGATGAATTGCAATTTTAATGTTCAATATATATATACTTTACAGAATCTATTTTTAGAGATAGTTGTAGATTAATTCTCCTTATATTGAAAATGTTCTAGAGTTAGAGCCTAATACTATCAGATATCCTATATTATCCTAATACTATATTCCCCATTCTCCTAAAATTATTCAAACTTCTGATACCCATTGTTCAAAACGTATTTCTTCCTGAGAACTCTGGCTAATGCGAAACCCCCCTCTTGTTTCTTGCAGAGTCGCAGTGTCCGCAGTACGGCGAGGTGAACCAGCTGGGCGGCGTGTTCGTCAACGGTCGCCCGCTGCCGAACGCCACGCGGATGCGAATCGTGGAGCTGGCCCGTCTGGGCATCCGGCCCTGCGACATCTCCCGCCAGCTGAGGGTGAGCCACGGGTGCGTGTCCAAGATCCTGGCCAGGTACCACGAAACGGGCTCGATACTGCCGGGGGCCATTGGTGGATCCAAGCCGCGTGTCACCACACCCAAGGTGGTCAACTACATCAGGGAGCTGAAGCAGCGAGATCCTGGCATTTTCGCCTGGGAAATCCGGGATCGGCTGCTCAGCGAGGGAATCTGCGACAAGACGAATGTGCCCAGTGTCAGCTCCATATCCAGGATTCTGAGGAACAAGCTGGGCAGCTTGGGCCACCAGCACACACCGGGCGCAGTGATGGGCAGCGGAAGCAGCAGTGGCGGCGGCAGTGTCTCCAGCAACGGGGGTCAGAACAACGGCAACAACAACAACGGCGGCGGGAGCGCGAACAACAACCTTAACCTGGGAAATGCCGGAGGAGGAGCCCATCATCCGCATCATCATCACCATCATCACCAGACGGCGGCAGCGGCGGCGGCGGCGAGTGCCCACCATGTCCACGCCCACGCACACGCCCACCTGTACAACTCCATCTACCAGCCGTACAGTGCGGCGGCGGCCTACAGCATGAAGGCCGTGTCCTGCGGCAGTCCTTCGCCTCCGCAGGGAACGGGCGGCCAAGCCTCTGGACCCCATCCCCACCAGTTGCGAAGCGTGGCCGCCGCGGCTGCAGCCGCCCACTGGCCTTCCTCACACTCGGTGAGCGATATCCTAGCACACCACCAGGCGGTGGCCTTGCGGGCCAGCTGCCAGGTGGGCGTCGGCGTGGGCGTGGGGGGAATGGGCGGCATGGGCAGCACAGTGTCCCCGCTGCCGATGACCCCGTCCCCGGTCACGGGAACGGCCGGCAGCCAGCCCCTGCTCGACTGTGAGGGCGGAGCTGGCCAGCAGTCGCCGTACAACTACTACATGTACTTCCAGAACGGCGGAATGCACCATCACCATCACCACGGCGGCATGATGGCCGCCGGAGCCACTGGTTTATGAGTGATCAGTGGGTAGTCAGTGGGTTGGTTGTGGGTTGTTCAGTCCTAATATATGTCTATGCTAAGCTCTAGTTAGAAAAGGGTTATATCCTTGGCACTCACTTAACATTTTTGAAATACAAATTGAGTATTTAGAACCACGAACTACCCTTATTTATGGAAGCTTTTCTTTGCAATTATTTCCCCAAGTAAATCTCACTTCTAAGAGATTAGGTTGGGTGTGACACAGAATGTAAATATACCTGAAAGGTAAATAATGCATTACTCCCCTTCTCTGAACCAGTCATAAGTGGTTAATAAAGATACTTAAAATGTAAATAAAAAAATTAATTTTATCCGAAGTTTTCTTTCGAAAGCTACAAGTGGATGCTAAGGACAAAACCCTTTGTGGACGAGGCCAGGACTCAAGCCTGGCCCTGACCCTAATTATATACGAATTTCATGTAATCCTGGAGATTTATATTTGTCTTTTTGTTCGGTTTGTTTATCAGTTATCAGTTCGGAGTTGTCCAGAGATCAGGTGGATTTGACACGTAAATCTTTATTGCAAAATTGAAAGTATTGTTAATCGATTAATATACGCGTTGGATAGGTTCTTGTTCTCATATCTGCTATTTGTACAATATGCTCATTAAGTAAACTAGTTGACTAATTTATGCTACCATTACATCAATTTACAATTAAACCAAGTGTAACTATCGAATAAAATTGTATTTTTAGACAATTTGCGCGAGTAATTACTTGGGGGGACGGGTCAGCTTGATGTGTAAGCCTAATGCAAAATAAGGGCTAAAGTTTTTCAACAAAAGAAATAAAAAAATTAAAACAAAAACAAAAAGGAATTAAGGACAACACTCGCTCTCATCGGGAGTCTTCTTGTTCCAGCCGAAGAAGAAGTAGCCCAGGCCCAGGCCCAGCACCACGGCCAAGCAGAGCCAGTAGTTGAAGGTCATGAAGATGAGCATCAGCAGGTAGGAGATGACAATCTGCAGCAGATTCAGGAGCGACTGGAAAATGTGCGACGAGGCAAAAAGGCGCTGCCAGTAGGTCTGCTCCCTGATCTCAGACAGCGGTGTCTCAGAGCAGCAGCCTCCGGCAGTAGGATTCTCGTTCTTGCGACGCTGCTCCTCCGCCAGCCGCTCGCTCAGCTTGCGGGCTTCCCTGCGGGCCATCTGCTGGCGCAGGAACTTCAGGGCTTCGTACAGGAAGGCCACCAGGAAGATGGCGATGGCGGACAGGACAAACTCCCAGACAGTCGAGGCCACCCAGCCGCGCCACAAAATCCGTTCACAGTGACCGGCATGGAACTGAAAAGAATTAATGTAGTAAGGGTTAATTAAAGGTTTATCAAATCGGAGTAAGGCGTGTTAATGGTACTTGCACAATTCAATAATTTAAAATTGGAATTATATAGCCTATATATAGCCTATATCTGAGCTGGACTTCCCCAGAGAGAAAGACGGATAATTATTTAAACGTTTGATCCAATTAAAATACCTAGTATTTTCATATTTAGGTTAATAATTAAATGCAAAATATTTAAGTATTATTACACATATGACTCCCCTGGAATCGGAGGCAACACCCTGTATATACATGAAAATATACAATTTATATTTGTGGAGAGCGCCGTTGGAGGGAGAGCAGCAAGTAAATCATTGCGAGTGTCGCCCGTTCACATAAATATACATAGTAGAGAGTGACTAGCAACCAGAGCAACCAATTTAATCTGATGAACTGCGAGATTCGTGCTCTCCCGGCTGAATCTCAGCCAGCGAAACTGGATGAGTGACTTTGGCAATTACAGCGTTTAGCGTATATTTCTGCGATTTTGTTGTTTGACATTAAAATAAGATTCGGGGATCGATTACGTAACCCTTAAGCTAAGGACTTACCACCATGATCATGGGACAGGACTTGGCGTCGGAGTCATCCGTGCTGGTGCCGTGATCGTGGTCGTGATCCATCTTGGGGAAAAACCGAATGCTGATGATGCCAGGGGGAGGCTCAGTGATAAGCGACAACGGGACTAGCTGAGGTGCTGAGAGCAGAGCGTCGACTGACTTGAACTCGCTGCTCGCGAGTGGTTTTTTAAAGAAAATCGACCCTAATCCCGCAGCGATAGGCAGCCGCGCTTATCTATGAGTATGAGAAATGGGGAAAGGCTGGCTGTTATCAACCAGTAGCGGCGATACCAACGATTACCTACCTAGATACTGAACGGCCTAACAGACAAGTGAATGCATTTTTACCTTACGATACAAAGAGCAATGCCAACTTTATCGTATTGCTGATTGTTATCTGAAGAAATCTCCATCTCTCCCTCATCTCAAACACCCTCTAGGAGATTTACTATCTGATTTATGGAGTATACTGGACCCGGAGTTCAACAATTGCCTTGAGTGCAGACTTTATTGCAATTGAGATTATCAATACCGTTGTTGCTGTAATACATGGGAGTGTGGAAACTTTTTCTTTCTTTCTTTTCGGCTTTGGCATATAAATATATCATTTTATGGTCCCGGGGCGGATACGTGTGTGTGTTCGTTCATACATGGGGCCGGCGTTTTGGCCGGAGCGATAGCAACCGCCGGACGGAGGTTCTCCGGGTGGTTTGCCGTCTGCGCCTTAGTCCACTTGGCTTTCCAACAGCGTTATTTCTAACTGAACGCCAAATGGATGGATGGCCGTGTGCAAATCGGCTGCCGCCGTGTGCAAAAACCTACGGACATTCTTACGGGCGTGTGCCAATTTCGAAAAACTGGTGCCGTGTGCAGGCCAAGCGGGTAACCTTTCTGCAGAGGGGTAAAAGGTTTGGTTATTAGTTGAGGGGAAAAGCTTTTTGCAGCTATGGAGACAGTAGATAATTAATAATTCAGTTGCATAATATTAGTTAAGGCTCACTGTTTCGGGCAGAAATTCTCTTAGCTTCCAATTAATATTGTTAAACTTATTGTTTACAAATGGTTGTTGTAAAACAAAATGTTTGTTATTGTAGGCATAAACAAGGCTTCAATCTTGACAGTTTAATTAAAATTCAAATTTGGCGGTTAAGTTAAGACGCCACCTTTCGGAATTTCGGTAAAGCAGTGTTACGTTACAGTGTTACCAATCGCGCTTTTATTGTAAAATCCCAAATCCTTTCGTAGGAAAAAGGGGATTTCTAAAACTTCTTGCACTTTCCCACTAAAAATCTTGCCAAGTGAGTTAATCAAAGAAATTAAACTATTTTTAGTGACTATTACTAAATATTGAAGGTACGACGTGCGGGACGCCGATTGCAATGTTTGCGCTACGACTCCTGCGACTGCACGGCTCGCGGCCGTTCCGATATTCTTGCGCGGCGGCGGCAACAACAAAACACATGCTGCCCCGGCGGCCAGCTGAGCCGGCGCGTGCTCCGATTGAAGACTGGAGTCCCGCGGGGCGACTGACCCAGCTGCAGGATCTGTGCACGAGGAGCCTGGCCACTACCTCCTCATCCGCAACGGCACCCGAGAAACCCAGGACGCCGCTGGAGGAGCTGGTGGCCGCTGCCAAGCCCTACGCGCAGCTCATGCGGATAGACAGACCCATCGGCACCTATCTGCTGTTCTGGCCCTGCGCCTGGAGCATAGCTCTCAGCGCGGACGCGGGCTGTTGGCCCGACCTGACCATGCTGGGCCTGTTCGGGACCGGCGCTCTGATTATGCGCGGCGCCGGCTGCACCATCAACGATCTCTGGGACAAGGACATCGACGCCAAGGTGGAGCGCACAAGGACGCGTCCGCTGGCCTCCGGGCAGATCAGTCAATTCGATGCCATTGTGTTTCTCTCGGCCCAGCTCAGCCTCGGACTCCTCGTGCTCGTCCAGCTCAACTGGCAGTCTATCCTGCTGGGCGCCAGTTCGCTCGGTCTGGTGATCACGTATCCGCTCATGAAGAGAGTCACCTACTGGCCCCAGCTGGTCCTGGGGATGGCCTTCAACTGGGGCGCCCTGCTGGGCTGGTGCGCCACCCAAGGCAGCGTCAGTCTAGCCGCCTGCCTGCCGCTCTACCTCTCCGGCGTGTGCTGGACCATAGTGTACGACACGATATACGCGCACCAGGATAAGCTGGATGACCTGCAGATAGGCGTCAAGTCGACGGCTTTGCGGTTCGGCGAGAACACCAAGGCGTGGCTGTCTGGATTCACGGCAGCCATGCTGACCGGGCTTTCCGCCGCAGGCTGGGCCTGCGATCAAACGCTACCCTACTACGCGTCTGTTGGCATTGTGGGCGCCCATCTAGTACAGCAGGTGGACATCCTATATATACTCTCAAAATATGCCTTCATGTTTTCCTTTTCTTTGCAGATTTACTCCTTGAATATTGACAATCCCAGCGACTGCGCCAAGAAGTTTATATCCAACCATCAAGTGGGACTCATTCTGTTCCTGGGCATTGTCTTGGGCACTCTTCTGAAGTCGGAGGAAACCAAGAAGCAGCAGAAATCTTCCGCATTGACGACAAGCTCCTATGTTTCGCTGCCGCAAAAGCCGGAGGTCATAAGCTGAGACAGCAGGATATGAAGTAGTATTAGTTCATTTTACCGCGCGCTCTTCGTTCTCTTAAACCAAAGTCTGTAGTTAGGTGATTGTAAATAGGGATCCGACATGTACCTAGTTCAGTTGCTATATGTTAGTATAAAGTTTACTTGGCTAGCAATTAACCTTTTATTTTAATTACGTAAATCCCCGACCACATTCGAACACAAAACTGGTTTCTGTATTAAATTCTTACTTGTTATTTATTATTATACAGATTTTGGTTGTTTAATGTTGAAGGCCAAATACTCTTCAAATGTATTCACTTCACTTGTTTGTTTGTTGTTACGGCTAGGAAAGGGTGCATTACGATAGAATTGTAGATTATTAGATCAAGTCGGCCACGTTCATGGGCATCTCGTCGATTTGGGTCGAATAGTACTGCTCGATATCGCGCAGGATGCGAATATCATCCGATTTGACAAAGTTAATGGCCACACCCTTGCGTCCGAAGCGACCCGATCGACCGATGCGATGGATGTACAGCTCGCGGTTGTTGGGCAAATCGTAGTTAATGACCAGGGACACCTGCTGGACGTCGATGCCGCGCGCCCACACATCGGTGGTGATGAGGACACGCGATTGGCCGGCACGGAACTCCTTCATGATCTCGTCTCGCTCCTTTTGCGGCATGTCGCCATGCATGGAGCTCACCGTGAAGTTGGCCTCGCGCATCTTCTCCGTCAGCCAGTCCACCTTGCGCTTCGTATTGCAAAATATGACGGCCTGGGTGATGGTCAGGGTGTCGTAGAGGTCGCACAGCGTGTCGAACTTCCACTCCTCGCGCTCCACAGCCACAAAGAACTGCTTGATGCCCTCCAGCGTCAACTCATCGCTGTCAAAGAGAAGGTTTATTAGGCTTGTGAGGGTCGCCAATAGGACAAGGCATCGGCTCTTACCGCTTGACCAAGATGCGAATGGGATCTGTCATGAATTTGGAGGTCATCTCGAGAATCTCGTGGGGCAAGGTGGCGGAGATGAGCACCACCTGGGTGGCCGGCGGCAAGTAGCGGTACACGTCGTATATCTGCTCCTTGAAGCCCTTGTTTAGCATCTCGTCAGCTTCGTCCAGAACCAGCATCTTGATGGCTCTGGTGCGGAGAACCCTTCGCTTGATCATGTCGAACACTCGACCCGGGGTTCCACTGACAATGTGCTGGCCGTAGTCCAGTTTGCGGATATCCTCGCCCAGGTTTGTGCCGCCAATGCACACATGGCACTGCACGTTCATCATGTCGCCGAGAGCGAGGATGACCTTCTGGATCTGCACGGCCAACTCGCGGGTGGGCGACAGGCAGAGCACCTGGGTCTCCCGCAGCGTCGTGTCCAGGCTTTGCAGTATGGAGATGGAGAAGGTGGCCGTTTTGCCCGTGCCGGACTGTGCCTGGGCAATCACATCGCGGCCCTTGACGATGGGCTTGATGCTTCGCTGCTGGATGGCCGAGGGTTTCTCGAAGCCTGAGGAGATCAACGTATCCATGAACACCGGTACACCAACAGAGCGTATACACAACTTACCGTACGCGTAGATGCCGCGTAGCAGCTCCTCCTTGAGGTTCATGGCGTTGAAGGTGGGAATCACCTCCACGTCCTCGCTGGTCTCGAACTCCACGTTCGAGAGGTCCTCCGCCTGGGCATTCTTGCGCGCCATGTTATCCGTTAGCTTTCGAGCGGCTTTTGCTATATTTAATTGATATTCAAGAACTTTTCCGCGACTTGTAATATTTTTTCAACTTTCACACGATGCCGTTAGGGGTGGGAGAGACAGCGTTGCTTGGGTTCACTGTATCGGTATCGATTGCTGGCCTGGAGTTGCCAGACTGCGCCAAGTGGTAGCATTGGCAACGAGTCGGCAAAGCAGCGATTTGAATCCACATTTAAATCAAAAATACGTTTTTATTGAAATTTTCATATAACACAACGAAATATAATTATTACTGCAGAACTTTTAACTCAACGGAAAAACTGTGATTGGGAGGGAGGGCCCTCCACCTGATTCCGGTGACATGTTTCTTCAATCCGCTTTTTAGCCTCTGCGGCGGAGCAATTGGCTTTCTCGGCATTGTCCCGATTCCGCTCGAGCACCGCCTGGGCCTCCTTCAGGCAGGTGTGCAGCTTCTCCACCCGACACTTGGCAGCGTCCAGAAGGCTGCGCTTCTCCATCACCAACTGCTGGGCGTTGGCTACCATCCGTCGCATGGGGTCCATCATCTCCCCATTGTAGAGTCCCTGCAGGTGTGCCAACCTTTGTTGGGTTTTCTCACGCGCCCGACACACTGTCTGCATGAAGGCAGAGCTGGCGACAACGGCTTGCTGCACCTCCTCCATGGCGCCCCTTGTCTCGGCCAGGTTCTCCACGAGCTGATCCAGCAGCTGCTCCTTTCCGGCTAGCTCCGCATCAGCCGCCATACAGGCCAGGTTAGCGCGATCCGAAAGAATCGACTTAACCTGCTGGCCTGCCACATCCTCTGCACACTGCCGGTCATCGCTTGCGGCCGTCGTTCCTGTGACCTCCTTGGAGGCACCCTGGCTGGACGGTGGGTTCGCTTTGCAGAAAACCCCGCCGGGCTTGTGCCGGGGATCGATGTCCCTCGGGGCCAACTCCATGGTGTTTGCCAGTAGAATGTTAAGCCACAGCATTGTGAGCAGGGTTTCGCAACGCATCCTGAAACTCGCTTTTAATGCTTCTTTAATATTTGATGTTTGATTTGATTTCGGATTTGGAAACCGATTTCCCGAAAGATCAACGTATGCTGAGCCTTTCACATAGTTCCATATGTCAACTAGGAGTTCTAGTAACTCAGTCTGTTGATAAGCACAATGGAGTTCATACCAGCATTATTTTTGCTCCTCCAGATTTTTTCAAGGTTTTTTAGTGGCGTTAAGGTAAAAGATTTCGGAACTCTAAAATAAAATATCGTATTTCTAATTAAATTTTAACAGCTCACCAATGAGTTCTGCTATCTAGTCCAGGATAATCCCGGCTATGGTATCGCTGCTATTAATTCTGTTACTCAACCAGAGAATCCCGAGGGATTAAGCTTCGCTCAGGAAATGTGGGAGGAAACCATGGATAAGACTGTGACCGCGGCCGAGGCTGTAAAGAATCTTACGAAGAAGCTGCTGGTAGAGGTTCAGCTGGAGACCGAGTTGCGGGAGAGTATGCTGGTGGTCAAAAGGGAGAAGAAGCGTCTGCAGACTACAAAGGCCAATGCTGCCACTCTCAAAGAGGAAGTGAAGCATTCTAGGGACCAGGTGAAGGCGCTCACCGAGGCCGTAAAAAACGCTCAGGCAGAACTCTCGACCAGAGCACAAGTGCTCGCTGAAACCAGAAAGAAGGTGCTCGATACGCGGCAGTCGGTGGATGAGAAAAAAAAACGTATTGAGCTCCTTAGCCGCCGGGTTGAGATGGCTCGAGCCGATTTTGAGAACACGAAGATTGCTGTCGAGGAGGCGGCCAGGAAGAGAGAGGAGGAGATGCAAGCTGAGCTAGAGAAGCTGTTCGAGTCGGAGATGAAGGCCGAGACAGAGGCTTCCTAAGAGGAGGTGTATATCCCCGAGCTACCGTTGATATTGACCTACAACAAACCGTCTTAGCTACCTATGCCAACGTTGTTAAATGCACTGTATTTTGTTTAGTTAATTCATCTTAAAATTAAATTAATTTGTTTGCCATGACTGCTTCCTTTTCCTCCCATGTTCACACGCGGATCTGCGAGGAAGCGAACACTCACCGGACAATCATCGCCGTCATATTCAATCTCGGCTGCCCCTGGAGCGGGCATTTAAAGCGTCGCATGGCAATTAGAGGCTCCTCCGTAATTGCGCCGGCTACAAATTATCCAATCGGCCAGGCCAGCATGGTAGCATTGACCCAGCCACCCGTTGTTGGTGCAGTGCATGGCCGATGAAAATCAAACAGAAACGGCTAAGAGCCAGCGAGGCAACGGGTTTGCACTTTCTTTCGGCGACCCGACCAGTTCAGTTTGTTTATAAATACATGGCGCCTCCGGTGGCCGGCTGGCAATCGACGTCGAGGCACCACCGGATTTACTGTACTCCATTCATTGCAGCTTTTCCGAGTGCGAAAGTAAAAGCGTTTTCCACCGAACCCGCCAATCGACATTGGTTTCGGCATTTAGCGCCAGCTCGAGGAGATCTTGTGGCTCAGAAACGCTTTGGCTCCGGTTCGGACAGGACGTGGATACTGTGTGGTCAAGAGGTGCGTTGGTTGGTGGTGGAGTTATCCGTCAACCTGAGTGATGATTCGTCGTGATTTGTGAGCTGTCCAGTTTTTGTGGCCTTAAAACTAAACAGGTTCTTCTGTGGAACATATCAGTCCGCGACACACTAACGACTCGCGCGTGCCGGTCGGTCATCCTAGAGCAAAGAAAGTGGACATCATAACCCATTAGATAATAGCCAAGGCAGCAAGGTAACCGGTTACCGAATCATACATATACACTGGGAAAAGGAGTCATTTTAAAATGGATTTTGTGCTACACAATGCAAACTAAAAGCAAGGATAAGTAAAAAAGAGAAATTATTAGTTAGGATTTCTACAAATAAATATTTAATTTAAAAGACATCTTTAAGAACAAGCTTTAGAAAGCTTAGTTTATTAAGAAACTCTTAATACCTTTTGCACTTCTATTAACAAGGAAAAAGATTATAATGAACATAAAGTCCTGTCACTAGTCCTAGGGAGATTAATACAAAGTTAAATATAAGTTACAAGCCTAGAAAGTGAGGATATCCCCCAGTTAATCAAATAATAATGTCCAATATGAAATTGATAAGACAAACTTTTCTCTTAAGACTATAAGTGGGGTTACCTAATTTATACAAAAAATGCCTGGTTTTTCCTTTTACTCTTTTATTTTCGATGCATTTATTTTCCAGTTTATAGCCCAAAGACTCCCCCGAAATTAATCGTTGTGTGCGAGACTGGCACCTTCCACCTGCAGAGATCAAAAAGACGCTTCCGGTTGCACCGCTTCCTTTCGCCAGCTGCCGACTTGCATAATCGTCAGCGATGAGATCAGTGATGCAGCTGCTGCTCCTGACGCTGCTTTTGGGTGAGTCTCATGGTTTCGTCCCACTCGATTTCCTCATGCAAATGTCACTGATTTTGGGGATTTTCCGTAGCCATGCCGACGCTGGGCCGCAAGGTAAAGCGGAAGGAGGGACACTACCACCTGAACGTGCCCCCACCGCCTCCGCCTCCATCACACCAGGGTCAGGGGCCAGTACCTCAGCAGACGGCAGTCATCGAGCACGAGGTACCGCCTTACACCTTTGAGGCCATCAACCACGACGAGTTCGAGGCGGCCAAGGCCAAGCTCCCACACTACGAGCACTCCGACTACATAGTTCACACCCTGCACAGCAGTGCCGGAGGCGCAGGAGGTGGAACTGGGGGCTATTTAGCCGACAATGGACTGCGTAGCATTGCCAAGGGATCGGCGGACCAGGCCCTGTCCGCAGTGGCCAGCCAGAACGCAGCCGGCAAGCAGGCTTCCTATGTGGCCAAAAGCACTCTGGCCCAGGCTGCGGCCCAGGCAGCCGGCACAGCCGTGGCTGTGCTCAAGGGAAAGGAGGTGTTGCTCCGCCGCCTGGAGGATCAGAGCGTGGAGGCCCACAAGGCGATGGAGAACGAGCTTACCCAGCTGCAGCAGGCCAAGAGATCGGCGAAGGCCGCCCAGTATGCGGCCCAGCAGGCCATCAATCATGTCAGTGTCCTGACTGCCGCCCTGAATAATGCTCAATCCGCATCGGAACTGGCTCAGAAGGCTGCTTCCGAGGCGGCTGCTGAGCTGGCCTCACAGATCGATATGGTGGCCCAGGCCAAGTCCAAGCTGGAGCACGCCGAGTCCCATGCGTACGCGGCTCGCCTGGACTATGAGGAAACCCGCGATGCGGCGGAGAAGGCTACTCTGTCGGCCCAGGAGGCGCAGCTGAATGCCAACGATGCGGCCATCCATGCAAACGTGGAACTCAGTGAGTCGGTTCACATCCACGACAAGAGCGACCGGCATGCGGGCGAGCCCCCGAGGAATCACCGACGTCCATAATGGAGCCCTGCATTCCTTCTTATCCCTATTTATTTTTAATCCTTTGGTTTAGAGTTTAAGCCGTTGTTAATGTTAATATCTAAGAATATATATAAATGCAAAGGACATGAATTCAAATTTTGCGGGCTTTAATATCGATAGCGACTGCTGTCCCAGCTATAGATAGCGATAGTGTCATCGATGACGTCTCACCCCTGGCTTGTGTGGGTTTAACGAGCCGGCAAAATACAATTGTTTTTTAACTCCTATTATTGAAATAACGGCAATTATGAGTCGCTCGGAGCCATCTTTCGACGACCTGCGGTCCTACTTCCGCAGTCACAGCAAGATCCGCGAGCAGCGGGCGCACATTTCCAAGGTAGGAGTGAATTCTGTGGGCTCTAGCGGACTTGCCACTGATTCTCCTGGTTGCAGGTCCATTCGGTGTTCTGGAATGCCGATGGCCGGTTCCTGGCCTCCGGGTCCTTTGACAAGACCGTGGCTGTGTACTCCTTGGAGCGGGATCGTTTCCAAAAGCACCACACCTTCCGCGGACACACTGCCTCCGTGGACCAGCTCTGCTGGCACCGAACCAACCCCGACCTGCTCGCCACGGCCAGCGGGGATAAGACAGTGCGCATCTGGGACGTCCGCCAGGGAAAATGCGCCTCGGTAATCAACACGAAGGGCGAGAACATCAACATTACCTGGTCGCCGGACGGCAAGACTATTGCCGTGGGCAACAAGGAAGATCTGATCACCTTTATAGACACGCGCACCAACAAAATCCGAGTGGAGGAGCCCTTCACCTTCGAGGTCAACGAGATCTCGTGGAACAACACGAACGACCTGTTTTTCCTCACCAACGGCTTCGGGTGCATGCACGTCCTCAGTTATCCCAGCTTGGAGCACCAAGTGACCCTCAAGGCGCATCCCGCCAACTGCATTTGCATTGAGTTCGGTCCCACGGGTAGGCTGTGCTCCCAGATCTTCAAGGATTTCAATTAAAACTGTTATCTATTTTCCAGGAAAATACTTTGCCACCGGTTCGGCGGATGCCCAGGTCTCCCTGTGGGATGCACACGAGCTGGCCTGCCTGCGCATGATTAGCCGCCTGGAGTGGCCCGTTCGCACCATATCCTTTAGCCACGACGAGAAACTCATTGCCTCGGCCAGCGAGGATCTCATCATAGACGTTGCCTACACGGAGACGGGGGAACGCGTTACGGACATCCACGTGGAGGCCTCGACCTTTACGATTGCCTGGCATCCGAAGCAATATCTGCTCGCCTACGCCTGCGATGAGAAGGACCCAGAGCGACGCCGTGACGCTGGCAACGTCAAGATATACGGATTTTCTGAATAAACTAATTAGATAAGGCGAAGAAACACTTATATTTTGCTACAGACTTTGTTTACATTTAAATTATGCGGGAGTGTTACTTTATCCACTCAAAAATGATCTAGTTTCGGTGTTGGGTCACGTACATACATTGATGCCAGGCTACCGAACGTGTTTCGAGCTGCAATTTAAGTTTTATCTCCTTCCTGGCTTCGTTTTTATGGCATCCTGCGGGCTATATAGCCTGCTCGCTGTCTGCTACTTGATATTAAAGTTGCCCGGCATCAATCAGGAGGTGAACGAGCGCCCCTGACTGGCAGCCACTTCACTTTTATCATGCAAATAACGAGGGCGGCGGATGGATGCTGACCTAATGTAGGTTTACGGTTATGGCTTCTTACATTTTAAGCTATTAATCAGTGGTCGCACCCAGTGATTGGCTGCGGTTTATCCAAGCCGATGTGTATAAATTGGCTCCATTAGCCAAGGCGACTTGAAAGCTAAACTTTTCGGCAAGTTGTAGCCTTCCTTTTCTCCACCCTTGAACTATGTGTCTCCAGAAGGCAGAGCGCACAAGTGACAAACAAACAAACAAGATTGAGCGGGGAGTTCCCCCACACATACTATACTATATGTATCCTTTTCGCGTGCCCCGGTCGAGTGCAGCTGGAGCTGATGCCATTTGTATGCCAGAAGCACATTTTCCGCCGACAGTGCACACTGCATTTGCCACTCATATTGCCGCCCACGACGCACCTCCTTGAAGCAGCATCAATATTTGCTTTACTAAAAGTTTTCGATAAATTTTCGGCTCGATCCTGCCACTTCCTGTGGGGGGCGGAGGACATATCCTATTTGCAATCAATAATGAATCGCAGTTAATTGCTGTTAATAAAACTGTGTAGCTTTTGGTAGGAATTTCAAGAGAAAAAAGGTTTTAAATTATTTATTTACCCTAAATTGTGACCTTCATAATCATGAAATTAGGAAAACATTATTTAGAGGTGCCAAAATATCTTATTACGGTGCAACATTTAGGAGGTATTTTCAAACACCATTTTAATAGGCCTTAAAAAAAATAATATTATTAAATTGGATAATAATAATTCTAATATACTTGTATATATTTTTGTCTGATCCAAACACCAGAATTAAAATGTATAACATTTGGAATGATTTCCACAATTAAGGACCTCCTGGCACCATCCTAAAAATACATAATTTAAAATGTTCTACAATGAAAAATATTATTTAAATACCTGTAAAAATGTATAATCTGATGACGCTTTTACGACTTATAATCTTGTAGAAAACAAATAAACAAATCCTCTTGTTGGGAAATATACGAAACATTTTACATGACTTTTTTACTCAACAGAGCTCTAACATATTCCGCTCATGACAGAGCTCTAACATGTCCTGCAAAGGATAACGACGGGGAAGCGGGCATTTCTCGCATGCGATAAATGCATCCGTCCCATGAAAATGGAATGGAACTGTAAATGGACCCTTCCCCTTCCTCTGTTAACATTTTTGTTTATTAAAACCGCTTTCCGAATTGAATTTCATGCGTTTTTGGCTGAGTTATGATCATTGAAAATGAAATGAAATCAAAATTATGTTTTTTTTCCCCAAAAATTATCAAAATAAATCGCACAAATTTTTCAAAAATATGTAAGGGGTACCTTCATTAAAATTGAGAAAAATTGGGAAAAAATGAAATTGAAAAGAGCAATAAACGTAGTATGCAGTTTTGTTAAGCTTAGAAAAACTAACTCAGAACAGCTTTTCGAATTGAGTTTCATGCACTTTTGACTTAGTTATGATTTTTTGAATATTCGTTTTTTTTTTCCCAAAAACTATCCTTTTTTAAATTTAATTGCAGGAAGCTGCCAGGAACTCAAAGCGGATGCCGATGGCGAGACAGAGAGCGTTGGCAAGGAGGATCAGGACGAGGAGGAGCAGAAGCGGACCAGGTGCTGGGGCAGCACGACGAGGGAGCCACAAAGACCGAGCCGAAACCACTGGAAACGACCTCCGACATTTCCATATACCTCACCTTTTCTTCTTTTATTTCTTTAAAGCTGATGTAAATAAAAAACCTTTAAAAATTTTTTATTTTTGACTTATGAGGAGTGGGATAATTTAAACAGGATTAATAGAAGGGCATTCTTGCGGTGGACAATGGAAAAAACATAAAATATTGCAAAATTGCTAGATCAGCATCACTGGCAGTTAGTGAGATGCCATTTTGCCTAAATAATGCAAAATAGCTAGATGAGCATCACTGACAGTTAGTGAGAAATAAATGCAAAAAATTAAAAATAGCTAGATGAGCTCACTGGCAGTTAGTAAGATGCCATTTTGTCCCAATAATGCAAAATAGCTAGATGAGCATCACTGGCAGTTAGTGAGATGCCATTTTGTCCCATTAATACAAAATAGCTGGATGCGCATCACTGGCAGTTAGAGAGTTGCCATTTTGTCCCAATAGAGCATTACTGATGCAGATGAGCATCACTGATGCAGATGAGCATCACTGTTGGAAGTGAGCATCACTGTTGGAAGTGAGCATCACTGTTGGAAGTGAGCATCACTGTTGGAAGTGAGCATCACTGTTGGAAGTGAGCATCACTGTTGGAAGTGAGCATCACTGTTGGAAGTGAGCATCACTGTTTGAAGTGAGCATCACTGATGGAAGTGAGCATCACTGATGGAAGTGAGCATCACTGATGGAAGTGAGCATCACTGATGGAAGTGAGCATCACTGATGGAAGTGAGCATCACTGATGGAAGTGAGCAAAACTTTTCATTCCGCTTTCCAAACTGGGGTACCAGGCGAACAGAAACCAGCAGTAAGCAACTGAAAACTTGTATAAACTGTTATAAAAACATTTGGGCAAAAATAATAATTGGTATAAACTGTTATATTTCATTTTATGCATTTATACCTATTTGTTGCCGACAACAACAGCTTATGGCAACAACAACCTTTTTACAACAACATCCCTACAGCAACCCATCCAAATTTCCGAACATTTCCAAGCAAATTGCCCGTTTCCCAAATCGGGGTACCAGGCGAACAGAAACCAGCAGCAAGCAACTAAAAACTGTTATAAACTGTTATAAAAACTTTGGGCCACGAAAAACGGGCCAGTGTGACCATATGTAAATTTTGTCCAAGTTTCAAACCATTTCGGAGCCGGCGAAAGTTAGCGCAGACTCAAACCTTTTGAATCCAAATTTAGGTGTTATTTTACAACTGCACCTGGGCACACTGAAACTGATCGTCGTTAAATTCAAATTCAAATTTGGCAGTTAAAATATTTAAAAAATTTTTAAATAAATATAAAAAATCTAAAAAATGTTAAAAATTCAGAAAAAAAATTTTAAAATTCAGAAACATTTTAAAGATTTAGAACAATTTTTTAAAAATTTAGAAGAATTGTAAAATATCCGAAAAAAATGTTTAAAATTCAGAAAACCAATTTAAAAATTTAGATTTTGCTTTCAAAATAATTAGATTTTTCCCCAAACGATCCCAAATAAATGCCGCCTTCACAAAAAAATTGCACATTGATTTCACCATCTTTTATTGATTCATATTTGTGTGTTCCATCAATTACATTTACATATTTAAATTGCATTTATAAATATTTTAATTATTTACGCCTGCTGCAGGGTTTTAATCTACTCTCAGATATAAGTTTTTTTTATTATTCTAGAATTGTGGTATAAATTTTATAAAAATCGGACAAGTATATCATATACATAGCTGCCATAGAAGCGATCGGTAAATGTATAAAATTTGTAAAGCTGGGAATGTAAAACTGTAACTGTCCAACTGTAAACATAATAAGTCTAGGTAAAATTTAATGAAACTCTGTTTTGTGAGTGTTTTCAGCATTTAAACATCGATACCAATCTGCAAGGGTATACAAACTTCGGCGTGCCGAAGTTAGCTTCCTTTCTTGTTTACTATTTTAAACTTTTTCAAGATTTATTTGACTGATTTACCTGCCCTTTATTGTTTATTAGATAAATGCATTTTTAATTTGTTTAATAATTAACAGCAACCGCTAAATTAAATTAGGGCTTACAAAATAATAACCTTAAGATGGGCAACTTGAACACTTTATATGTTTCAACATAAATCATAAATAGTTTAAATATAAGTAAACTCAACAAGCTAAGTTTAGGAAGGACAAAAAGGGTTCAACTTATCGGAAAATGTTCAATTGATGGGAACAAAATACAATGATAGAAAAACATGACTCACTGACTTTTCATTTTTGCTGTCACTGGGAGCAAACTTTGAGGAAATAGATGCGGATTTTACCCGAAGGACCGAAGATAAGGAAGGGTGGGAAGGAAGGACAAGGACCCCCGGAATTTATGTTGGCTGTCATCGGGACTTATTCGCTTTCGATTCGACTGCTGTTTTCGCCACACCAGCGTATTGATTGCCAAAGTTGAAGTGCACGTAAATTGGCCCAAAACTTTCTACAACTCGGCTGCGGTGCAGCTGGGGTGGATGGAGGCGGTCGGTGAGGGCGTCTATTATAAAAGCCGGAAATTGCTGATGCTGTTAGTTAGTTCCCATAATGTTTACACAACTTAAGACTTTCCTCTTTGAAATTGACTTGAAACTCTTACTATTTGACGGTTTTCGGTTTTTGCTCAAGTTTTTATATTTATCCAGTAAATTAATTTGAACTTTAATTTGAAAAAGGCGCCGTTTCCGTTTCTCGTCTGGCAACGCTTAGATTTAAACATCGATTGCATAACTATACAAATCGATTGTAGAATCGATTACCAGCCCTAGTCTGCGTCATTTTGACATCTCTATTTCATGGGAATTTAATTTAGTAGGCCGTAAACAAAGACCAAATCTGACGAATCACTGACTAAAGCGGAGCGAGATGTCCGTGAAGCACGACTGGTACCAATCGGAGGCCAAGGTGGTCATCACCGTGCTCCTGAGGAACGCCGCCGAGAAGCACTACGCGGTGGAGATCTCCGGGCAGCGCGTGCACATGACGGCGGACGACTACGAGCTGGACCTCCTGCTGCTGCACCCCATAGTGCCGGAGCGCTCCTCGCACAAGGCCTACTCCACGAAGGTGGAGATCACCCTGGCCAAGGAGACGGGCGTGCGCTGGGAGGCCCTGGAGAAGCCGGCTGCCGCCGCCGCAGCAGCCGCTCCGCCCAAGGCCCAGGCCAAGAACTGGGACAAGCTGGTCAGCGAGGAGGAGAAGGTGGAGGAGAAGGAGGCCAAGGGCGAGGCGGCGCTGAACAACCTGTTCAAGAAGATCTACAGCTCCTCGTCGCCCGAGGTGCAGAAGGCGATGAACAAGTCCTTCTCCGAGTCCGGCGGCACGGTGCTCAGCACGAACTGGGGCGAGGTGTCCAAGGAGAAGGTGACCGTGAAGCCGCCCGAGGGAACCGAGTTCCGCGAGTGGGACAAGTAGTGGCAGCGAAGCTGGAGAGAGAGAGGAAGAGAGATTATATATACACATGTTTTTACACAGGATCGGTTGGAGGCCCGCTATTAACACTATTAAACTAACAAAACAACTGTTTTTAATAAATATGATTTAAGCATTGCACTCTTGGGGTTCGGGTGTTATTTGGGGTTATTATTAACTATTTTAGTACTAATATTAATGGACTCCCTAAATAGGTTATTCCTATTACCCAAACTCTTCGAACTACCCCCGCACTCGCACTCTACGAACAGCTGATGCGCCAGACCGGTTCGCAGACGTGGAAAGAACGCACAAAACTCCCTTTTCCGGCGCACAAACCCTCCAAGAGTCCAAGATGTACAAGAACCTGGAGGAGCACAACCGGCTGGTGAACAAGTACCTGAAGATCTTCTTCGTGGTGGCCCTCTACTGGTGAGTGCAACGCGTGCTGTTTTCGGGCACCCGGTCATCCTCCCGCCGCTCCGTCACAGGTGCACCTCGATTCTGACGGTCTTCGTGAACAAACACCTGCTGAGCAGCGACACCGTCAACCTGGGGGCTCCGCTGTTCATGTCCTGGTTCCAGTGCGTCGTCTCCACGGTCATCTGCTTCCTGATGAGCCGGCTGAGCAGGAGGTATCCGTCGGTCTTCACCTTTCCCGAGGGCAACCCGCTGGACATAGACACCTTCCGGAAGATCCTGCCCCTGTCCGTGCTCTACACGCTGATGATCGGGGCCAACAACCTCTCGCTGGCGTACGTGACGGTGGCGTTCTACTATATCGGCCGCTCCCTGACCACGGTGTTCAGCGTGGTGCTGACCTACGTGATCCTGCGCCAGCGCACCAGCTTCCAGTGCCTGCTGTGCTGCGGCGCCATCGTCATTGGCTTCTGGCTGGGCGTGGACCAGGAGAGCCTCACGGAGGTCTTCTCCTGGCGGGGCACCGTCTTCGGGGTGCTCAGCTCGCTGGCCCTGGCCATGTTCTCCATCCAGACCAAGAAGTCGCTGGGCCACGTCAACCAGGAGGTGTGGCTGCTCAGCTACTACAACAACCTGTACTCTACGCTGCTCTTCCTCCCGCTGATCATCATCAACGGGGAGCTGGAGACCATTATCACGTATCCGCACCTGTGGGCCCCGTGGTTCTGGGCCGCCATGACGCTCAGTGGAGTGTGTGGCTTCGCCATTGGATTCGTCACCGCTCTGGAAATCAAGGTGAGCTAAGAGCGTATGGTCCGCCAGTAGCCGCTTATCTCATCCGATCCGCAGGTCACCTCGCCGCTCACGCACAACATCTCGGGCACTGCCAAGGCCTGCGCCCAGACCGTTATTGCCACCCAGTATTACCATGACGTGCGGTCGGCGCTCTGGTGGACCTCCAACGCGGTGGTCCTCGTGGCCAGCGCCGCCTACACGCGGGTCAAGCAGCTGGAGATGCTGCGCCAGCACCAGCAGCGAAACGCCGCCACCCAGAAGGCCTAGAGGAGCAATGTAACCGCCAAAGTAACGTAGACTGCTTAGGACTCTAGGAGATGTAGGTTTAAAGTATGCACAAGCGATCCATGAACAAGAATACACATGTATGACAACTAGTTGGTGGCCACGGCCTCGTGGGGCTCCTCCGCCGGCTCTGGCTGCTTCCTGGCTCCCTCCCTTTTCACCTTCGCCGAGCTCTTGTCCCACATCTCCGGCACATAGACAAAGGGGTCGATCTTCAGCTGCTCGCTGCTGGGCGGGCTCTTGAGCAGAACGCGGGTGATGAAGCGCCCCTCGCGCTTGGGCCTCATCGTGTTGACGTCCTGCAGCAGGTGCTGGATGTTCTCCTCCAGCTTCCCGGCGTCCATGTCCAGGGTTCCCACGCAGGCAGTTATCAGGCCGAAGTTCTGCTGGTACTCGTCCTTCGAGGCGCTGTAGCTGATGCCGCTGGAGAACTTGACGATCATCTCGGCGAGGTTGGTGCCCAGCGTCTCGCTCTTGGGGTTCGGGAACTTGCGCTTCATCAGGCCGCGCAGGGCCACGAGTTCGGCCAGGATGTTGGGGTGAGCAATGACGTACTGGTAGTCGGAGAGCAGCAGCTCGCCGCCGGTTATGTCCTTGATCAGTTCCACGCCGCCCACGAGGGACGCGCCCGCTTCCCGCGCCTCCAGGACCTCGCTCTGCAAGGAAAAACCATATAGATCTGGAGCCTGGAGTCTTCTGGGCACACTCACGTTTCCTTTGGTGAAGACTATGATCTTGCGCTCCTCCCCGTGCTCAAACCTGTGCGGAATCATGGCCATGCGCTGAAAGTTGTCCACGAACCGGGTGGTCTTCTCGGCCTGCATGTCCAGCTCGATGTCCACGTTCAGAGGGGCCCTGGGCACGTTGTACATGCTGGGGTGGTGGGTCTCCCGGTGGCACTGGATGGCCTCCGCCACGGAGTACACCGGCCAGCGGTAGTAGCGACCCACATAGCAGTCGTCCTTCGGCACCTGCTTCCAGGAGTCGTCCACGTGCCTGTCCGCCCGCTTCACGTTGACCCTGGCAGCGGAGGAGGGTTAGTCTCTGCCCAGGCACGGGGGCCACTACTCACTTCTTGTTGCGCTGGTTGTGCGGGATGAAGCCCACCTTCTTGACCTCCACCTTCACCTTCTTCTTGCGGGCCTTCTCCCGGGTGCCCTTGCGGGCCGCCTCGCTCACAGCGGACAGGTGCAGCAGCCGGAGGGTCTCCGCCGCCGGCGGCCGCAGGGCCAGGGCGCGCATGGAGGCCAGAACGGACTGCATTTCTCTCAAACTTCCTTGTTTATTGGCGTTTTCCGGCAAAGATTACGTATTCGCCTTGTGGTGTGTCGGCGTTTCCCGGAAAATGGCGGACAGCTGTTCATTTTCGGGGTGAATGGCAAGACGCGTGTCAGTTTTCGGGGCGAATGGCAAGACACACTTTGCCATTCGCCCCGAAAATAGACACCAATTTGTCATTCGCCCCGAAAATAATCAAATTGTTTTTTTGTCATTCAGATTTTGCCGGGAAATTTGAATTTGAATTCAAAGGCAGAAAACCCGTTATTTTATTTATTGTTATTAAAAAGCAAAAGCTTGAACCATAACTCGAGCCTTTCAAAATAAATATGCAAATGAGCTAAAAATAAAAACATAAAACTTATCTGGGATTTCTAAATAGCTATCAGATAAATCATTATATTTTGACCGATTAAAGACATTACAAGTTATGTCCTATATCATTTTTAACTTAATAGTTTAGCTGAATGTAAAAAATAGTATTAAATCATTCTCACTGATTAAGGGCCTTAAATAAATAATTTCCTTACAACAAAGTATCGCAAGCATTGGTCTTAATTTTTAATTAAAAGCATGTATTATTATCTAGAGATCTTAATCCGTTAAAATCTCTCTAGCCCACCACGATAACCCCTGAATCCACCTATCGTTCAGATCTAAGAGAAATTCTGAGAAAGGAGAGCCAGAGTACCACGCTCGCGTCCTCTCTAAAAATAAATCTCACATTTTCCGACTTTTCCGATGCGTACGGAGGAAGCACTGGCGGCACGGCACGGCACAGTGCTCAGAATAGCCTCGACCGGCGCTACGGACGGACACGGAATTGCCTTTGGGGATTGGCCCCAGCGAGTGCGCCGTGGAAAATCGCGAACGAATTCCGCAGTGGGGGAGAGTGACAAAAGAGCCCCAGTGTGTGCATGGGAAAGTGCAAGTAATAATTTGTTATTGTTTTTCATTTCAACAAAAACAGCCCCGAAATAGACCGATAAAGCTAAGGAAAGCCAAGCCAAGAGGCGCCGCCGCCGAGAGGGAAAAGGAAAAGTATCAAGAAAAATGTGTATTCAATGTGTGGCAACAGTTTTCGATATAACAACGCTCGCAAAGTGGCGAAACGCCTAGTGAAAGTATACACATGATGATCTCTGCCCGCACCCGGCCTCCACCCAGCCTCCGCCCATCCACCCGCCCACTGGAGCACTCTGAGTGCGTGCACTTTCGCATAAACTGAGAATATTAATGGTGTGTAACCTAAAAAGAGGAATAAATGGTAATAAAGGAAGTGTGCGCACTTTCCGGCCATCCGTACCAGGGGGGTGGGGACTGGGATTGGGTGTGTTGCGATCGCCATGGGGAGGCGCAAACAAAAGAGTGTCAGCGTTTTAAAAATAGTTCGGAGGCAATGCCTCTATTTAACGTGATTTTTGTGTGTTATTCGCTGCTCCGCGCGGACTGAGCCGTAAGCGTAGCCGTAACCGAAACTGAACCCATGGACGGAGTGCATTCCGGAGCAGTCTCCGTTCTCCGTTTCGGTTAAGTGACCACACGCGTGCGTATTTTTAGAAAACAAAAAGAAAAATATCCAAAAACTTTCGCACATGTGGGGAAACGTGCTGAAATGGGATTTTCGAACGAAATATTGTTTACATTTTGTGGATTTAATCGTTACACTTTAAGACTCGCCGCGGCGGCAGCGGACGTTCTACATTTGTCTTCCTCTTTTATAAACAATCTACCGTCCCCGTGCCCCGACTCTGATCTCTGATAATTCTCCGATTTTGCCGTCTTGTGTGCGTTTTTAGTGGCGTATCTGGCAGCGTAAACAAACAAAGCCCCAATTGAGCGATTTCCCCTTCTCCGTCAAGAGCCCCTGATACCGCGATGGACTGGGACAAGCCACCACCGACTCCAGCCCAGCAGCCGCCGCCGAAGCCCCGCAGGACCCGTGTCCGGCAGAATGTCCTGCACTACGAGAGCCTGCCCACAGCCCCGCCGGCCATGTGCGGCCGCACCGAGGAGAACATCTTTCAGTTCCCGGCTGTGGCCTCTAGAGCACGCAATCTCTCCGCCTCGCCCAAGTTCGAGCGAAGGGAGGTCAAGGACCTGCCCGTGTGTGAGCGGGGCAAGCACGCCTGCTCCAAGTGCCTGCCTTACCGCGCGGACAGGGGCACCATTGAGCCGCTGAAGACGCGTTTAAATTCTGCCATCGAGGCCATGGACGAACTGACCAGAACATATGCTCTACTAGAGGGATTCCTGGAGCAGCGACTGGCCACCATAGCGGACAACGAGGCGGGCGAACGGGCGGCGGAGCAGGAAGCCAAGATGGGGGTGGAGGAGGAGCTGCCCTCCACTAGTCAAGCTGCCAGGCAGCGTCCACCTGCGAAGCCGGCCAGGCTGAATACGACCCACAACGACAACGAGTTCGAGCTGGAGCACTCGCTCACCTGGCTGGAGTCGCTGATGGGCACAGAGGTGGTGCCACCCTTCAAGCAGGGAAAGTTTAAAAGGTAGGGATAATCCTTGAAATATAAAAACCCCTTTGGGTTCAGGGAGGCTTTTCCTTTTCATTCTCTTCTATGACTTTTTTGTATGAATTTATAAAAGAATATTTATCCTTTAATTACCTTTCTGTCCTAGAATCAGAGAGCGCAGCAAGTCCATGATGGACGACGATCTAAATCTTTACATGAAGGCAGAGCGCTCGGGCTCCAAGCTAAGCACCTCCTCGTCGCGTCCCTACTTGCTGAGACGCCAGAGCACGTACAGTGACAACAAGGCCAAGGTCTCCAAATGGACCAAGGTCAAGGCCGCCTTCAAGTGGGAGCGGGCCAATGTTCCGCCCTCCGGTCCAGGGGCGCCGGAAAACAGTGTCCTGATGCCGCTCAACCATGAGGTGGAGAGGTCTGTACATGCACTCGAAGATCCCTTCCAACTCCCGTTAATTCCTGTTTTTTTTCAGGTACCTCAAAGTTCCCATTAGCGTGGCAGCCGGCAGCAGCTCGGCGGACAGCATTATTAGCTCCTCCTCCGGGCATATTATGAGCGATACTGGCGGGACACCGGGCACCATCAGCTCGGCCAGTTCTTTGGACGATCTCGAGGCGGGCTGCAGGCAGAATTTTCGTAAATAAAAAATAAAAAATATATTTATATAAATAATATATATGAGTTTCTCCTTGCAGGTCGCGATTCCTCCAAGAGCGATACCCGATGCGATTCGCGCACCTCAAACTTCGAGGTGGAACTGCGCAAGTCCGCCACTGATGAACGCCTGGACAGCATCAGATCTTCTGCACCCCCTTTGGCGGCCAAGTCCTCGTCCAGCAAGTCGCTGCGCCGCTCCAGGGCCTTCTCCGACTTCGAGGTGCTGCCAGAGGATCATGTGGCGGAGATTAAGGCTACCAGCAGCCGGCGCCAGAAACTGCCGCCCAGTCCGCTCAATCTCAGCCAGGTCAACCAGATATATAGTTCGGATCTGCCGCAGCTGCACTCGCCGCTCAAGAGTCCCAAGGATTCGCGCATGCGTCGTGTCCACTCGCCGGGAACATCCTCCGTGCCCAGCAGCCCATCCAGGCACTCGGATTTCTTTGGAGAATTTGGTGGGGTACCTCCTGATACATCCCGTAAGAATCTTTGTTAACTTTGACGCTTTTCTTGCAGAGAGCGAGGACCTGTCCAGTGGCGATTTCTCGGAGCCAACCACGCCAAATCGTAAGAATTTCCCTCAGAACGCAGATGACGAGGTATTTCAACATTATCAACTTCTCGTACTCAAACTAGATTCGGAGTTTAAGAACAAGCAGCGTGAGTTCGAGCGTTCCAGCGCCAGCAACCGCAGTAGGGATCTCCTGAATAGCCCACACTCTAATCTCCCAGAGAGTTGTAACCGCTGTGCTTTCCAATCGTTTCAGGCGTCAAATTGGGAAGCGGAGCCAACTCAGGAGGAGGAGCAATGGGGCCCAGTGCCGGCGGCAGTGGAAAGCGCAGCAGCGAGGAGCACTCGCCCACTCAGCTGCTTCAGCACAGCGAGCTCATGTCCACCGACCAGCTGGAGCAGAATCTCACGCCGCAGTTCAAGAAGAAGCTGCACAAGTGGCGGGCCAAGCAGCAGAACTGCTCGGGCGGAGCTTATTCATCGGACCCACCGGCGGCCAGTCCCACGGCCAAGAGCCAGAGCAGCGGTGAGGTGAAGCCCAAGATTGACTGGAACCTGTGGAGCATGGGCCAGGTGAAGCTCGAGGGCCAGGGACTGTGTGCCTTGCCCGATCAGAAGGACCTGCCCGAGAAGTTCCAGAAGAAGTTGGGTGAGCAGGGTGTCCTTGTTCTGATTTAATAAATGATTCAAGATATAAAAATATTTTGTATGTGATTTCAGAGCAATGGAACCGCTTAAAGTGTGCTCCTGTCGGGGGCACCACCTCCGATAATGACTCCCTGAAGCGAGGCTCCAAGCACGGTCAGTCCACGAGAAGAGGATCCGACGATGATCGCTGGTACAAGCACAGGCCGCACGACAAGGAAAAGTCTGTTCACAGCCGCAGTCCGCCACTAGCCTCGGAGATAATTATCCGAATCCTTCCTCCCGCAGATTGTCCCGCCTCAAGGCCATCGTGGCGCCCGATCACACCTCCAAAAAGATCGAGGTGAAGACCTCCGATGGCGAGGTAATGAAGTTCGAGGGCATCTCCAGGAAGTTCACCCGCAAGCTGTACGAATGGGAGAAGGCCCGGGGCATAGGCCCGGAGGCATCCACCTTTGCCCTGCTGCATCCGGGCTACTGTCCCATCGATGTGCGAAGGATCAACAAGGAGTGTCATAAAGGTTGTTCCTAAGACTCACATAGACTCTGGGCTAATCCCTTCTGTTTTACAGCTGCCGCGGAGCACTCGCCCACCCTCAGCCGCTCGCTCTCCCTGGACAGCGTGTCGCCGAACTGCCAGCCCCTGCCTGCTATCTCCCAGCAGGCCTCGTCCCTGTCCCTCAACGACGTCAACGATCTCAAGGAGATCGAGGACAGTGCCGACGCCCTTACCGATCACGAGTTCAAGAAGTACGATGAGCCGGAGGCAGTCATGGTCGAGGTGGAGGAGCACATTCACGACACCGCCTCGCCCCTGGTTACCGCTCACACCCTGGTGGAGCAGCAGACGCCCATCTACAAGTACGAGGAGGTGCAGTGCAACGACTATGTGTAGGTGTTGCCGAAACCTCTGCTCCTCCATCAGCTATATCAGTGAATTCCATTTTCCCTTGCAGCAACTCTCGCCGCGTGCAGAGCTTCGAGTCGCACACAAATCTGGCCCCATTGTTAGGAGCTCTGAAACGTGCCGACGATCTATTTGGCCAACTGAGGAATGCCTCGCCCGACCTGCCGGAACAGCCATCCATGCGGGACTGCGAGGCCGCATTGCTGAGCATTCGCAGCATATATCCGTACTACTCAAATAACCTGATGAAGGCGGGCGTGCTCAACGCCATATCGGATGTCCAGAGCGAGCTGGGAAGGCTCTCGGAACTGGTGAGCAGCCTAGGTTTGCAAAATCTCATGAGGAAAATACATAAATAAATTCCTCTTTGCAGAGCCAGAAATCTCCCCTGGACGAAGCTTGTTGCCAGGAAACCATGCAGGAGAGAACCCTAGAGTACCTGGAGGAGCTTCAAGGGCTGCACGAGTCTCTGCAGTGCCTCAAGCTGAGCATACGTAAGGATAACTTGTACAACTTTAAGCCTTTCCTTACTCCTTTCCAAACTCCTCAGAGGGCGGAACGAATCGCTATCCCCGAGACATTGTGCCCGACATCAACATCACCAGCGAGGATGGCCAGCAGTTGGACTCCAGCTCGGCTTATGCCACCTGCGACAACTCCAGCCGTGATCGCCTAGCCCAGGAGGATAATAGCGCCAGTGCGGCCTCCCCCATGGAGCACGAGACGGAGACTAGCACCACCACTGGCACCCTCTGTCGCTCCAGTGCACCGACTATTAATCCCGGTTCCCTGGCCAACGGAGGAGCAGGCACGAGTGCATGTGCCAAGAAGAAGCTGCTGCGTCTGCGCAAGATGGGTTCCCGGCAGAACAGCAAGACGGAGAGTGACAGCAGCGATGCGGACACCCACTCGGTTCTGGAGACGCCGCGTCGGCTGCGTCGGAAGAACTTCCGGTTGAAGCAGCGCTCCTTGGACGATGATTTCCGGCTTGGATCTACAGCGCCGGCCAATGAGCCAGAGGAAATCGTCTACGGTTCGCTAAAGGTCAGACCGGGACAACTTATCGAGCAGAGTCAATGCGTGGCACCGGCTCCAATTTCCGCCTCCACTACTTCCTCGACACCATCTACGGTTGCCACTCCGCCTCCCACAAAGGTTGGTGCCTTTGTTCCTCCTCCGTTGCCGGAGTCCAACAACCGAACCTACAACACCAATGCCAATGTCTTTGTGAAGACCAAACGTAAGCTGTTCACCACCATCCCAGAGCCCAGTGCCTTCGAGGGCATAGCCGTGATCGAGAAGGAGCTGGACAGTCCTCTGGAGGAGCAGCAATCAGAAAAGTTGGAGAAATACGAGAAATTTCCGAAACTGGAGAGATCCAAGTGCCAGCCAAGACCTCTTAGCCTGTACAAATCCATCAGCTTGGAGCGCATCTCTTCCTCGCAGCAGCCGTCCAAGGACGAGCTGAGGAAGAGCCAGAGCAGCGAGAACTTGCGTCGGGGATCTCTCTTGGTGCGTCCACCTCTGGCCAGCGACAGCATGCAGAGACTGGCCGAGTCCAAGAAATTGGAGAAGCAGCAGGACCCGATGGCCAATCCCCCGGTGCCGGTGCCCAGGAAGGCGCATCTTTACAAGAAGAACTCGCTGCACAAGTCACACAGTGCCACCGTTGCTAACAAGATTGAGCACAAGATAGCCAAGACTGGCTCCGGATCGACGTTCTCGAGGGCGCCCCCTCCGCCACCGGTGTCCTTGCCATTGGTCTTGCCCAATAAGGAGGACAACACCTTGCCCCGCATCCAGAGGAAGCACCCGAACACGCCCACCAAGGCCAAGCAGTTTGAATTCCCCCCGACGCAGATCCTGGCGCCGGAGCGCCCAGCCACGCCACTGTCGGAGCGAGCTATCCGCCTCCAGTTGGCGAAGGCGCAGTTCCTGCAAAGTGCACCGGTCACGCCCCGACAGGAACCCGAGACACCGCCGCCCAAGGGCAGCGACTCTATGGTGCTCCAGAAGAGTATCAGTGCGGGCAGCGTGCGGGCTACCGTCCAAGAGCCACCTAAGCAGCCGCCAGCCTATCAGGACGTGTCCACGGATCAGGAGAGCGTGGGCACCTCTAGTGCTTACGATAGCTTGCCCAGAGCCGTCAGCCGGAGTGCCAAGATCTCTAGTAAATTGGGCTTCGCCACGCTCACTTCGAAGCTGAGAAGGGGTCACAAGAAGCCCAAGGAGACGCCCGCCACTTCCGGACCGGGAAGTGCCCTTTCCGCACTCTGCCGGCAAACCCTCATGGCCGATGCCATACCGCAGGCCTTCGGCATCACCGCCGGCGCCTCGGCAGAGAAGCCGCCACCGAGTCCCACGGGTCGGAATGTCCTTAAGTCGCACAGCACTCCGCAGGCGGCGGGTCCACCGTCCTCCATTAACTTCGATGGCCTGAACAAGTCCCTGAGCGAGCAGTACGTGCGCCAGCTGAAGGAGAGCGACGTCTAGTCAGCGCATCCCAAGTCCCAAGTCCAGAATCTAGTCATAGAGTGATATCTGTAAATTGTCCGAGTGCATTTTAAGATCAGGAAAGAGTCCTGTTAGCAGGACTGCAAAAAATATATACAAAATATAATATTAAGGCTAAGAATTCAAAAACAAGTGGCAGCCGGGCTCCGTCGAAGGAACGATACTCAAGTGGTAGCTTTTGCTATGTAAATGCAACAGATCCAAAGATATATCTTTATTTCCTAACACATTTTTTTCAGGTGGAACTACTAAAACGTCATTTTAAAATGTATAAATTGGAATTTTTTTAAAGCCGAGCTAGGAACTAATAAATAAAATTAAAACTGGATTTTTAATGTAAAAACGAAAATAAATTATGAAACTAAATAAACAGAATCTTTTTTGGAACAAGGTTTTAAATCTATAATTATATCAGAACTAAAAAATATATTTTCTTTTGATTAAATCGTTTTTAAATGCATTAGCAGGGGTGTTTTTTTTTTGCTGTTACACAAACGAAGCTCTAATCATAAATTAAATAAATATTAGTTTTTGGAAAATGTAGCAGATGCTAAATATTTTCAATTATATAGTGAATACATTTTTTTTAAATAATTTAATACAAAATTCAATTATTTTAAATGTTTTTTCCAGCTTTGATTTACATATGTATCTTCGTTCGAGCTTTGGGCTAAGTTATAAATTAAAGTGATTTTATAATTATTAAAAAAGGGAATTTAAAAATGTGTAGCCAATAAAATATTGAAACTTATATGCCATAATATCAGTTAAAAGTTTGTTTATTTTGCAAGATATAAAAAACATGGCCCAAAGAGTTTACCTTCCTTTTAAAGCCATTAAGCCTCGACAATTGCAAATTCCACCCACATTTAGATACATATGCATATTTTCTCTTTAAAACTGTATTTTAATCACATTGATTAAGGATTGTATAAGCTATATATGTACATTTAATCCGTAGCCAAGTCAAGTAGTATCGCGATATAGATTATTCCGATAAGCTGTGGAAATTCCATGCCGGCTTATCTGTGTTCCACATAGTCGTCGTCCAACTCCTCGTTGTCCACATAATCGTCATCGTCCTCGTCCACATCGTTTTCGTGTGGTATTTCCGGAGGTTCTCCGCCGGTGTTCCAGTAGCGATCATCCTCCGGATATGTAAACTCGTAAGTCACCGTCTCCGGATCCACATAGGTTATGCAGGTGGTGAGGTTCTGGAGCGATTCCACCATCTGTGGGACGCTGTTGACGAACATCACGCCGCACTCCACGGAATGCTGAGCCTCTGCCGGCAGCTGAGAGTTGATCTTCCCGTACACATCGATGCCCACGGCTATGATGTCGTGGACCCTCCGGATAGCACTCAGAGCATTCACCGTTCCCGAGAGAATCTTGCCCACGGTGGTCTGCTTGGCGGCGATCTTCTTGTAGATCTTCACCAGGCCGCCCACGTTGCGTTTCACCTCCTTGACGGCGGCCATCGTCTCATCCTGTATCCTCAGGATCAGGGCCATGGTGTGAGAGTAGCAGTCAACGCCGTCGTTGATGGCCTGCAGGGCCACCCGGAACTCGGGAACCATGGAGTAGCTGCAATAGGCCGCCTGACTGCCACGACCCCAGTAGTTCCACATGAATCCCAGTCCGGCAATGGCAGCCGTCACGATCTTGGGCTTGTTGAGCTTCAGCAGATTGGTCTCCAGCGTAATGGCTCGCGCCACCAGATCATCGATGCCGAACTGAGCCTCGTCAATCACATCCTGCACTATATCCCTGAGGTCCTCAAACTCCGCCCTCTGATCCGGCGTAAAGTCCGGACTAGGTGCACCCATTATCTCCTCCACGGTGGGCAGTTTGGTGTCGTAAACGACTCTCGGTTTCTCGTCCAAGTAAATGGAAAACTCCCGGCGGAAGTCATCGAAGACCTGAAGGTAGCTGCCATCCAATTCCGGCTCCTTGATCTCATTTTGGGCGCTACCATCGCCCTGCTGGAGTTTCAGGCTGTACAGGTAATCGTACTGGGACTGCAACTCCCGGTAGAGCGGACGCAGTGCCTTCATCTCATCGCTGGACAACTGCAAGTCCACCAGTTGCTTCTGCAGGAGACTCTCCAGTTCCCGATGGGCCTGGCCACAGCCGCAGCAGAGCAGCAGCACGCCAGCCAGCAGGAGCAGCGGTATTCTAACCATCTTGCTCGGTCCGCCAATAGAGTCCAACTGGCCAAAAGGGGGATCATGACCATTATCTGGGGAACTATGGCTCGTAAAACACTATCACACTTGGATTTCCTTAAGTGGGCACGGGCTGATTAGGCTGCGATAATCGCAGCTTATCGCGAATATTACGCTATATATAAAAGCCGCACTCCAAGGGGCAATGTTTCGGTAAACAAATTAAAATTTGCGGGGAGCTTTTTATGAATGGAGAGAGGGAAAGAGAGAATATTGCTTAATAGAATGTTAATTTCATTTTGCATTAAACTTTATTTGGTTTTCCCTAAACCACTGCACACTCCTCGATCTGAGCAAAGACCTCATCAAACTCCATTTTCAAATGATGGTAAAAGAGGCAACTCGGTGTGTCCAGATCCTCCGTCTCCATCTCCAGCAGGATATCGTCACAGAGCTCCAGGCATCTGGCCAAACGCTGCCTGATGGCCCCAATCCCAGACACCGTGCAGAGCAGGACTCCGGCGTGGTTGAGACCAGCCTGCTTCAGCTGCCAAGTCTTGCAGGTCTTGGCTATTGCCTCGATCTCTTGCGAAGCCCTCCCCAAGAAGCTGGCCTCGAGTACGATCTCCTGCTCAAAGTGAACCATGATGTTGTCCAGGGAGTTCCGGCAGATGCTGTACTTGTCCACCAGCTCCCGGTTGAAGTGGGCCACCTGGAGCTCGTGCTTCTTGGAGCACGCCCGCCACTCTGCGCTGTACTGACTGCCAAAGAATCGCTCCAGGCGGGCACTCGCCTGGCGCTGCTGCTCGTCGAGAGTGTTTAGGGCCAGTTGCAGTCGCTCGGTATGGTCGTAGATGGCCTCCTGGGTGCGGTTCCAGATGGCGGCGGCCTTGAAACTCTCGCTGGATATAAGCTGCTTTGTGGACTCGTAGAGGGGACCATTCCTGCCCCAAATCCTTCGAAACTGCCCAGGCACCTGTAACATTCGGAGGAGGGTTTTAATTCCATAAATATTTTATTGGAAATATTTTTTACACAAAATAGTGCCATCAGCAGAAGCAGTGAAAATGGTTCTATTCTCATATTGATACTGAATCAAACTGATTTCGGAAGAGATATATGTTTTGATATTCATATACTGCGTATTTCAGTGATATTGGTAGTTCCGTTTGGGGGAAGTTAGCTGTGAAAGAGACTTTGTCTTCTGATAGTTTTCCTGTCTAAGTTTACTGAACAAATAAATTTTGTTGTATAACCAAAAACTGTTAAATTAAATTAAGGATGTTCGAATGTTAGCTAGTAGATAGATAACAATATATAAAATTTAGAATTTTAGCAGAAACCAAAAACGCGCGATGTATTACATATTATACCTTGTAAATTTAAGAGTATTCTAAAGTCTATTTAAAGTTGTGCTCATGAATTAAGAATAGACAAATGTTCAATATATCTTCAGACACTTCGTTATCTTATCGAGATACACGATGTCTTCGCTATAAATATCAAGTCATTCCAGAGTCCAACCCCAAATAAGGATCTCCATTGTGAGTGAAGCTATTGAAATCTTTGGTTTCCTTTTGTTTACCTTTATAGTAAGAAAAGATTTAAAATATTAAGCAAAATCTTACCTAAAAGTTTAATATTGGTATGAAATAATAAATTATAAATTATCTTCAATTAAAATAGGTTTATGCTTAAAAGTAGAGTAAATATTTTACTTTCCGAGTTCCCCTTAGATTGAAAAGTCTCAGTCCCTAAAATGGGTTCCTAGAATATATGGAAACCTAAACAGAGCTTATATACTGTTGTGAAATATTTTTCAAGAGCGACACCGCGTCGACAGCTTGAAAACAACAAACATGTTTTTAATATATTAATGGGCAATCGGTGTTCCCTTGTGGGGGATTCTTGCAGGGCGAAAGCCCTTATCGCAGGTTATGCCAAAGTCTGGGCTATATATAGCCCCCGTCGATGGGAGGGCCAGCTGCAAACGAGAAACCAAACTGGAGGGACAATGAGTCAAATATTGGGAGTACTTGGAGTGATCTTGCTTACACTGGCAGTAAGTGGCCCTAAAGAGCTTTTCCATCTTATAGGTAATACAAATATATTGCATCTAGATCTGCCAGGCGGAAACCGTGGACCGCTATGAGACAAAAACGCAAAACGACACCTACGGACCGGTGACTATGGTCGTGGACAACCTGGCCGATATAGCCGTCAATGTCAGCGACAACTCCACCGCTCAGTTGCAGGACAAGATGGATCGCACCGAGCGGGACATAGCCGGGAATATGGAGGTACTTACCGCCAATGCCCTGGCGCAGTTGAGCGACGTCATCTTCCAGACCAACGAGCTGCTGGTGGCCAATCCCGACTGCAATCCCGCCTGGAGCCTGGAAGAGCTCAACGAGAATGTGAACGCTCAGCTCAGCACTTGCACCGTCAGCTTGGCAGATCTCCTGCAGGATTTCCGGGTGCAGAGTCAGCAGGCCATGAGCCGCGTCCAGGGCTTTGTCCATCAAATTGCCGAGTTGCCAGCCAAGTGCCAGCTGGTAGGCGCTTCGCCGCTAAATCCGCTGGCATCGGCCGGTGCCCATATCTGCTTCATTAATGCCATGGCGGAGGTGAACGTGGGCATGGCCCAGTCTATGCACGATGCCTCCGTGCTCCTGGTCCAGACCCACCAGGCAGCCGCCGAGCAGGAAGAGCAGGCGCAGCAGTGCAGCGTAGCTGTGGTCCAGCAGTTTGGTGACTATCTGCGGGAGGAGCAGGACCAGTGCCAGTCCTAAGGGACAGAGCAAGAGTGAGAGAGAGTCCCTACGAAATACAGGCAAATTTATGCACCCAGGACGAGAATTCGCCACATCCTGCTCACTTATTGCTTATGCATGACATTTATTTGACAAGTTTTTGATTGATTTTACAGCTGCCGCTGCCGATCTGGTGCAGCCAGAGGTCTCTGCATGTCTGCAGCTACAGTCGAGCCATTTTAAAGCGAACTCTCCAATAAATAAGGATACTTTGAGAGTAGATAACATTTTTATACCCCCTGCAGGGTATTATAATTTCAGTCAGAAGTTTGCAACGCAGTGAAGGAGACGTTTCCGACCCTATAAAGTATATATATTCTTTATCAGGATCAACAGGGGAATCTTTCTAGACATGTCCGGAAGAAATCGATTTTTTGGCCATTTTTGCAAAATTTTATAAGGGGTTACATCATTAAAATTGTAGATTTTGATAAAAAATTGAATTTTCAAAATTTTTAAATGAAGTATGCAGATTTATTAACTGTAGAACATCTAGCACAGAACAGTTTTCCGATTTAAAATTAATGCTCTTTTGGCCGAGTTATGATATTTTTAATTTTAAAAAATCAAGATGTTTTTTAATATAAAAAATACGATTTTATAATACAAAATAATATTTTTCTAAGTCAAGGAATCATTTTCGACCCCATAAACCATATATATTCTTGATCAGCATCAACAGGGGAATCTTTCTAGACATGTCCGGAAGAAATCGATTTTTTGACCATTTTTGCGAAATTTGATAAGGGGTTAAATCATTAAAATTTGCGAAAATGGCCAAAAATTTTGATTTCTTAAAATTTTAAATTTGGTATGCAGTTTTTTTAAATTAATTAAAACTAACAAAACCTGCTTTCCGAATCGAAATTAATGCATTTTTGGTTTAGTTATGATATATTTTAATTGTTACCTGCAAGGGTATACAAACTTTGGCTGGCCAAAGTTAGCTTTCTTTCTTGTTTTCTTCAAAAATCTGTACGTCCAGTTAAAATATAAAACTAATAATTGATCTATTTATTAACAATTTAAAGAAACCCGATTTTATTTTGTACACATATTGAAGGATTGAAGCCTTAATAGTTATTTAAAAAAAAACTGATATTCTTGCTCAAAAAATTATAAAAGCGCTTAAATATATCTCAAACCACTCAATATTTATCCACCTTAGTTTCTTGCAATTTTCTCCAGTTAATTCTTCAAGGTTTTATTTAATTAAAATATTTATTTAGCACATCATCCCGTTTTCATAATCTCGAAATCGTAATATTAAATATTTAAGTTTGAGTCTCGAAATCTAACTTAATATACATATAGAATCAATCGACTGATCATTTATGTCTTGCAAGGTTTAATTTATTTACAATATTTATTTTTGTAGAATATCGCGTCCCAATTCCATAATTTCAATATCTAAATATTTAATATGTATTACTATATCGACTGATAGTGTTTTGGCAATCCATTTAATCCATTTTAATATCTAGTTATTTAGTATCAATAACGTACTCATGGCGATCCGCTTAGGCAGACTCCTCTGTGGTGGCATTTTTCGGGACAACTTTGTGGCTAATCGCAAGTTCACTTTTCAAAGTCGCATGCATACTAATTGGCCATTGTTCGTCCCAACTGACCAATTGCCCAATGGACTTGCCCACGACGACACGTGGCAGCCACACGATATACACACAAACGTACCTACTCTATAGGATCGGAACCAAATAATGGACGACAGCTGGCCCTAGAGAGAGAGCACTACCGCTCCCTGTCGTCCTCCGCTTCCGCAACGATCCAAATTATTTAGACCTGCCAGCAGTACACTGAGCCAAATGTTCCAGCTAGTTTCGGGCACTAATACAGCCCTACTCAGGGTTCAATGAAAAGACAGAATTGTTTGCAGTGCTACGAAAAATAAATGTCTACGAATCTTTATTTCGGCTCTGGCGCAATTTCACTAAGAGTCTGAATTTTATCTTATTTTTACTGCTTGTAACAGTTGATAATGATGATTCTGCAGCACCTACTCCACCATCTGTTGATTTGTTGGGCTGCCCGATCACAGACAACTGACGGAGCCCGGGTGACGGTGAGCGCGCGACGCTTGCCTATTGGAACTCGGGGCTCCCCTTGAGTCGAGATTAGACAAAGCGGAAATATTTTCCTAATGTGTAAGAGATTGCATTATGTATGATAAGCTTATCAGATACCATCAGTATGCCATTATTACCTTTATCCGTTGTGATTTTTTATTGCCATTATCATCACAATTTAAACTATGGAACAAGAGTCTTTCGGTGGCTTTTCAATGGTTAAATCTGTATTATCTTCAATACCTTAATGCACTTACTTTTACTTGGTTGTCCTTAAAAATCAGCCGTCAGTTCTTTGCGAATTGATTCAGCTTTTCTTGAATTATTTCTCTAATAAAGTGATAATGACGCATTCAATATATCCATACATACATACTTTCCCATGGAGGTCAGACGGAGTAGTTTCAAAGAGCGTAGATCGTAGCGAAAGATCCGTAGAACTTTAGTTTTGTATCTTCGTCATCGGGGAGTGACCATATTTTAAGAAGATTCTTGGGAAATATAAGCTACATTTAGAATTCTTTAATTTTTACAACCAGTCAGCGCATTATATATACCAATCTCGCCAATATATGATAGTCTTATCAGTTTTGCGACGCAGTCTAACGATGAGAATTACTCGATAAACAAGTGCTTTGATATTATTTATTGGCTTTTCTACATATGACGAGCTTGCAAAGGGGGTTTGAGTATAAATAATATTTATAGTATGGTATACATATATATGTAGAATACAATAGTATTATATTTATATTTTGTTTTAGCCATTGATTCATCATTTAAACGAAAGAAAGGGTCCGGATTGTCAAGGAATTCATTCACTTTCTTGCGCACGCTTTCAGGATACTTATTCATAATGATCTCAAACGAGTTGTTATGTTCTGGAATAGAAATCAATATATGCAACAATCAAAGTTATTTTACTCGATCTGTACCCAAGTTCTACTTGCCTTCGGTCGGATTATAAAAACTGTACAGGATTGTCCATGAACTTGTTCACTGCCTTGCGCTCGCTTTCGGACAACTTATTTGCGGAGATCTCAAGCGCCTTGAACATTCCTGGAATAGAAATTAATATATGAAACTATCAACGTTATTTTACTCAATCTGTATCCAACTTGTATTTGTTTCGGTCAGATAAAAACGAATATCCAGGAATTCCTTCACTGCCTTGCGGTCGCTTTCGGGTAACTGATTCACGAAGTTCTCAAGCAGCAACTTGAAATGTTCTGGAATAGAAATAAATATATTTAACTATCAAAGTTCTTTTACTCGATCTGTACCCAAGTTCTACATGCCTTTGGTCAGATTATAGGCCTTTCAGGACTTGTGACGTATTGTGCACTCGAATTTCTCTTTTCTTCTCCCAAAATTATTTGATTGGACCTTTTTGATGTCAATGGTATATTGGGACATTTTATTTAATTTCTTTAGAAATATGTACGTCTAGGCAGTTTAAGATCTTTCTAGCAACTGAATCGCAATCACTTGTTCTTATCAGTTTTATTGGACAAAATTTTCGGACGTCCCCCACTTAGTGATGAGAGTTTTCCAATAATAACACAATTCCTGTGTTGAGCAAGTCTTTGATAGATCACAAGCTTTTTGCTAGGCGGTATTTATGAAATAATGTGATAAGGAATTGTAATCTTTAAAATAAAGCTTTAGAATGTGCCCTCTTTTTTGGTTGTTAAATAGGAAAACGAATTGGTTGCAAAATATTAGTTATGCTTAGCTAAGAATTCAGAATATAAATTATATTTACAATATAGAATTACATCAATATTATATGTTAGCCATTAATTCATCATTCTTTCTGACACAATTTAACTAATCGACAATGGTCAATCCCATACGTTCGGTGGCAAAGGACCTAACCGCATTTAGGGCGACATTTCTAATATCCTCGTTTCTCAGAATGAGTCCTACGACCTCAACGGCATCGATGGGCCTGATATTGGAGATCGCATTAACCACGTGATCCCTTAGTGCTTCGCGGTCGCTTTCGGACAAGTCATTCGCTATGATCTCACCCAGCGACTTGAACTTTCCTGGAATAGAAATCAATGTAACTATCAATGTAATTTTACTCGATTTATACCCAAGTTCTACTTGCCTTCGGTCAAACCATAGGCTGCAATGGCTCCGATGCCTCCACCCAACGCCAGCCCACGGGGACCCAGCAGTAGGCCACCGAGCAAGGCGGAAAGGGCGCAGACTGCGGCTCCCTTGGCGGACTCCTGGAATGTCACCTGGACGTTTTCGTTGTCGACCAAAATGGTCAGGGCCCTTATGAGCTCTTGGGTGCTTACGGACATTTTAATTTAATTTCTTTATTAATAAGTCTAGGCAGCTTAAGACCTTTCTAGCAACTGAATCGCAATCACTTGTTCTTATCAGTTTAATAGAAAAAAAATGTGGAGACATCCCCCACTCAGTGAGGAGAGTTTTCCAATAGTCGCACCATTCCTGTGAAGATTATTATTATCGATTTTTCTGTCAGTGTTCAGCAAGGCTCATATGGATCACAAGCTTTTTGCTGTGCGGTATTTATGAAATAATGTGACAAAGAATTGTGATTTTTTAAATAAGACGTTTCTTGGTAAATAGTAAAACAAATTGATTGCAAAATATTAGTTATGCTTAGCTAAGAATTCAGAATATAAATTAAATTTATAATATAGTATTACATCAATATTTTATTTTAGCCATTAATTCATCATTCTTTCTGACACAAATTAACTAATCGACAATGGTAAGTCCCATACGTTCGGTAACAAAGGACCTAACCTTGTTTAGGGCGAAATTTCTAATATCCTCGATACTCAGAATTAGTCCTACGACCTGAACGGCATCGATGCGCCTGATATTGAAGATCGCATTAACCACGTGATCCCTTAGTGCTTCGCGCTCGCTTTTGGACAAGTCACTCGCTATGATCTCACTCAGCGGCTTGAACTTTCCTGGAATAGAAATCAAGATACATACATACATACATGTGTATGTAACTATCAAAGTTATTTTACTCGATTTGTACCCAAGTTCTACTTGCCTTCGGTCAAACCATAGGCTGCAATGGCTCCAATGCCTCCACCCAACGCCACCCCACGGGGACCCAGCAGTAGGCCACCGAGCAAGGCGGAAAGGACGCAGACTGCGGCTCCCTTGGCGGACTCCTGGAATGTCACCTGGACGTTCTCGTTGTCGACCAAAATGGACAGGGCCTTTATGAGTTCTTGGGTGCTTACGGACATATTAATTTAATTTCTTTAGAAATAAGTCTAGGTAGCTTAAGATCTTTTTAGCAACTGAATCGCAATCACTTGTTCTTATCAGTTTAATAGAAAAAAATTTGCAGACATCCCTTACTCAGTGATGAGAGTTTTCCAATAGTTACACGATTCCTGTGTTAAGCAAGTCTTTGATTGATCACAAGCCTTTTGCTGGGCGGATTGTTAAGAAATAATGTGATAAAGAATTGTGATCTTTTAAATAAGACATTTCTTCGTAAATAGTATAACAAATTGATTGCAAAATATTAGTTATACTCAGTTAGCTAAGAATTTAAGTCGTAAAGGTATCCCAAAACCGTGAATAATTCCTGTATCATACCTTAAAGTGACAAATTAAAATAATAAATAAACAATTTTCCTTTACTACCAAGGAAGTTTGTCTTTATTTATAATTTGTTCCTAATTTGGCAAGGCAAAACCAAAATGTTCTTTCAAAAAAGGCCGCTGAGAACTCAATATTTTGGTGGCCAGCGAGCACATATACATATTAATATGAATTTAATGGCTTTTACCTTGGCACAGGCTATACCCTCTACCCCACATCAAAATCGGCGGCCGGCGCCTTTGGAGTTCGCCTTACGTGTCTGGATGGCGTTTACAGAAATTGCTGCCGGATTTTTCTATAATTTTGATTGATGCGGCTTTAATAGTGCTACCGCTGAACTTTCGGATAACTGTAACTAGTGCCGAAATCTCCAGCCAATCTGGAGAATATCTCGCCCCCGGCATATGTGTATATGTGGCTATGGACAACTATGCCTGTGTAGGGGAGTATCCGGGATCTGCGACCTGCGACCAACTGGCGCGTCTTCCTCCTGACAATAAGGAATAATCGGTATCGGCATTGTTGTTATTAGTATTTGCTGTCTGCAGGACGAGCCGCGTGGCGTGCGAGTGAAAGCCAGCGAAAAGGATCTGAAGTGCGGATCGGTGGGCAGAACGGGATAGCAATGCAACATATGCCATCTTTTGGCCGATCCTCCTCCTCCAGCAGGACCTCTCTTTTTCTCTCTATCCATCTCCCTTCGTCTTGGGATCAGAACCGAAAAGAACGGCGGCGCACGCCGTCATCTGGTGCCACTTTTGACTTTGGAAATTGGGTTGCCCACGCTCCTTCGCTTCCTCACTCAGAAAAACTAATCCTTGCATCTTAGAAAAGTAGATTTCGTAGGTTATTTTCTTTGTTTTTTTTAATTTTTAAAATGTATACATTTATACAAGAAGGGAACAACTATCAAAGGTTAGAATTGACGGTTGTTGAGTTGTATTTTAAATTATATTATATATTATATATTTACTGAAATACAAAACTAATATATACCTATACCCATACCTGTATTCCTACTTCTTTAAATTGTATGAATTTTATTTAAACAACTATTTTTTTAACTGCAGGATCCGTTTGCCCGCTCATTTAAAATTATACTTTTTGTAGCCGTTGCCGTTCGGTTTCATTTACGGTTGGGGTTTTTTCCCTTCCCCGATCGGCCGACAATTTCAAGGAAGCGGGAGCACTCCAACAGTTACTGTTGACTTCCGATCGGAGCACGAGTGCTGAAGGGAGACGGAGAGGTAACAGCAGGACAAGCGGCTTAAAGGACACGGCTCCAAAGGGTTGCTCTTGCTCCTGGGGAATGGTACGGGGTAATGTGCACTCTGGCACTGGGCATCGGTAGGTGTGAGGCCGACAAGGATGCACAGACACAGACTCACATTCGGGGCTCTGCTCTCGGCTTACAAATCCAAATAGAGCCCCGAAATCGCGCGCGCATGCCGGCCTGAAATGAACACGTGTGCTGCCTTAAGGATCTGGCCAAGAGGCGTCAGCTGGCCAACTCGGAGAGAGGCCGGCACAATAATTGCAGCGCCTATGAAGATGCTAGAAAAATCATAGAAATCTAAGGGTTAAGAAGGAAACCTATACAGCAGCAGTTTAATTTATATATTGATTATAAAATGAATTATATATACCTTCTATATTGTAAGCATTTAATTAGAAAATAATCTTAAATAAACCTGATCCTCTGAGCTTATTATCCTTGTTTTTATATTAAACAAAGCTTTGGATATATTTTCAGACAATTCCTATCCACTGCATCTTGGATAATTTATTAAATTGGCTATAAATGAATACAAATAGTTATATATTCTTAACATATATAAAATGCTGCATTCGAAAAATACTTTTTAAAATCATAGAAAATGCCTACATAAAATAAATAACAAATGGTTGCCAATAAATCTCAAAGTTAAAACAAATTATCCGCCAGCTAGGCGTGTAAAATCTGTAAATCGCTTACCCTGATGGCCATAAACAAAACCAAATCACAAGCAACAGAAACAAAAAAGTTCATTTACATTAAACACCAATATCGGGGAGATCCAGATCGGGGCTAAGTCAGGATCCAAAGGATAAATAATGAACTCCTGGCCGGCGGAGACAAATGTATAATTTTACAGATCGCGCGATTCAATTAGAGGCATCGCTGAGCACAAAAAATTAAGCAATAAAATTAGTTGTGGTTCACGCAAATTGAAAGCATCAAAAGGACCCTCAAGGACATGCCGCAGAAATAGAGCAATAGCCATGAATCAGGACCAGGGCAAGGCCCATTGGCATTCCCGAGCGGTTTTTCGTTTTCATTTTCATTTTCGTGTCATAATGTGTTGTAAGTAGTTGCCTTTGTTTCCCGTACGACTCGCTATTGTTCCATTGTCCTGCTCAAGGACCTGTCCCGGGGAACACCCGCGCGGTTCCCAGCATCGCAGGATTTTCTCCTTTTTTCGCCCTTTATCCACCTTGGCTGCTGTGTCAGTTGCGACCACAACTTGACCCTCTGACCACCAACATAAAATGTTGACAGGCGGAACACGCCTCTAAAATATTGTGCGAGAGTCCTGTGGGGTCCCCGGGAGTATCCTTCTCATGACCAGTTGAGATTCCCTCCTGACAGTTATGAGCTGATCACTGATCACGTTTGGCTATCTCGATGTCGGCGCTAGCTGCCAGGAATTTATTGTTATTGACATTTTAGTTGGGTGGAATCACACGGATTATATCTGCTAATTGCACAGGGACACAGGTCCTCTTGATCTGCTTAGATCTTCGGCGGCATTGTCGGCGTTCCTTGATCAGGGATATTTTATTGGCAATCACTCAAAGTTATGGGGATGTTCTCGGGAAGCGTAGTTTTAATAGGATGTAGCGTGGTTTTCTAAGCCAAGTTGGTTACAATATACATATAAATGCCAAAAAAAAGTTAATTTCGAGTTCAACTAAAGTCAATCAGAGTTTTTTTTTCATGCTGATCGAGTTCATATATCGAGTTCAAGAAGCCCCACTTTCACGATCGCTTAAACACAAATCGGCTGGAAAATCACGGCAAATCACCGCCAGCTCACCCCTCTGCCGCAGGTGATAAAATTTCGCACATTAATACTTAATTACTTGAATAATTGGGGCCAGGGGATTAAGTTCACACTCACCCTGAAAAAAAAATCGCAGTCAATGCAGGTGGCAGTCCCTAAACCAAAAGCCAAAAAGACACTGCCGAAAATATGGTTGAAAAAAAAATGCCAAAAGGAGTTGTCCCTCAGAGATGAAGTGATGCCAACACCACCGACGTCGTTGACATTAAGGAGCCGAAGTCGGGGCTCTTGCCAAGAGCATGGACGCATTTTTCACACGAAATCCCGATTAATAAATATACAAGTCCACAAGTATTACTGATAATTTGAAAAGTCGTCAACCTGAGCCCCAGAGGAGGCCGGGAAGGAGACCAAGACGGAGCCTCCTCTCTGCAGATTCCATGCCGAGTCTTCGGTGCCCAATTACAAGCAAATGAGCTGGAAAACTGTATCAAATGACCCAATGTCAATACAAAATTACAGGCTCGGACCCGGACCCGAAACCAGGAATCTCTTGTTCGCCGCAGACCAGACCAAATCTTCAGACGGTTCTTCTCTCCTCCTGCTCCTCCTTCTGCTCCCGGATTCTTCTCTTAGTCGCATCTTAACGTGACAAAGCGACGGCGATGGCTTGCGTGTGGCAATTTCAGTTAAAAAACTTTGCAAACCTAATTTTTTTGATGCTGGAATATTGAATACCTTACAGAAAAAAAGGAATTATATATATTTTGCTTACGAAATTATTTAAAAATCGAGAAAAAAAATGTATTTATTTTCTTAATTAAACTTTATTATTTTATTAATATAGTAATTTGGTTTTTAAATATTTCTAATCATTTTCCCTGTTCCAATAAGCTTATAATTCCTGCCATAAATATTTATAAATCTCCAAAAGGGTATTAAAATTTCGTTGTCTTGAAACAAATACCAGTGATACCTTTTTGTGGGCTTAATGCCTCGTTTTGGTAGCATCTTAACGTTTTTGCCGTGTGTTAATTTGATGCCTCGCCAAAAAATTGTCAAAAGATCCAGAATGACTTTGATTTTTGATGCACTTTCACTGGCCCTTGGACTTGGATCTTCCATCTCCGTTCCTCCATTGGCTGCAGCGTGAGATACTGAGAACTTTGGCTATACAGCTGTGTTCACGGAAATAGCAGTGCCCAACGACCTGCACGTTTAAGATCGGAAAATCCTGTTACAAACACTATTTTCATAAATTTTTTTTTCATAAAGGCTTAGTGTATTTAATTGTTAACAATACCACAATCATTTAATTTAGGTAACATAAATCTTTTAGAAGATATAGCTAATATGAACAAAAAAGGTCTATATTATGCCGTTCATTGAAATAGCAGTGAAAAACTAAAATTCATCATAAATTTAAAAATATCGTATAAGAAACCTACTTCTTCTTAAATTCTAATTTACTATGATCTAATATTTTGTTAAATAGCCTTTAGAAGCTATCATAGCCTCAAACCTGGGTGGCAAGGAGTCCACCAAGTCTTAGCAACGCTTGAGGGGAATATGGCCTCATTCCTCCTGCACAAATTGCCAAAGCTGCGGCTTAGAAGTCGGAAACTTCTTTAATACGTAGCCCTTGATGTCCCCCATAAGTTTTCGATCGGAATAATATCCGGGGACTGTGCAGGCCATGGCAGTGCATCCACTTTTTCATTAAGAACCCACTCCTTGGCCACCTTGCTGGTATGATTAGGGTCACTGTCCTGCTGAAATGTCCAAATTAATGGCATAT